AATGAGTACTTTTATTGTAGACACACATATTATGCTGGATTGCAATTTGAAAAATGTGTGTTTTGAGCATCCTGGCCCACCCTATCTTCAGAGGGTGAAAGCACCTCAGGTGTCCCTCTTGTGGCAGCTGCCAGCCTACCTTTCTGTAAAAGTTTTGCAATTCAGTATATTTGCATTTTATGCTACCTCGGGTTCCCCAGAGTTTAAGGTCGTAACTGGCGCACGGCCTTCCTACAGCCATCCTGTGGTTTCTTAGTCAATGAGTGAATGCTGCGTATACACAAGCAGTGTGACCAAGGGGAAAGCTAGAAGTCTTTCCTGCGCTCTGACCTGCAGGATCATGCCGCCTGCACCCCCACAGCCTTGTGCTGCGAGGTGGACTGAGTTGGGTTGGAGAGAGGCCAGACACAGTGCCCACCATCACCAAGCGCTGGCCTGCTGCCGAGCAGTCTCTCCTCTCAGCCCTGTCCTCCCCACCAAAAGCAGTTCAGGCGAAGCTCCAGCTCGTGAAACTTGGGCTCTTTGAAGTGGTGAGCGAGTGCCCCTGAAACTGTCACCCTACATCTGGTGGCACTTCTCCTGCTGCCAGAGCTTCATATCGGGTTCATGTCCCTTTCCTCTGAAATCTGTAAACATAAATTCAGTTTTAAACTGGATTTTTTAACAGTTGGTCTCAGAAGCATCTTTGGGGGAGGGGTGGCAGTGCTGGTGCTGGTGGAGGGAGATATGAGCCCTTGAAAATCGGATACTTTTTGGAAAACTGCTGACACAGGCTAATCGGCAGAGAACTAAAGGACCCCACTGTTTCTACCTGCTGACAGGCTCAGCCTTGGGACAGGGCTGAAATTAGCTCTCACCACATGGCAGAGACATGCCTTCCTCATTTTTTTCCTTTCATACAAATGGGGGTGATTTTGTGGCTCTCAGATAGTACAGCTTTGAGTGTAGATAGCCAGTCAAAAACAGCTGCCCTCCCCGACTTGGAAAGCACACCAGTGCTGATCTTGATAACTGGAGAGTCAGGCGATAGGGAACCTCCCCCGATGAGGACTGGTTTTAAAACCCTGTCATAATCCGTGTTCTTTGGGAAGAGATAATAGACAAACCCATCCCAATACAAGGAAACGTATTGATCCAGAGATGAGTGACCACCTGTCCCGGCTTCCCAGACCCTGTAGCCTCGTGCTTCCTTGCGTTTCTGCTGCTGCATCCTTCCTGTGAATGAGCCGGCTTTGGAACGTGACAGTCTTGGGGAAATGAGCCTGTGCGTTTCAGTTCCGTTGTCCAATGCTGTTCTCTGTTAGAAAAGGAGGGTTCCCTACCCGTTTTGTCAGCGCACAGCCGGCGGGAGCTGTTGCAATCTCGCTGCCTTCCGATCAGCCCCACCCCAGCTGCAGGCTGAGTGGGGGCCCGTGAATCACGCTCTGGCCGCACGGCTGTGGTGAGTTTCAAAATAAAAGATCCCCGCCTGAGCACCTCATCGCACTTCCTAGGCCGCAGAACCAGCATTGTGAACTGGGCCACATCTCTATTCTAAATTTAGGCATCTTTTTTTTTTTTCCAGGCAAAGATTACTATGCAAACATTTAAGAGAAAAACTTTGCCCAAAGTAATTTTTTCCCTCGACTTCTATTTGGTTTCCTGCAATGTTTAGATGACTCATTCTCTTCCAAGAAATTTTAAAGAAAAGAGATGCGGGCTGGGTGATAGCACACAAAGACTGCTCTGTAAATTCTCCTTTCCTCCCCGCCTAGAAACCCCTTGCTCTTTGTATAGGAAACGGAAAGACTCTACGGTCTTCGTATTCATGTATTCGGCCTCGTCAGGTTGTTCCCAGGAATAAATGTTCCCTTGTCTTTGGGTGGGGCCCCTTGTCTTTGGGTGGGGCCCCCTTGTAGCTTCCCAGCTCCGACTCCCCCTCCACAGTGGCCAGCACGGAAGCCCTGCCTGGGCCGCTGGGCCGCGCTCGCCCCCAAAGGCGCATAGTGAAGGTTTGTCACATAGAGAACGGTGGCCTTTTATCATCTGTGAAAGGAGAGGCACTGGCTGTTTCCTGCCTCTCTCCCAGTTGCTGGGGCTTTCTCGCACACTTTAACTGGGCTAGCTACACGTGTGTTCCCAGGCCAGCCCTCGACCAGAGGGGGTGGTAAGTCGCAATCACTTCAGCAGCCTGTTCAAATAAACAGGGCTAATAGTTGAGTCGGTCCTTTTCCGTGTAATCGGTACACGAAAGGAAACACCTGCCTGGGCTTAATTGCTATTTTATTGGTCATGTTTTTTCTCCCCCCCTGGCCCCCCACCCCATCCTGGGGGTGAGGGCTAAGTTGTTTAAGTCACGGATAAGCAATAGGGTAGAGGAGGAACGAGAGCTTTCTTCTGTGCCCTCTGCTGTTTATACAGAGGCGGCACTAAGGGAGGATGGGAGGCTGGCAGGGGGAGCCGGCTGGAGGCTGGAGGGCAGGGCATTTGAAAGTCATGCTCATGGTCACTTCCTGGCACTGTTGCTGACTCTGGGGCTGGTTGGTGAGTCATTTCGCCTCACTTCACCTCCGTGGACCTCTGCTGCTTCGGTGGAGCTCAGCTTTCCTCACGATGGGAAGGAGAGGCTGGTGTGTGAGATCCTAGATGACAGGCATTCCCTCTGTGGCTTCTTCCGGTGGTTAAGGGCATTGATTGAGAGACCTTTGGGAATGGTAAATTTAAGACAGGCAAGATACCCCTGAAGCCATCCATTTTGAAGAGCGTCTCGGTCCCTGAGGAGAACCTGCTCATTATCTTCTGCTCTGTGGAGTGAAGCCAACCAACTATGCGCTGAAATGTGGGTGGGGTTTGAGTCTAATATGGGCTCAAAGAAGCCAGGCAAGAGATCATGAAGCATCATAGAATGGCAGAGGCTGGAAAAGACCTTAGGAACGTTTTAGCCAAAGACGTCCATTGTATGGAAAGGAAAACAGAGGCCCAGAAACATTAACCAGGTTGTCTGAAGTTGTCTCCTCAATGGTCGAACAGCTGAGAATAGGAGAATCTTGTGATTGCTCATCCAGGGCTCTTTCCACCCCCTTCCCCACTACCAGGTGTAAAAATTCATATCTACTCACAATAAAGGTCACACATATGGTATATTCCATAATGGATTCCTTAATAGAAAAATGGTAAAGCATAAAAGAAAGATGAAAGTGACCGATAAACGTGTAAAAACAAGTTCAGGCTCACTAGAATTAAAAGACTACAAATTACGATAGGATACTGTGTCAACCTATCAAGACAAAAAAAGTGAAATAGCATTCTTCTATGCTCCTGGTGGTATTTTAAATTTGTACAGTTTGTCTCAAGGGCAATTTAATGGTGTAAATGAGTAGTAGTTAACTCAGCAATGTTAATTCTAGGAGAAAATATGAAAGGCGTGTGCATAGATTATGCACAAATTAATTTAATACAGCATGTTTTATCATAAAAATTTCTAAGCAAAGTAAATGTCCAAGGATAGGAGATACATCTATAGAATGTATTTTAATGTCATAGAAGAATAATACGTAGGGAAATGCTGACAACATAAGTAAGTTACGGTAAGTAACTTAAGTTACGCACGAATAACGCATGAGTAAGTTAACAGTGTGCATGATGCAATCCCAATTTCATAAGAATAATAGAAAGAGAAGATTAGAAAAATATATAACCAAGTCTAGAGTGGTGCTTTCCAATGGTAGGAATTAAGAGTTACTTTTTCTTGAGGGCTGGCCTGATGGCATTAGTGGATCAGGTCATGCACTCTGCTTTGGCAGCCCGGGGTCACAGGTTCGGATCTCAGGTGCAGACCTGTACCACTCATCAGCCATGCTGTGGTGGCGTCCCACCTACGAAATAGAGGAAGATTGGCACAAATGTTAGCTCAGGGCTGATCTTCCTCAAGCAAAAAGAGGAAGTTTAGTAACAGATGTTAGCTCAAGGCCAGTCTGGCTCACCAAAAAAAAAAAGAGTTCCTTTTTCTTTTTTGAGGTTTTCTTATTTATTACAATGAACATATATTGCTTTTGTAATCAGAAAAAATATTTTTAAAGTGATGCATCTTAAAAAAGCAAGACCTTAAATGATGATGTTTCTGACCTGCGACCTCTTCCTTTCTTTGCCTGGGACCTGAGCTGTGCCGGCGGCTGGTATTGTACCTTCTGTTAGAAGGGCTTTGGTGGTATCTGATGTTTAGTAGGAAAGAACTAAAAGGAGCTCGCAGAAGATAAAATGAGGGCGTCACCTCTCAGTGACCCATCCTTGCCAATCAGGTTTATCCCCTGCTCTCTTGAACTTGGCATAAAACACTCAGTATAGAAGGTGTGGCTCTTATTTCCTAACTGCTTCCTCATTCTTCTCTGTTTCAACTGTGCTCCGTGTAGTCAGATGCCAGCTGTGGGTGGCAGCAGCAAAGAACCTGAGAGCCACCACTGCTTAGGACTAACCAGCTAGAGACCTCTTAATGTATATCAGAATCAAGTAACATTAGCTAATCTCGCAGCCATTACTGAGGTGTCACTCCTTCCTTCTGGGAGGTTCCTATTTAGTTAGGTTCCTTGAAGTCCTTGGATGTTTATATCCTTCTTCCTATCTCATCCTATTTCACATCTTACTTCCCTCCACGATTCTCAGGAATGCTTGACTACAACTATCTGGGAAAGCTTGTTCCACCTAACAACAGTTGCTAGGTGGGATGTGGCTTTCTGGCTTGCCCTTTGGGGACCAATTGAAAAATCAAAGGCTGCAACCCATTTCCCCCCCGACATGATTGCCTTTACTAGGCTTTAGAAGGGGCACATTTCATTTTATTAAAACTCTCTGAGTAATCTGACCATAATTGGGTCTGAACAGAGTGGTTATCTGATTTGCTGGGTTAAATAATGGGCCTTAATTGAGTCTGCGTTATTTGTAGAGCCAGTGCTGCTCTTGCCCTTGGTGCCCCCCTCCTCCCTCCTTCTTTTTCCCAATTAACCTTCATTCCTCTTTCTTTGCAGAGTAAAGAAGTCGGCCAGCAGCTCCAAGATGATTTGATGAAGGTCCTGAATGAGCTCTACTCGGTAAGTCAGATGGGTTGCTGGGCTCTTTAACAAGCAGAGGGAAGCAGCATTTGGCAGCTTGTGGCCATAGTCACGTCAGCAACAGAACTGAGCTGAGGTTGAGGACAGTGCCTGGTCCCCACTGGGGTGACTCCACCCCTCTCTTTTTTCATACTCACATTTTCAAACCTGAATGAGCCAAAAAACACTTTCTCAAAGTAAGATCCCTCCTTAGTTGTGCAAGCTCCCTCTGGCTTTATATGGGGCGTAATCTCTAGAGACCAGCCAAGGCCTAGGTCACCAGGGCAGCTGACCTCCATTACTAGCAAACCAGGGACCCCGAACCTAATGGCAAGGAGCATAGCCTGCATTGCACCATTAATATGTGCTTGTTGGAAAGGATTTATTGTTCAAGGTTTTGCATCAGTTCTTGGATTGATCTACTGGTCTGAGCCCAGAGCAGGTGCTCCGGAGGGAAGCACAGAGTCCTTAATGCCCCTAATATCAGGGATCAGTTCAGGCAGAGAGAGCTTTGCATCAATTCTGTAGGGTTTTATAAAGGCCAGACCTCCATGAAGAGGCAGGCTTGGGGTTTGGAGAAGAAAGCGCGATCTGTTCTGAAGTCCCTGGGCTTCTGGCACGTGATGACTGTGGCTGATGCGTGTTCCTTCATGCGCTGGGAGGTGGTTGTTTTTCCCCCAGCCGCGTTTGGTTAATTATGATTAAAGCACACATGCACACCAAGGAAATTCCTGCTGCCACACAGGGACTATTTCTGTTGTCCAGCTAAAGCCTTTCAGGGCTCTGTTCTGCAGCTGGGCTGTGCCAGGCCTTTGTGTCATTCTCCAGGGTTGCCCCATCCTGTTTTGGAGGTGAAATTGAATTCCTCTGTTTACTTGCTTATTCACTGCACTTTTTCTTTCTTTCTTTTTTTAAATTCACAGGAAGACAGGCAGTGGTGACATGCACCGCAGGCATTTGGGATCACAGAATTCCATGTTCTTGATCCAAAGGCCGAGGTGTGGCCGTTTTGTCATGGCAACTGTTAAGCAAGTAAATAGGGTAAAGCAGTCATCAGACTTGTCTCCAGCGACGCTCAGTGTGTTTGGAATTTCTGCTCTATGACTCTTCTGCTCTGAAGCCAAGTAGATAGATAGTACCCTTTGGTTCAGCTCCCAAGTTTTCATTTCTTTCAAATGAAGTTAAGGCTTTTTAAAAATAGAAGCACGTTGCTGTGAACCATTTTCAGACTGGATGAGTTTCCTCAGCTCCCTTGTCTTTTTAATGCTTTACTTCTGCTCTTTATTTTTAGAGCATCTTCTAGTCACCAAGAAGAGCTATTATTACTCCTTTCTCCTGGCAAAGAATATACTAAGATAGAAAATGATACGTTTAGTTATTAAATGAATCCTTTTATTTATTGTATTTTATTTGGGCCTCTGCTATTTGCTGTTTCTTGGGAGAAGTAAGTTGGATAACCAGCAAGCCCCAAACCAACTCAAATCTAGTGTGCCACTTCTGCAGCAGGTCCCGAGGAGCAGAGGAAGAGCAGTGTCTAGGGATCTGTGAGCTTTCCTCAGAGTCCTAGATCTCTTAATATGCCATGAGTTAAAAAAGAAAGTAAGTGAACGTGTATGCTTTGTGTTGGAGTGAGGAAGAGGCCCTGGAGCTTGCTGCCCTCATGGGAGGAGGGCCGAGCCGGCACCTGTGCCTGCAGCCGTCAGGCATCCAGTGCTGGCCAGTGCCTTACTGGCCACGGCGAGGCCACAGTCAATGCAGAGCATAGAGCCTTCCCACCAGGGTGCAAGCTCAGAATTGGCTGGGTGTGATGTTGCCTACGACGCGAATTGGTACACACGTAATCTGTTCAAGGCCAAAATAAAAATTTGACGTTTTCCTCTAGTAGGCAATGGGAATTTTTTTAAAAAAAAGAGAGAACATTGGAAAGTTCCAAAGAAGGCAGAATAGTCTAGTGTGGTCATTCTCAAGCAGGTGATTTTTTCCCCCAATGGGACATTTAGAAATGTCTGCAGACGTTTTTGGTTGTCACAGCTGGGGTGGGAGGTACTAGAGATCAGGAAGTGATGAACATCTTACAATGCAGAGGAGGCCCCACAACAGAGAATTATCTGGCCTAACATGTCAGAAGTACGAAGACTGAAAAACTCTTGTGTGGTGACTGGCGTCTCCTGAGTTAGACAACCCAGATCCTACCTGGTCCACCACTGTCTCTGTGATCTCGGGGACACTCCTGACCTCTGTAACTCAGGTCTCCACACACTCCGTGTACTGCTATCTCCAAACCCTGAGGGGTGGGGGGCTTGGGGGAGTCATACTTCCTGAAATATCAGACTACAGTCAGGGGTCAAATGAGTTTGCAGATTCGACAGACCATTAGAAAGTGTAGAGAGTAGAGTTATGAGTTGTTTCTTCTGGAGGGTGACATAAGTGCAGGACTGGTCTGAATAAGATACTGTGGCTTTAGGGTAACTGCCCCGGTTTGCCCAGGACTGAAGGGTTTCCTGGGACATGAGACTTTCAGTGCTGAACCTAGGAGAGCCCGGGGAAACCAGGATGATTGTCCTACACGGGACAATGGTTTTATCAAGTAGAAACTTGGGAGTGGTGCATGCTGGCTTTGGGCAACTACTTGTTGTATCTACTCTCTCTCTGTCTCTCGGAGCAGTTAAGAAGAGAACAAGGGAGAGCTTCTTGTAAGGAGCCTCCCCCTTATTTTCTCTTCTGGAAGGTGGGGGTGGGGGGCCTCTTGTTTCAGTGAGCCAATAGGCAGTGACTTGTGGGCATGGGATAAAGGAAACTAAGGATACGAGGAACCCCCCATATTCAGCGATCTTCTTACCCGCAAATACTTCTTTTTGGGAGACTGATTACCCCAGGATTGGCAATTTAAGTACTTTTGAGCCTTGATGATCCAAGGGGCAGGGCCCAGGTGTTCCCAAATAGAGATGCCTTTGGGCAAGAGGCCCAGACTCTCCGTGCGTGGCAGCTGCCCCTCTGTGCCTTCCTCTTTGCTGCCCGAAGGGCCTTTGATTTCTCCGACTTGGATTCTGTGCCAGGGGCTCTTCCCGCAGCTGCTGTGCAGAGAGCAGTCCCAGGGAGCGTTCCCTCCACTTGCTTTTCCCCCATCATGAGCGATGGTTTGTAGGCCATAGCGTCAGCGGTTCTCGTTTTCTGACTGATATCCAGGAATTCCTTTGAAGTCAGACCACACTGCTTCACAAAGAACTCTGGAATCCTCTGCCTCAGTTGTACTTGGAGGCTTTATCTGGAAAAACCCAGCAGGCCCCCACAGGAAGGAGTGTATGTGGGGGCACTGAAGCCCCGTGGATCGGCTGAGTAGGAAGAGTCAAGGAAGCCCTGGAATTGAGAAAGACAGGTGTTGAGACACTGGGCTCTTGTCGCCCCAGAGGTTTTCTACTTCTCTTCTCCCCCTGAATATGTCCCCTTGATTTGGTGCAGCAGCTGTCCGCGTGCAGAGCTGCTTCCGACTGGTATGTAGCACCTGCCTCCTTGAAACAATGTCAGTTAAGTCCCCCAACTCTGCTTCCCCATTTGTCTCCAGCTCTAGGCACCAGGGCTACAAATGTGAGATGTCCCCAAACTCAAGGCATTTAGTGGTAATAAAAGAGACAGAAGAGTAAAGCAGCAAGTGAAATATGAGGTTGATAGCTCCTGTGCATGTGTGCACGTAGGAGCGGCAGGAGGTCAGGCTCCCTGGAGAGACATTTGAATTGGATTTTAATTGCCAAGAGCTCTTTTATTGCTCTCTAAATGTTCCTTTTTTGTTGCCTCCTGCTCTTGTTTCATGATGCAGTGTCTTTTCATTTCTCATTGATCTCTCTAGGGATGTTACAGATGGATTGTTTTTGAAGTTTTCTTCTCTTCAGTATACTTTCTGTTTCCTCTAAATTGCTTGTTTTGGTTTTGGTCTTTCACATTAGATGTTTTCCCTAAATGTCTGCTGATCTTTAGCTGCCTACTCACATTTTCAAGTGAAGCACAGAGAAGCTGATTGGAAGTTCTGTGTCCACCGTGGCCTTCGCTATAGGGTGATCTGTCTGGGCGCTGTGTCCTTGAGGAAGCCCTATATCCGTATTCCCAGGTCTTTTATCCTAGATGGTCAGATTCCCCAGAGAAGGCTCTTCTGAACTTTTGGCTCTGTCTGGGGGCCGAGTGGTGAAGAGGCCTGGGCCGTCTCAACATTCAGTGTAGGGTTTCCGGCTGATCCGCCTGAGCCCGTCCGCGCTCGCGCTCGCGCTCGCTGAGAGCGGTCCTCCAGTCGTCCACCACGGTGGGGACGGACGGACTCTGGGAGTCTCACTGTTCTCGGGCTTTCAGTACTTTCTCTCGTTTTTAGCTCCGTCTTCATCCACCACCACCACTGTCTCTTCCGGCATCTGTGAGGGAAACCTGGCTGCTTCTTGGATCGCCCCGCTTTTGGTTGAGGATCCAGTCCGTCAGCTAATACTTCCTTCCGTGCTTCTCAGCTTCCGCTTTCATTGTTTTGTTTTCTTCAGTTTATACCTAAAAAATAATAATTATAATAAAAACTCTTTCTATTATTTTATTGTGGCTTGTGGAGGAAGCAGAGCTGAAGGCATGAATTCAGCGTCTCGTTTTTCGAAGTGGTGTGCATCCTCTTCACAGACCTGCCAGTTTACAGTTCCGGGTTTTCCCTTGTCGGCATTTGACTCGCTGTGTCTGCTTCTCTGGGTGCTAGCTTGGCTCTCCCGTTTCTGTTTCCTATTCCAAATTGCTTCGACATCACTTATTCAAGCTTCAGCCTCTGGATACCTCAGTGTGCCTTGAGCTGGAGGACACTGGTAGTGCTTCTCCTGTATTTCCGCAGAGAGAGATCCAGGGTCATTGCGTCACATTGATTGTAAACCCACCGCTGTGTACATGATACGCTTCCCAACTGTGGAGAAGAAAACACAAAAGAAGTGGTGCTTACCCTTGAGAATTTATAGTTTCTTAGATGAGGTAGTGTTTTACTCTTTTAAAGAGAGTTCTGTAGGTGAAAGGAACACTATAAATTATTGCTCTTTATCACTTCATCTGTTGTCTGTTGGCACTATTCTTTTGAGCTCCTTCTTGTCTCTCATGTCCGTTCATAGCGTTACCTCTTCATTACGCACCTTCTTGAAATAGAAAATCACTTTCTTAAAAATCATTCACTGGGGCTAGCCCGGTGGCGCAGCAGTTAAGTTTGCACGTTCCGCTTCTCGGTGGCCCGGGGTTCACCAGTTCGGATCCTGGGTGTGCACATGGCACCGCTTGGCAAGCCATGCTGTGGTAGGCGTCCCATGTATAAAATAGAGGAAGATGGGCACAGATGTTAGCTCAGGGCCAGTCTTCCTCAGCAAAAAGAGTAGGATTGGCAGTAGTTAGCTCAGGGCTAATCTTCCTCAAAAAAAAAAAAAAATCATTCACTTTTATAACTGTTTACTGGAGCTTTTGACTCCCTTGGTCACCTTCAGGTGAATGTCTACTTTCTTCAGCCAGGGTAGCAGATGCTTCTTTCTCCCTTAGTCAGTCTGGAAAGCTGGAGAACTGTTTAAATTACTTAGAAAGGTTTCTAACGCTGTTGGTTGTTAAATATCACTGTTCCTATGTAGGGAATACACAGAGGAGATCTTCTACTTATGGAAAATGATGTCAGGTTCAGGATAACGTGAAACTGATTTAAAACATCCTGCACCCAAAAGGAGACATAATTGAAACTCTCATCTACTTTGGTTTTGTCATGTCCCAATATTCTTTATTCCTTCCTCCCCCTCCAGCTGGTCCTAAGGGCTGAGTATACCCACAGAGTCCTCTAACCCAGGATTTCTCAACCTCAGCACCATTGATGTTTGGGGCCGGATAATTCTCTGTAGTGGGTGCTGACCTGTGTGTAGGATGTTTAGCAGCATCCCTGGCTTCTACCCACCAGATGCCAGTAGCAAGCTCCAAGTTGTGACCATCAAAAATGTTTCCAGACATTGCCACATGTGCCCTGGGGGTCAAATTAACCCCCAGTTGAGACCACTGCTCTAAGTCCAGTCCATAAAGGAAAGGAGTTTCTCTTTTTGAGCCTCTCTTGACTGAAACTCACCTTTCCTCCCAACTAATCCCGCTCTGGGCCTGTGCAGAGGACAGACACTGGTGCTTGGTGGCTGAGAGTGTGGACCTTGGAGTCTGATAAACCTGGGTTTGAATCCTGATTCTGCCATTTACTAGCTGTATGACCTTGGGTGTGACGGTTAATCTCTTTGAGCCTCAGTTTCCTCATCTTTAAAAGTGGAAATAGCAACATGCCCGTATGGAGCTGCTGTGACGACTAAAGGAGGTGCTGTGTGAAGCCCCGACACAGCCTGCAGGAAGTGATCATTGTCGTCAGTCCCCCAGACACCCCCAGTGCCTGCACTCTCTAATCCTCCCTCTCAAAGAAATGCCGTGGCATCAAGATGCCAGCGCTCTTGAACTTCAGCTCGCTTGGTTTGTTACCAAGCATTTTTCATTCTCAGGTAGGAGCTGGAGGTGCCCTGGGTGGGAACAGAAAGCTCCAGCAGGGGAGAGCCGGCCCTTGTGGCTGGAAGTAGTGCGCTGGGGAGGACTGGAGACAGACGCAGCTTCCGGGCTTCCCGGCCTCCGCCTTGAGAGAAGGGGTTGAGTCCCAGACAGTTGCTTCGATGGGAGATTGGAGGATTGTATCCCTCGCCTTTTGTACTTCTCCCTCCCTGTGGCCACTCCAGTTTCACTTGCTGTGGATTGTCCTCCTCCTCAGGCTCTTCCCTGAATTGTTGTGCAGGTTCACAGTCTTCATAGTGTTGTTCTAGATCACAGGATTGCTACAAGGTGAAATCAGAAAATGCATGTGTGGCACTTGCCACAAAGCCAGGGTTCCACCACGTGCTCAGTGAATGGCATCTGCCCTTCTTTGCCGCTGCTGTTCCAGTCGCTGTGAGAGAGGGCGTCTGATGTGCACAGAGCAGACCAGGCGGGCCCCAGAGTGCCCGGCCAGTAGGAAGAGCTTTGGGAGCCTTTCCTCTTCCCATTTTGTATCTGGCAGGTGCACAGAGTGTAGGCACCCCTCAGGCTGTGCTGCCCTCTTCAGGGTTCCTAACCAGCCCAGGAAGGCTTTGCTCTTGGGATCTGAGCGGTGGTGGGGTATCCTGTCTTTGATATTGTGAAGTGACTGAGCAATAGAAATTACTTGGCCAATATAAAAGAATAATGATTACAAATGTTAATAAACAGAAGTAGATGATACATGATGGAAGACATGAAGTCATTTTAATAATAAGACATGTTGGCTCAGTTCAAATACTGCTTTCCTGTGCTTTGCAGGGGTCTTAAATAGAATGTTTGCTGAACCAAACGCTTAGGAATTTTCCCCTTAAGAGTATGAGGACATTGCTTCCTGGGGGAGAGGTCCAGCTGAGTCTGTTAGTCTGTAAAGCAGAGAATTGACCCCCTTGGCTTGACCACTGGGGGTGGGGGTGGGGTGTCTCTTGCAGGTCATGAAGACATATCACATGTACAATGCCGACAGCATCAGTGCTCAGAGCAAGCTAAAGGAGGCGGAGAAGCAGGAGGAGAAGCAAATTGGCAAATCGGTAAAGCAGGAGGACCGGCAGACCCCGCGCTCCCCCGACTCCACGTCCAACGTCCGCATTGAGGAGAAGCATGTCCGGAGGAGCTCAGTGAAGAAGATTGAGAAGATGAAGGAGAAGGTGCGTACTCTCGGCGCCGTCGGGTCGGGGAGCCGGGCTCCGGAAGTCAGGACTGATAGGAATTTTCCAGTAGGTGCCAGGAAGAGCAGAGCAAGGAATCTCTGGGTTCCTTTAGTGCCTAATGACCAAAAGTGAGTCCTTGCTATCTACTGCAGAAGAAATCCTGGGTATGGGAAGAACTTGGCCATGTGGGCTCCCGGTTTTTCACCTAGCAGATAAATCAGAAACCTAGCCACCTTTCTCGAGCCTGGAGGGGGACTGTAGACCTAGGGTTTGGCTTCAGATGTCAGGTGTTCAGGGCAGATGTCGTGACACCTCCTTTGTGGGGGTGGTGCCAGGACGGAGAATGGTATTTGCAGATAGAACTAAATTGGGACACGCATCCAAAGTAGGGAGCTCATTAACCTTTCCTGGATTGATCTACATTATGCCCTTGAATCTCATTAAACAGAATTAGAACCCAATTTAAGGCAGACGTGCATAGGGAGTAGCAGCACAATTGTGGTTCTTGAATGTACTGTACTTTCATCTTTTAGAGAACAATCTCCCTTTTAAAAAAAAAAAAGTAAAATTAACTTCTGTTCCCTTTTCAGCGCCAAGCCAAGTACACGGAGAATAAACTGAAGGCCATTAAAGCCCGGAATGAGTACTTACTGGCTTTGGAGGCAACCAACGCGTCTGTCTTCAAGTACTACATCCACGACCTGTCCGACCTTATTGATGTAAGTGCTTAAAGCCGGAGGCCCAAGAGCCCCTCTTGCCTGGTTTCTGAGATGTGGTTAGGCGTTCTCCGGTCGTGCTGCTCAGCATCTCGGGGCATTTTGAGAACAGTTATGAAGGTGGTAGCCATGATCGGTCAGGGCTCGCCAGGGCCCAGGGCCCAGGTGAAGCTGTGTACGCTCTATCTCATTCAGTCTTCACTGAAATCCTGAAGGAAAGAGGGCATTATTATCAATTTTACAGAGTAAAAATCAGAGAGTTTAGATGACTTGCCCAGAGTCAGGTAATAAGTGACAGGCAAAATTTGCATCCAGGTCTGGATACTAAAACCGTGCTCATAACTACTAGGTTCTTCTGGAAAGAAGAAATATTCCCAGGAAGTATTCGCTTCCATCAGCTACTTGCACACAGAAGGAGTGGCAAGAGCTCAAAGGTTAGAATGCGATGCCTCACCTTCACTAGTGCTTAACATTCGTCGGCATTGGCTCGTTTGACTGTCATAGCACCCTTTTGTATTGGTATTACCGACCCCAGTTTGTAGATGAGGAATCTATGGGTCAAGAGGGTACCTGCTTAAAGTCACAGTGCAAATTAGGGCCCTGGCCAGGAGGTATCCAGATGCCCCTGACGTCTGGCCTGTGCTTTTTGGTATGTGGTGCAAAGATGTTGAGAGAAGCAGGAGAGCAGGCCCATGTGTTTTGCATGGGGCAGGCACAAGGGCTGAGCTTTCTGTCCTTGGCCTTTCGTCAGCTTTGCCCTTGTTTCTCTGGCCGCTTCCCCTCAAACCTTCGAGTTGAGTCTTGCAATCCCCCTCACCTGCAGGCCCCAGTCTGACCCAGATCCTGAGCCGGTCCTGGCTGAAGCTGCATACATACACCCTTTCTCGCCTCTCCCTCCTGTCGTCAGTGAGGGGTCTGGAGCCAGCTGACTGAGCATCAGCACCCCAGTCTCCAGGGCTTCAGGTGTCTCCCGGCTCATCTCCTCTCTGAGCCCTGACATTTGCCTCTGGCTTCAGCGGGTGGCCAGACCTTGCATGCTTGCCTGCCTTGGTTTCTCCACGAACAAACCTGCCCCACTTCACAATGTCATGTGGGGTTCTGCTCTGAGATTCGTTGTTACATAACTGGGTAACATGGGGCTTCTCACTGAAATGTTTTGGAGTTCTGCTTGGTCTCCCCTCTCCCCCGCCTCTCTCTGGCAAATAAGGATTGGACTACATCATTGATGTGTAGATCTGACCTCACATCAGAGTTGCTTGGGGAACTTTTCAGAAATATGGCTTGCTGTCTCCCTTCAGCCGGGGATTTTTGATTCAGTAGGCTCCAGCCTCTTGATGCCCTCTGAGTCTCTGTCTCACTGGTAAGAGGAGCCCTGATCCAGTCCAGGCACCTCCCTGTCCTCTCTGCTTGTTGACGCCAACCTGAACATTGTCCTGCAGTGGAGGTCAGAGCCCTGAGCAGGATCTTTTCTCCTCAGACGAGCAGTTCCTCACTGCTGGGAGAGAGGCCAGTTTTCAGCATGGGGAGGGAGTCCATTCTTTCTTATGCTCCCTTACATTCAGTAAAAAATCAGACTGTGCAGGATGCTACACCTCTTTTTGTTTTTTTTTTAGGAAGATTAGGCCTGAGCTAACTACTGGCACCATTCCTCCTCTTTTTGCTGAGGAAGACTGGCCCTGAGCTAACATCTGTGCCCATCTTCCTCTATTTTATACGTGGGACGCCTGCCACAGCATGGCCTGATGAGCGGTGCCGTGTCCGCACCCGGGATCCGAAACGGCGAAGCCTGGGTTGCCGAAGCGGAACATGCGCACTTTAACTGCCCCGCCACCGGGCCGGCCCCAGCACACCTCTTTTGCTGGTTGGTCCTATTCTCTTTCTTTTGCCCCCAGGGCAGCTTGCCAGCTCCTTTCACTAAATGCTGACCTCAGGGGAAGAGAGAGACCACTGCTGTGTCAGTCACTGCCTTTACCATCCGTAGACCCTCCGCCAGATGTGAGAAGGTGTTTTAAAATCAGTCAAGAAGCAAGTTATTTTGCACCTTATTCTCATCATTTGAAAAAAAAGTTTGGGGCTGGCCCAGCAGAGTAGTAGTTAAGTTCACATGTGCTACTTCAGTGGCCCAGGGTTCACAGGTGTGGATCTCCAGCACAGACCTACACACCGCTCTTTAAGCCATGCTGTGGCAGCATCCCACATACAAGAGAGAGGAAGATTGGCACAAATGTTAGCTCAGCGACAGTCTTCCTCAAGCAAAAAGAGGAAGGTTGGCAACAGATGTTAGCTCAGGGCCAATCTTACTCAAAAAAAAAAAAGTATTTTAAGAGCCTGTGTTCACAGGCTGCCTTGTGAAGTGCCATGGAAAAGAAGTCTGCCAGCCTCCTTAGTACTCAGCCAGGGCGTGGCTCTAGGTTTCTGTGAGCAAGTCCACATTGGCAGCATTCTAAGCCACACAGATAGTAAAATTGCTCTTGTTTTATTTTGTTTTTTTGTTGTTTTTCTTCTTTTCGTTTTTCCTGAGGTGAAGACAGATTAATTACTCTTAAAAAAGAAAAAGGATGATAACATTATTCTGCTCTACAAATGTTGACTAAATATTTGTTTGGGATGAGACTTTGTGCTCAACATGAGGAGTGCAAAAGGAATCAAATAGTCATTGCCCTGTAGGTGTTTGTACACATGCAGACAGGTGACCTCTACGTCTCTGGCTAACTGCAGCCCAGAAGGTGAGCACACGTCTCCAACACAGTGTTTTTCAGACCATAGGTCATGATCCCTTAGTGGAGTCATGAAATCACTTTTATGGGCTTGATTTACTTTTTTTAAATGAATAGACTAGAATCGAACAGACTAGAACAGAATAGGAAAGAAAATAGCAGGGGGCATCACACTGTAGGGTTAAGCTTTATTTTGTGAAACTGTTGTTAAGTGTGTATACATTCTTGCACACTCATGGGTATGTGCATGTGCGTGTGCGTATGACTGTATAAGATATATTTCTCACTGTGAGTTGGAAGTCAAAAAAAGTGTGAGAGCCACTGCACTAGGAACAGAGGAAGGTCTTTTAGTCTCCTCCGTAAGCTCCTTGAGGCCAGGAGCAAAGTCTTCTCTTTGCCTTGATACATACGTACACACACGTATAGTGCTTAGTACATAGCTGAGCACATGGTATGTTCATTGAAGGAAGAAAGGAATAGAAGGAGGAGGAAGAGGATGATTTTTCAAGCCAAAATTTTTTTGCTTTTGTTGCCTTTTAATACTATTTTAATTGGGATGTAACTTACATACAGTGTCTGAACTTTTGTTAGTTTCAAGAGTTGTCGTAAATTCAGACACCCCTGTAACCCACATCTCTAGCAAGATATAGAAGATGTCCACCACCTCAGAAAGTTCCTTTTTTCTCTTCCTGGTCAATCCCCCGCCCAAGGCACCCACTGTGCCTTGATTTCTTTCACCATAGATTAGTTTTGCCTGTTGCAGAACTTCACAAAGGTGGGACTCATAGACAGTGTATACTTTTTGTACCTGGCTCCTTTTGCCCAGCATGATATTTTTGAGCTTCATCCATGTTATTGCACCTCTCAGTAGTTTCTTCCTTTTTCTTGCTGATCTGTGGAGTAAAAATGGCCAAAAGGACGCTTTGGGCAGTGAACCAACAGTTAGAGCAGAAGTGAGTGGGGAGCCTGGGTACCTTGGCATTCTGATCTTGACAGTATCCAGAACTTGCTTTAAGACATGGGACGAATCTTGTTCCAATCTATTGCCATCTGTGTTATGTACACTCTTCTGCCTCCTTCCTGGTGGTGTTGGAGCTTAACGTGTGCTCAAGGTATTGCAGATAAGTGAGAATAAGTTATTTTTGTTGATGCCAGTACATTGACTTGTACAAGGACTAGCCTTTGACTTCTTTTTATAAGACAGTATAAGATTTAAACTTGGACTGTGGGAATCCACATGAGGCATCTGACACACACACCAGGAAAACCTTGACTTCAGTCCAAAAAGACATTCTGAGCAGACTTGATAGAGTCTAAGAACCGTGGGCTCGTTGGAATGTGACTTTCCTCCCCTGTGCTCCCGTGGCTGTCTCCATCCAGGAGCAGATGGATGAATGAAGAACAGGGCGTTATCCTCACGCGTAGCTGGAGTGTGTGAGTGCTCTGTACGTGGGGAGAAAATCTGTGACAGTGTGTGTACCCAAGTCGGGCGGGGGAGCTCGGCTTTCTCAGGAGGAAATTACATATAAAGGGCAGTTATTTTTCTCTTCTGTGTGGACTTGAAGAGGGGGTTAGGAAACACCCACATATTTTTTTAGGCCTTCTCTAGAGTCTGTGGGGGGGGATATCAGCTAGTAAAGGGTTAATGAGCTGTCAACTCAAGTCCTCACACATCTGGATGGGCTATCATTAAATTCTTATAAAAATTTGATTTCCCCTGAGAGAGTTTTCATCAAACATTTATATAACCCAGAAATGGCCAGGGGAGCCCGGCGTGGTCACAGAACTCATCAGAAGCCATGGAAAGCATACTTTGTCCCCATTGTGAGCAAAATGATGTTGTGCCTCTACTCACTGGGATTCTCCTGGGAACACAGATGGAATATTCAAATCTCGTTTACCTACCTTGCCAGAAATTGCTTCTTTGCTAAAGCTGCAGTTTCCAGCTGTTGGCCCTGCAGATCTGTGTCTAGCTAAGGCTCTAGAAAACCAATTCTCAGTCTCCGTGGTTGATGGAGGCGGGAAGGAGCCAGAGGGCACGTTGTGAGTCAGACCTCCCTCACTGGCACAGAGAAGCTATAGAAGAGCCCTGTCACAGAGGTAGTGAGCCAGCCCGAGAGAGCTCCCCGCCTGTCAGAGCTGTACAGAGTAAGCACAGCAAAAGGCTTCAGGGGCCACATCTACCCACTTGACTTAGATCAGTGTTCAGCCCAAGTGGATTATTTCCTGACAGGCTACAATCTGTACTTCTGGCAGCAATTAATCAACTGATGTTTATTAAATGCCTGCTGTGAGCAAGGCCTAATGGTGAGGGACACAAAGAAGGAATGACACTGGCCCTGCCCGCCTTGAAGTTTGCCTTCTCATTGGGGTGATATGAAATGGCGAGTCACAGAATAGAGAGTGTTCTGTGTCACATGGGGGCTGCAGATGAGTGTTGTTCTGAGTGGGCGTCAAGATCAATATATGCCAGGGGTGCAGGACTGGCTGGCTTCCCTGAGGCCGGGGATTTGGTTTGAATCTTGAAGATTGGGTCCAATTCTAACAAGTGAGAGGAGTGGGAGACGTTTCAAGCAGAGAGAATGCTGGCAGCTGGAGGGCAGAGGTCAATGGATTTGGGAATATTGATGATTGGGGTTTGGTAAGTGTCTGAGTGGGGCCAGATATATGTACATTTGTTGCCTGTTATCAGCCTCACAACAACCTCTGAGGCTGATGTTGTCTCCATCTGAGGCTCAGAGAGGTTAGGTAGCTTGCTCACAGTCACACAGCTGATTTGAGGCTACATTTTTCCAGTACTCGACCCTAAACAGACAGTATGTCATTGGATTAGAGCAGAAGAGTCTAAAGAAGATAGAGGGAGAGGATGTTAGGCAGTCAGACTGAAGACAGATTCCAGTTTGTTCTGGCTGTTAACCTTGCTTAACGTCACTAAGCCTCAGCTTTCTAGCCTGGAAAATTAAGATGATACCAACCTCATTGGGGTTGTTATGAGGATTAAAATGTAGATGTACGTAAAGCACTTAGCATGCTGCCTGGTGTATAGTAAGCACACTTAGTAAATAGGGGCATTTTTAAATTTCCAAACTGAGGACTTGCCTTTAGAAAAAAATGAGAGCTATTACAGTTTCTTCAGCAGGGGAGTGGCGTAATAAAAGCCTTATTTAGGACAGTAAGGTAGACAGCACTGGTGTGAGATGGTAAGGATGGGAATTAGAGTAGAGGCAGTGAGAATGGAGAGGAATGGGGAGGTACCAAAAATATGTCAAGGTTCTGAGGAGCGCCCTGCCTCCCCCTCATTCTCTCCTGCACTGAAATCACACACGCACGCCCCTGCTCAGCCCTGTGGGCGGTGTGACTTCTGTTCATTAGATTTACAGGCATAGGGTTCATCATCAGGGTCTACACGGAGCTAGTCAGGAAAGTTTACAGGTTCAAGGACAGCCTGGGTAGACCAGTATCTCCCGGGGAGGGGGCCCTGCACGTGCAGCCTCCCAATCAGCTGCTTTTGTCTAGCTTCCATTTGCTCTTCACTCCCAACTGAATTTAATGTCTCTCCATCCTCCGCCTGGAGTTAGGCTGTAACTGCTGTGCTTCCGCTGCAGCCAGGCACCTGCCAGAGCCTGTTGGCGCTGGACCCAGAGCCCCACCCGGCAGGCACTCTGTCGCTGAGCTTCTCGTCAGATGCTGGGAGGAGCGGGCTCGTCACGTGCTTTTGCTTCCCCAGTAGCGGCCGCTTCCAGTGTGCTCGTGATGAGGGAGAAAGCTGGGGGAAGAGTTAATTTGATGCCTGCTTATGGAATGAAATGGCACTGAGACAGGCGGTCTTACTCTCTCCATGGATTCTTCTCTGGCGTTTCTTCTCAGGTGCTGGATCTCAAAGCTGCTTAAGCAGTAGAGAGGAGAGTGGATGGCCGAGGAATTTGGATCTTTGCTTCCTTTGGGAGGGCTGGGGAGTATTGTCATAGAGTTAGGGAATGCCATGGCTAAGGAGAGCCGTAGGAATTACATTTAGTTCGAGTATTTTAGACGTTTTCTCTAGCAGAAGAATTCTTTCTTCAAACCAGACCTTACATAGAATCCCAATATATTAAATAGAAAACAGAGCAGAGCTGGTTTGGTTGAAGCAGGGCTAGGAGGCTCCAAGTCCTACTAGTTGGGCTGCTCTTTTACCCCCTTCCCGAGAGCAGCCTGAGCGGCGGCACGGAGCCTCAGCGTTCTGGTCTGCAGCTTGAAAACCGCTGACCTGGCCAAACGTGTTCATTTCAGAGTCGAGGAAACAGGTTCGAGGATGGGGAGCGGCTTTCCCGAGGTCGCTTGACTTCCCATGCCGGTGCTTTTTTTGTACTATTGCCTCTTCCACACCACTTTTTTTCCATCTTGCTTTAGAAAATCTGAATCCTTTACATGATCTGAATTTTTTCAGTAAGACTTACATTTAGAAATTTTGAGTCTTACGAGTGCAGTGTCTCCAGGGCCGGAACTTTAGTGCAGTAACCCTCCTCTGCAGCTGAGGCCTGGCCTAGAGTGTGGGGAGCTGGTGGGCGTATGACCGCCAGTCAGCCCCTATTCTCTTCTTCTCCCACCTAGAGTTCTGAGTTTGTGTAAATTAACTGCTCTTGTAGCACTTCTGATTTCTGGTCCCTGAATGCTGAAATGGTCTGGATGGGTTGGTATGTAGTGACTTAACCGCAGTAACCCCCAGGGAATGGCAGGCTGTATTTTTATTATTGAATTTTGTTACAATGGTGTCCCCAGAGAAACCTCAAAATAGAAGAGGATTCCCTTTAACTCTCAGCTCTTCTTGTAGTTACCGAATGGCATTACACAGCGCACAATGAAATCATTTCATTTTGTCCTAATGAGTCCTCTTCCTTCTAAGGAGTCTTCTTCCTTCCTTCCTTCCTAATGAGTCTCCTTCCTTCTTCCTTCTAACCACCTCATGGTCTTCTAGGGTGTGTTTAACCATTGAACTGAGAATCAAGAACTGAGAAACCTCACCCAGATCTTGGAAGTCAGAGTGTCAGCCTTCTTCTCGCTGCACAGCCAGTCTCATTGACTTGGTCAAATCTCCCTGGGGCCGCCCTCCCCTTTTCCCAAGCCTCGGGGCTGTCCATGGCTTGCTCACATGCCCTCTCGTTCCCACAGCAGTGTTGTGACTTGGGCTACCACGCTAGCTTGAACCGGGCGCTACGCACCTTCCTCTCTGCTGAGTTGAATCTGGAGCAGTCCAAACATGAGGGTCTGGACGCCATCGAGAATGCTGTAGAAAACCTGGATGCCACCAGTGACAAGCAGCGCCTCATGGAGATGTACAACAGTGTCTTCTGCCCACCTATGAAGTTTGAGTTCCAGCCCCACATGGGGGACATGGTGAGGCCCTCTTCCCATTCCCACGCTCTCCAAGGGGGTTGAGCTCACTTGGAGATTCACTGCACTGAGGCCGCGTGATTGTGGGAAGAGCGAGGCCTGGGGCTGGCTTCCTGTCAGGTGGGTGAAGTGCATTCCACTCATTCAGCAAACAGCTACTGAGTCCTGCTGTCTGCTAGGCTTGACCGCAGACTTTGGAGATTAGAGCCCTCAGGGAGCTTACGGTACAGTGAGTGGAGAGAAAGTTAGAAGCATGCATAGGGGCTCCCAAAGGGACCGGCAGGACCAAAGGAGGTGAAAAACAGCAAGTGTGTTCTAAAAACTGCTAACCAGTCAGTATGGTGAAAGGGAAAGTGGCAGTGGGAGTTGGGGGGGCCCTCCCAGTGGTAAGGCTAGAAGAAATGAAAGCTGAGATGGGGCCAGACACTAAGGGCTTTTGACGGGGGGGAGGGCCAAGCAGGTAACGATGTGATCTTCTGTCGTTTGGCAGAGTTCTGAAGGATCCTATTGTCTTGGGTTTAGAAGATTAAATGAGAGGTGCAATTTTGCTTGGGTATTCAACAGAAAGGAATGGGTACCTACAGAAAGGACAGGAGCTAAGGTGTCATCCTGAGGGCTGATGCTCGTTGCCCAGGAGGGGAACATAAGCAGGGGGCCCTTGTTTGGACTTTTCGCCTTCAGTGACTGAAACCAGAAGGACCTAAATAAACTAAAGTGAGAGGAACAAGAGGCTCCTTGGTTTTCATTACTCTGAATCTTGTGGTTCCACTTCCGGTGGCTGTGCATACAAATCAGCGTCAGCCTTATTCCTATGGGTAGGAGCCACCATGTAACCTCATGGTTAAATCCGAAGGAGGATGTATAGGCTTAGGTAACAGAGGAGCTCAGGATGGATCCTCAGGCATGGTTGGATTTAGGAATTTTATCAAGGATTTAGGGAATTTTATCAAGACTCAGTTCTCTCTCTGCTCAAGATGCTGTGTGTTGGCTCCATTCTCAGATAGGCTCTTATCCCGTTGGGGCAAAGTGACTGTATTTCCAGCCTTATCTCCTTGTAGGTTGAAATCCAACAGAAAGATATTTGCTTTCCCTCCTAGAAGCCCCCACAAAATTCTCACTGTGTCTCCTTGGTCTGATTGGGTGACGTGCTTATCCCTGAGCCAGTCCCTGTGGCTGGGGATCTGCAGTTGGCTAATGGGCTTATGCCGAGGTCACATGCTCCATCCCTGAGTTGAAGAGAGCCCATCCAAAGCACAGTGGCCTGACTTCGGAGTAGGAGGTTCCCCCAGAGGGCAGTCAGACCAAAGTCACCAGAAGAAGGAGGGGCAGATGCTGGGTGACCAAAGAACAACAATGTCCTCTCACCAGGAATGGTACTTCCATTAGGGTTAGTGTCCAAACTCTCTTTGGAAAGCATTGCTCCAGAATGACAACTGTTGCAGTGTACCAGAGGATTCACTGTCATCAATAGGCCACTATGGAGAGTGGGACATTTTTATCCTAAAGACAAAAATGTGAAGTTGATTTCTTTTCTCTCCTTCTTGGGGAAAACCAAACCATTTACAATTTGTTTCCATTGCTGTGGCTTAGGAAATGTCAGTGTCTGAACAGATGGGGAAGTGAGATGGCAGCATGTGCAATTAGAGTAGGGGGAAGGGGTGTCACCAAGCCCCAGGAAGTCCCATTCCTCACCTGCCCTGGCTTCTGGCGCAACTTGCCTTCCAAGCCCCTTCTCCAGCTGTCACTGAGATTCCTTCCCAAGAATCATTGGAACTTGGGGACCAGCTGAGTGGAGCGATACATTTTCTGGTGTTGACTGAGTTGCCTTCTGAGCCAAACAGCTTGTCTCTATAAAGGGGGAATCCAAATGCTGGGTGCTCAGGCCCCCTCCTCTCTCTGTCAGAGCCTCATTTCCATCCTCCAGAACACAGCTGGAATGCATTACCTTGCACCCCGGTAGAGAACCACTGCCAAAGCATGCATCAGCAGCTCTGCTGCTTCTTAAGGCAACAGTAAGGGAGGTGGTTTTCCCACAATTCTTACCTGCTAGGTGTGGGTTACTTTAAAAATCAATAGTTCACTCTTTTACTGAGGCCTTTCCTTTGTGCAGTATAGCTGATCAGCGGCTGATCCAGGTAGGGACCAGGGCCAGTCCTAGATCTTGCAAAGGTTCCACATTCCAGCCTAGCTGACATATGAGTGGAAAATGAAAAGAGGTGAGAGGCCGAGTCCTTCTTGGTCCGTGCAGCTAGTCTATCCCCATCAGTATGGGTTGTCTGTAGACTGTAGAGGCAACAAGAGGGAGCTGCCTGGAAGTCCTTGAACTAGGGCCAAAGTACGGGTGGCATTTTGACCAGAAGCCTTGAAATTGGCCAAGGCTCCACACTGACTGGTGTTCCAGGGTGCTCTGCACATGAATTGATGCCAAGCACTCTCACATGTACTAGGAGGAGGCGCTTGGCTCTACTCTTGGTGCCCCCAGAGGCTTGTGGGGCTCTGGATGCCTGACCGGTGACATCAGACAGCCTGAGAGTTTCACTCTTGGCGCTAACCCGTCCTGGCCACCGAGCTTTCTCCATTGTGTCTGCTTATCCAAGAGCCAGAGTGAAGTCAGCTCTCCAGATCTGAGAGCTGGCTCAGGCCAGCCTCTCAGCCGGGGGAGGAGGTCAAGTCATTTGGGAACTTAAAAGCCAGTGGAGGAAAAGGTCAAGTTCCAGCCCCTCCATTTGAAGAGAGGTTTTGTCTTTTCAAGAAAGAGAGTGATCTGGGCATGTGGATGTGCCCATTCATTGCTGGGGAAGAAGGGGGCCAGTTCTCTCCAGATGTCTCTCTACAGACAAGAGGCTATGGGACACATGGTGGCAAGGTGACAGGAGCTGCCTCCACGCGAGTACTGCTTCCAATCTGCCAGCCTTCTGTTCTTCGTCTGTCATCCTTGGAATTGTGGGTGACCTCATGCCCAGGCTATAGCCATGCCCTCATCAGGAGACAGCGGCCCAGCCATCCCTTCACACAGGGAAAAGCTTGCTGACAGTGATCCTTGGGGGAAGCGCAGCCTTCTTCCCCAGACAGATCTGGTGGACACCTGGAGTAAAATGATGGCTCCTTGAAAATGCCAAGTTCCACCAGATTCCATGCCCTCTAGGGCTTCCTGGCATAGCCTGTGGACTTGTTCCTGGCTTCACACTTTCTCTGATTGAGTCAGAGCTCTCAGGCACGGCCCAGATTTATAAGCACATGCTTGCTGCCGACAGTGGCAGGTTAGCCTCCTGACCCACTTCTCTCCTGCTTTTGCTCTGGTGTGTGAAGGGAGATGAAGGAGGGGTCAGAGAGGCGGCCACTTGGACCTCCAGCAGGAAATCCTCACTGTGCCAAAGCATTGTGTGTCTGGAGCTGGGGCTGCCCAAGGCACTCTTCTCTGGCCTAACTCCCACTTCCATGGAGCCACAGACCCTGTGTAGACCTGCCCCTGCCAAGCACTAGCCTACAGGTGGGCTCCAAAAAGAGAGACCTGGTCTTTCCAAACAGGTCCCACTTCTCATTCCCTCCTTGTGCTGTTTGGTCCTGGAGGAGGTCCACACACTTTGGCTTTGGACTTTGTTTTAACAAAGAAACTGAGCCTTACAGCTTGAATATGTATAGCTTTATTAGCGGTAACGGGACTCTGGAACCACCGAAAGAACTGTGTCCTCTTCCTGACCTTGTATTGCTTTTGGCAGGCTTCCCAGCTCTGTGCCCAGCAGCCTGTCCAGAGTGAGCTGGTCCAGAGATGCCAACAACTGCAGTCTCGCTTATCCACCCTGAAGATTGAGAATGAAGAGGTGAGTTTCCTGCTTAGGAGGCTCAGAGCCATCCTCTGAGTTTCCCCAGCAAACCTCTTGCTGCTGCCCATCTGGGAGCAGGTGGAAGGAGCATGCAGAGAATGTCCGGGCTGCTGCAGACATTTCCTAGCCAAATGTAGGCTTGGATTTTCCCCCTCTGCTACATCCTGCCCTTGAACTCCAGGAAGTGACTCTTGCATTGCCAAAGGTTGAGCTCTATTTTGAGCTTTTGCAAAATACTTTTTTTTCCCCTTCTACTACACATTTAATCAAAATGGCACTTGGCAGCTGTGTGAACAATATTGTGTCTCTGAAACCACCCCCTCATGCTTGGCTTTTTCCAGCATTTTCAAACAGAGGCCTTTGACTTTGACACTTCAAACATCTCCGTCCTCTTAGAAAAGAGTGGCTTTCTTCTGGGCTTTCAACAAGCAACTCAAAAGGGCAGTATGATTGATTATTCAGCTCCTTTCTTTTGAGCCCGCATGATTTCAAGTTACCTGGCATCTCAGTAAGTTTTGCTGAGATCCAGAAGGACTAGGGGTGGCTCACTTAGTTTGCAAATGGGGAAACAAGCTCATCGATTCTTTGAAGGTCACAAAACAGAACCTGGGGCTTTGCAGGACTAGCCCATCTTACATTTTAACGAGCTCTTTATATGATGGCGATGGTTTGGATTTGTTTCGTTCTCTCTCCCTTAGGACTTCCATTAGAGCCAAGAGCTGATATTAAATTTAAAAAGTAAACATTAAATAAAAGAGCTGGGTCAAATATGTAGCATGAAGCAGGTGGTGGCTTTTATGTCCTCACGGGAGAGAGGAGCACCCTGTAACAGAGTCCATGTGATGTTTATCAGTCACTTAGCATCGTCTGATGGGAAGCAGAGCTGCATCCTGTGACAGCACCCTCCCTCTTTCCTCAGCCTACTCCTCTCCCACTTCTCCCAGCTTCTGCATCTCCTGCGGTATTGCAGCCTGCTCCTCATGCATTATGTTGACCCTTGTCGTGGCAGGTAAAGAAGACAATGGAGGCCACTCTGCAAACCATCCAGGACATTGTGACTGTCGAGGATTTTGACGTGTCTGACTGCTTCCAGTACAGCAACTCCATGGAGTCCGTCAAGTCCACGGTCTCAGAAACCTTCATGAGCAAGCCCAGCATCGCCAAGAGGAGAGCCAACCAGCAAGAGACAGAGCAGTTCTATTTCACGGTGAGGGAGCTCAGTGGCCTTTAAAGATCATCTTTCGGCACTGCAGCACACGGGGGAGATTTGGAACCCAGAGTCCTTTGTCAATTGTCTGAAGGACAGTCTTTGAATATCCTGGATTTGGATCTGGGCGTATTCAGAGACCATACCTACACTTAAAGGCACAAACATTTACAAATCATATCTGTCTGACAGGGACCTCCAAGAGAAAGAATGCTCCCAAGCACACGACCAAGAAGATTTTCTTTTTTAAGAATTTTTTAAGCAGCTAGTAGGCTTCTGTTTGAAGGTTTCCTTCTCAGCCGTAGGGGATCATGAAAGGGGGACTTCATCTCTTGGTTCTTGGGAACTACATCCAAATATTCTGGCTAACACATATCTTGTTTTTAAAGTCTGTAGTCTCTTCTGGTTGACGTGATGACGTTATTTTATAATTTTTGTTGATGGGACATTATTTTTTCGTGATTACTGCTAAAATTCAAAGCGGCAGGTAATGTGCAGCATTGTTGGTTTGCAGAAAATTCTAGAATGTTGTATTTTGTCACTCACGTATCTCCCAGTCTTCTTTTAGACAGATGGACCCATTTTTTTTTAAGTAGTGTTAACAGTCCTTTGGAGGGTTGCTGGCTGGTCTTTGGTGCTGCTTTTTGATAATTAAGTTATTTTGAGCTTGCCAAGTAGGATTTATTGCCTGAACTAAAATTTATTTCCTAATCTTCTGATGACCAAGAAAGGAGAAATTAAGTTTGCAGATGTGAGATGAAATATAGCCAGTGAATATTCATACTGATTCTGAATGAGAGGAATTAACTTGTTTTTCAGTCAAGAAATACAGTCGGCATGCAGTAAATTGAATTTTTCCTCCAACTAGAACAATTTGTTTAATTCTTCTTTGAACACTGCCCTTTCTCTGTTGAGAATACTAGTGATTTGTTATCTTTAAAAAAAAAAATCTGGTTTTTTACTTAGTTAAGCTCAGAATTCAGATTATTTTTTATCCTGAAGAAGACTGTTGAGAGGGAGAGATTTAACAGTATTATTCTTTTAAAATAACGTTTTTTCTTGTTATACAAAACAAAACACGCTTATTATGTAAAATTTTGAAGCAAAGAGAAGAAAATAAAAATCATCCATAATCCCACTACCTAGAGATAATAGTGTTAGGATATATTCCCTTCCAGTCTTTTTTCTATGCATTAACAAACACATATCTGAACATATAATCTGCTTTCATTTAACAAATGATTAATATTTTTCTAAGTAATTTAATTATAGCAATCTTCAAATTTATTTATGAGTAAAATACGAAAATCTGTACAGAGAAATAATGGAATGACATTTTGGCTCCTTCATTAATTTTTGTAAAATATTTAGCACACCTCCTTGTTTGTACTCAGTAAATGCCGAAAGTTTATCACATCATCATTATTAATTTATTTATTGACGTTAAATTACTCATTGGTTGTTTATTGAGGACCCACTGTGTGCCCGACACTGTGCTTACACTGGGAATGCTGAGAGTGCCCAGTGAAGAGGGGAGCGATGGGACCCGGCATGTGAAGGGGGAACTTTTCACTTTTACTTTGTGTATTTCTAAACTGTTATGACAGATTGATTTTTGTAATCAAAAAATATATATAAAATTTTTTAAATGCATACATGCACTTGTACGTGAATGGCAACCAGGATGAATGGAGTTGGGGACCCATCACACACAAAGTGATTTTTGTGTGTGATTTTGAAGGATGAGTGAGCCAGGCAGTGAATCGAGAGGAGAGGGCACTCCTTGAGGAAAGAGCAGCGTGTGCTAAGGCTTAAAGGCGTGCAGAAACCTGCGGAGGATGCTGGGAGAACTTGCCTGTGGTGAGGGCTGTGCGCCACCCCAAGCTGCATTATCTCAGGAGCTTATTGAGCACTCCAGAGGCTTTTAATAATAGGATTGTTTGGCTGGTCTGTCTGGACTGCTTAGATATTGCACTACTTAAGTGACCCAATCTCATTACATTGCAGAAGATTTCCATTTGTTTGATTAACTAAGAAGTTTTCGGGGCCAGCCCGGTGGTATAGTGGTTAAGTTTGTACACTCCGCTCCCATGGCCCAGGGTTCACAGGTTCGGATCCCAGGCGTGGACCTAGCACCACTCATCAAGCCACACTGTGGCAGTATACCACATAAGATAGAGGAAGATTGGAACAGATGTTAGTTCAGCGACAATCTTCCTCACAAAAAATAATTTTTAATAATTTTAAAAAAGAAATTTTGGAAATAAAAATCTGTATCTAAGACTGTCAGATTGTTTTTTGGCTTTAAATGAAGCTATAACATTCGTATTCAAAGTTGACCTTTAGTAAGAGCAGAGATGACCATATTCAAGCTGGTGACCTCTCAGATCCTGCCCACCCATTCGCCTCTGTCTGAATGCATTGATGTCCTCTAACCCATTTCCTGTCTTTTGTGGCCATAGTGCTACTTATCGAAATTGTGTGCAGATTTCCTTGGCTAAGAGGGAAGTTTTTTGTCTGGGCTTGTCTAGTAACACGTTTACAGGAGAGTTCATCATTTTCGTGACTGGTGCTTGGAATGTGTCAGATAATTCATTTCATGATAAAAGGGCTTTTTTTTGGTGAAACGGACATTCAGGGACAGGGGTGTGCGTGTTAAACAGGATGGCTGCATGTGCTTGCCAACCATACAAACCAGCACAACTGCGGGCGTGCTTTTCAGTCTGTCGCCTCCACAAATGTTGCCCGTGTGTTTCCCTGTGCCCTTCAAAAACGTCAGAAGGGTGCATCCTAGAAGCTCCTCCCTTCTTCTGGAAAGTGGGGAAGAGGGCCCTTGCTGTGGCTTTGACTGGTAGGTGGGTGCCTGGGCTCCCAGAGGGCTGCTGGGAAAGCTTTCCCGACTGCTCTCTGCTTGTCTGACCGATCTACCCAGACGACATCAGTTGGAAATTTGAAGCATGACCTATAAAGGTCAGTCATTTGTGGGAGTCCTAGGAAAATAATCATGGAATTTTAAAACTTGACGTGACTTTTAAAAATCATCTAAACAAAACCTTCTCATTTGAAAGTTTAAAAAATCTCAAATTTAGAGAGGATGAGTAGGTCCCAGGGAGCCCAGCAGGAGCTGAAAGTAGAACTCTGGGCTCCTGGTGTCGGGCCGCAGGCTTCTCTCTGCACCTGCAGAAGCCCAGGGGAAGGAAGGCCCCTCCTCTCCTCTGCCCTGAGTGAGGACCCACCTCCCCATCTGATCTCCTTGGCTTTGTGTACTCATCTTCTGTAACACTCAATCAGCAGTCTACTTTTTTCCCCATTGCCTTTTTTCACTGTGATTGTTAAAAAATAGACTTATTTAAAGGTGCAAAAATTTCAAAAGAGCATACAGAAAAATGCCAAGCTTCTACCCATCCCTGACCCCCGCCTCGTCTCCTCTCTGCCAGTGATTGAAACCAGTTTCTTCTCTGACCTTCCAGAGATCTATGCAGTAGATCTATAACACAGTAGAATTACGTTAGAAATGCAATGAAATAAAATTAATAGAAGTATACCACTCATACTGCCCTTTGCTTTTTTCACTTAATTTACTTTGGATATTATTTTCATATTAGTCCTGAAATTTCTGTCTCCTGTTTTAATGGCACAGAAATTCATTGCATGGTTGGATGTACCATCATTTATCTGACGAATTCACTGTTCGTGGGCAGAAATGGTCACTGTTTAGACAAGGATGGTCAAAGCTTTATAAGGCTGGCACTTCTCCTAAGTATTTCCTTGTACAGGGATGGAATGGGGAAGGAGTTAAGGATTATGGCTGATAAACAAAGCTAGACTGCCTGAAGTCCCGGGAGCAGAAGTGGGTAGGGTAATAGGAGAGGAGATGGTACCTTGGCCAGTGGGCAGTTCTCTCAAACTCTAGACTTGGAACTGTGGTCCACGCCCTATTTTAGCTTGTTATTCTCCTGCATGCACTCAGCAAACATGTGCTAAGCAGGTACAAATGAGTGAATGCCCTGCCCTGTCAGTTGAAGTGGGGAAAGAGACTCCTGTTTAAAGGGTTGCACTATTATATATTCTGTCTGACAGCTGTTTCCTGCTTTAAAAATTGATGGGGAGGAGGGAAATGTCAGTGTGCCTGGCTGGTGGGGAAGCAGCCACAATAATGACATCTGTGTGTCTCTGGGCACGGGACTGACTAGGCATAGCTCACTCTTCTACCCACCCTGCCCCTTTGCTGCGGTAGATACTTGTGGCCTTGGGTTCACACAGATTACATCCAAGGCATAAGCAAAGTCTGTGAGTTTTTTACTTCCATGGTAAGACTGTATTGAAAGGGAAGAGGTATTGAAAAATTAAATTTGAAAATATTCTCACGCCTGTTACTAGTGGTTTTTTGTTTTTTTTGAGGAAGATTAGTCCTAAGCTAATATCTGCCACCAATCCTCCTCTTTTTGCTGAGGAAGACCGGCCCTGAGCTAACATCCGTGCCATCTTCCTCTATTTCATGTGGGACGCCTGCCACAGCATGCCCACAGCATGGCTTGACAAGCGGTATGTAGGTCGGCACCCGGGATCTGAGCCGGTGAACCCAGAGCTGCTGAAGCAGAACGTGCGAGCTTAACCGCTGTGCCACCGGGCCAGCCCCTCTTACTATTTTTTTAAAGGCCAGAAACCTGCTTTGATTCAGCTGTCCCATGTGTTAGCACAAAGCAGAGCAGTTTAGGGAAGGACTGTTTTTCGGTTAATTGAGCAGGTGGCTCAGGAGTATGGAAGACTTGAGTACCCGCTTGCTAGTTGCCACATCCCGTGCTCATAGTCACAGGCATGCTTGTTATCCTATTTCATCTTCAACAACCTTGTGAAAAAGATGTTATCCCCATTTTTCAGATGGGGAAACGAAGATTCTGGGACTTAAGTGGCTTGGCCAATGTCAGAAGAGTTAGTAAGTGGTAGGACTGGAATATGCCAGCTCAGGCTTTTTCATTTTACTGCAACTGAAATGTCTGTCAGGGAGGGCTCAGAAAGAAAAACTGTTACAGTAATATTTTTCAATAAATAAAACCCAGTGCTCACGGTTAATGACCAATTAGGAATTATTAAGAAATACGTTAATGAGATCATAAAAACTGAACTGAAGGTTCACAGTAGCACAAAAGCAAAACCACTCAATAGACGCTTTGCCTCCCTTCCTCCTTTTGGAAGCAATTCTCAGTGTTGATAATACTGAGTGCGAAGTTTGGAGGAGATGCGTGGCACCCGTCAGACTGTATTTTAGGAATTTGATTTTATTTTGGTGATCTAGAATAGAACGCTGCCCTCTCTTTTCTCCTCCATTGAAAAAGACTCCGGGCCATCGCTTTACTTTGGCGTGTTTGTGAGGGGAGCAGGGTGCCGGGAGTGGAATGAAATTGAAATGAGTTGCCTCATATTGGACCATGCTTTAAATAAGGAAACTCACCCTTACTGCCCAGGGAAGAGATTTTGAGATAACACATAAACAGTTCTTTTCCTGGCCTCCTGGTCTCCAGAAATCACCAAAAAGCCACCTTTTCTTCCCTTACCATCAGATGTCTTGGCTCCTTTCTGGGCGTGTTCTGGTCAGCAGCACCTGAAGTCTTCTAACTCCTTTCCACCAGTAGAGGCCAGGGTGTTTCTGGCAGCTTCTCTCTCAAACAGATGAGTGCGTATTTGTGGGCAGGGTAGGACCCTGGTAAATAACACACCTGTGAACTCTAGGCTGCCTTTGCCTTCCCACACCCAGCTTACCTAGATGGAAAACTTCCAACCACTGTTTCCAGTTTCAGGGATGCAGGTCAACCTTGATGTAGTTTTTGATCCTTCAGGATTTAATGGAAGCTGCAAAGGTAATCCATCATACCCCTTTATGAGATTGTTATTTATTTTAATGGTTCATCGAGTGACAGCCAGAGTTAACTAGTGAACTGTGAATGTGAATGAAAGAATATTTCTGGAATCACAAGTAGAAACATGAGTGAGAGGAAGGAATTTGCATCCGTCTCCTTTCAGAATTCAGTCTGGTCTTGTAACAGTTACGGTTTTTCTTGGGGAATTTTTCCTCGTTAGGAGACCTTTAGAGTCTCCTGGGATAACCCTCCACAGAGGGGCCTTTGAGGGCTCAGATGTCAGCAGCGGATATTTCCTGCAGGTTTCTCACCTCTGGGCCCTGAAATGCTGTTCCAGGCCTCACTGTTCCAAGTTAGGCATCGGTGGGTGTTAGGATATCACCCAAGGAAGGGTGACAGCAGGTGAGCTGGCAGCTGGAGCAGATGGAAAGGGGAAGGTGACAAGGGAGCCTATTTTCATGCAAATGTTCTCATGCAAAAGCACAAAGGAGCAGAGTAAAGCAACAGAGACGATTTGGTCCAGGGCTTGTCTTATACGTAACTTAGAGTATCGGGGCACACTTAGAGGCTGGCTTTGTGACTGCCAGGGAAGGTCCCCTCTTGTTCGCGGGGGATATGTTCCAAGACCCCCAGTGGGTGCCTGAAACCCTGGATGGTACCGAACCCTACAGATGCTATGTTTTTTCCTATACAAAATACCTATGATAAAGTTTAATTTACAAATTAGACACAGTAAGAGATTAACAACAATAACTAATAATAAAATAGAACAATTATAACAATATACTGTAAAAAAAGTTGTGTGAATGTGATCTCGCTCTCAAAATATCTTACTGTGCTGCACTCACCCTTCGTCCTGTGATGACGTGAGATGATACGGCGCCTGCGAGATGAGGTGAAGTGAGGTGAAGTTGGCATCGTGTGTAGCGCTAGGCCACTGCTGACCTTCTGATGACAGGTCAGAAGGAGGGCCCTCGAGCCATGACCCCATCGATGTTGGGTCAGGAGCAGACGGTGTCAGTGGTTGGGGATCCATCTAAAGGATACTTCACAGCCCGGGGGGAACAGAGCAGAATGGCGCCAGATCTCATCACTTTACTCAGAATAGTGTGCAATTTGAAACTTGCGATTGTTTATTTCTGGACTTTTCCATTTATTATTTCTGGACTGCATGTAACTGAAACTGCACAAAGTGAAACCATGGATAAGGGAGACTACCGTATTGAGTGTCTCCTATGTGCTGGGCACAGTACTAAGCATCAGGATGCAGAGAATGATGGGTGCTGTGGTCTGACCCTAGGGAGGAGGCAGTCGAGAGAGAAAGGCTGGTGAGTAGTAACGGTCTGTGACAGGGCTGTGTGAGAAGTGCCGTCATGGAGAACTGCAGAGGGATGCACAGGAGTGTCTGGGTGAGCACGGAGGCCAGGAGGTGCGTGTCAGAGAAAGCAGGCTTCTTTTCTTTGTTTTCCGCGAGAGTGAGAAGCGTGCTCTTGGTTAAAAGTTCACACTGTATAGAAAGGTACCGAGTAAAAGTAACTACAGTTTGTCACCTTTTCTTCCTGCCCTCACCCTAAGTGGTAATAGCCATAAAATCAGAGGCTTGATGTATAATTATACTTTTTTCCTAATGCATTAAAAGAAAGAACTATTACAATGTAAATGTCTGATCCACTTACCCCCTCAGCTGTGTCGTGTATCCCCGTGCTCTCTGGGTCACGCTCTGGGGGACACTGCCATTTTGCCTGAATTTACTCCTGGGCCGAGGACCCCTGAGCCAGCGGATGAAGCCCTGCATCGGGAGACAGCCGAGGCAAACTGAGATCCCGGGACGGGCTGGCGGGCAGAGCGTCTAGTCCAAAGGCCTGGGCTCCAGGCCTAGCACCCCCACGTCCTGGCTCACAAGAGTAGCAATTTATTTAACACTCCCTTCCCCAGCATCGTCTTCTCATCTGTAATAAGGAAATAATGATGTCTTCCCTAATGTGCCGTGCGGAGTTATCCTGAGTGTCAAATGAGAGAATATGTGTTGAAGTGCTCTGAAGACTTGTACATTGCTACACATATATAAAGAATTAATACTATGAAGTTTTGTTCTGCTTCTCTCCTTCTCCTGCTCTGTACCACAGTGGATAGAGCGTGTTATCATAATGGTCAGGAGAACACATTGTACCGTCAAACTACATATGTTTGGATACTGGCTCTAACATTCTCTCACTGTTTGACCTTGAGCAACAAATCTCTCCAGACCTCAGAGCCCTCATCCGTAAGATGGGGATAATGATAATAATAGACCATAAGGTTGTTTTGAAAATTTGGTGAATTGTCCCTGGGGACATATAGTCGCTCATTGGGCAGACAAAGGTTGAGAGGGGTCAGATAAAAAATGCAGCACAGCAATTGTATTTTGACTGTTAGAGCAGATGGGATGGAATTTCCATAACCTCATCTTGTGTTTGGAGGCAGCAGTATGTGTGCATGCAGGTGGGGGCTGGCAGCCCCGCCCTGAGTGCTTAGAAATCCCAAGCTTTCCACCAAGACTCCGTGCAGAATAGAGGAGGAGGCTGATTAAGACATGGCTCAGACAGAGATGCTCTGCTGCCGGGCTTGCAGCTGAGGCAGGGGCTGAGCCTGCCCTTGGCATTGCTCCTGGTGTGATGGAATGCACACTGGGTGGGGCCGGGCAGGCCTGGATGTCAGTGGAGGTGACAAGTAGCAGGTGTGTGTCCTCATACCAAGAAGACCAGGGCTCGGTGAATCCATCCACTCCTCCTGTTCTTCTCTGGTGGAACTGGAAGAGATGGGGGAGGGGTTCTAGGAGACAGATTCTGACACTGGCCTATATGGAGCTCCCAGGAAACATAGATCGGGATACTAATCCACCATGAAAATCAGCGGCTCCCAGATGCTCAGGGCCTTAAAGAAATAAAAAATGGACCTGGTGGAATTTGAGTCAGAAACCAAAAACCCTCTTAAAAAGGGAATTGTACAGCTGGGCATCTGTAATTTTTTTTTCTTCAGGAGGCTTATTGCTCTTTTTCCTCCTCCTCCCTTACAGAAAATGAAGGAATACCTGGAGGGCAGGAACCTCATCACCAAGCTGCAAGCCAAGCATGACCTTCTCCAGAAAACCCTGGGAGAAAGTGAGTGTGGGAGTTCTGCTGGAGGTTTGGCAATGAGGGGAAGGCCGAGCCCTGAGCTGTACCGCTGAAGCTCCATCCTAAGCCACATGGGCCCGATCTTGTATGAATGCATTTCTTTGCCTAGCCTGTTTGATGTGGAAGCACAGGCCCCAAATGACTGCTTGAGTAATGGGGGAAGGCCAGTGCTTAATGAAGCACTAATGTGCATCATCCACTTGTTTAAATGGAGCGTGCCTGCTCTCCACCCAGTCTCCCACCCTAGCCTCCTCTGCCGCGATTGGAGTGAAGGGGCTGACGGGGTCATTGATTCTCCAGACACTTGGTTAAAACTCTTGCTCCTCTGTGGCAGGACTGAGGCTGGAGCCAGAAGGTAAGGAGCTGTGGGGTGAGAAACCCAGCTGCTCTGAGGAGAGGAGAGGCTTCTCACAGGCCGGGGTGACGGGCAGGCTGCTGCTCTCGGTAGCGTCAAGGTAGAGCATCGATTTCCTTCTGCTTTGAAGGGTCCTGATGCTAAGTGGAAGCCCTCTCTCTGCCTTGGCCATGCTGGGGCCATGGTGCTGAATGCACTGTCTGGTCTCATAGGATGATTTTAACCAGACCCTGGAAAGTAGCAAGGCAGAGAACTGGACTGGCTCTCTGGACTTTCTCTCCTCTGCTGTCAAACAGAAGGCGAAAGTTGAAAGCGAAGCTTCGCTGGGGTTTTTGGCACCTTGCCCAGGTCTCCTGCCTGGCTCTCAGCATCCTTTGAGGAATGGGGTTCCCAGGTTGGGGATGCCTCTGAATGCCCGACCCCACCTGCCTACCCTGCTAATCTCCGCTCTTAAATATGGGAAGGGGGAGGCTACAGGGAGAACGTGGTAACACTAGTGAGAGGCAAACCTGCGCTTGTGCAGAGGTCTGACAATGTCAAATCGGTTCCTGGGCGCTCCTCAGAGAGGCTGCAGAGTATAGGAAAGTGGACACACTCATTGGCTCATTGGCCTCAGGAATCGGAGCCCCACTTTTCATACCAGAGTCCTCCTACCCACCCTTCTTGGCCTGTCCTCCTTCTCCCCTGGACGATTCCCCCAGGTAATTAATTCTTTTATCTCTAATGTCTTCGATCTTGTGATTTTTAAGGCATTTTCTTTTTTGTCAAGAAAGCCTGTTAGGTAACTCTTGTTCTTTCTCCTCCCCACCACCCAAGGGACTCAGGCTGAGCAGATTTGGGCATTGAGATCCAAACTTGGCTTATAGGAAATCTTTACTCTTGGATTATCAGATTGCTCCATGGGGAATTGGAGGAAAGAAAGCCCAGAACTATTTGAAGCACATTATAACTGCAATTTCTTTTTGCCAAGATAATCTAAGCATAGCCCATAAGTGCGATGGGGAGCAGGGCCTTGGGTATGAGAGTGTGTGTGTGAGAGTAAAAGAGTGTGTACACACACGTGCACCAGATGTGCTACTCCGGAGAGGCAGAGGTTGGTGACCATTCATGAGCGCTGCAAATTGCCTTCATCTGAAGATGACAAGTTCTAGCAATAAGGAAAAATAGCCACAGATCTTCCTCTACCAGTCCTCGTGTCCCTGCCTTCTGTGTGTATTTGTCACCATGACACAAGAGCCCTTGTTCTTGCCACAGAGGGATAATTCATGTGTATGAATATTCCAGAATGGAAATGGGACAGATGTTGAAAATAATGGCTCAGAATAATATTTTTGCAGATGAAAGCTGAGCCTTTAGGAATGAGATGCTGTTAGGGGTGGGGCAGGGTGTTGCTCGGGATGAGCTGAACTGTAATCAATTAGCAACCTTTAGAGGCCAGACGAGGCCCCGCCCTCCCCTGCCCCTGCGCTGCCGCTCCAGGAGCTGGATGAGGAGTGCAGGCGCTGCTCTCTCCTGCCCCTGCGCTGCCGCTCCAGGAGCTGGATGAGGAGTGCAGGCGCTGCTCTCCCCTGCCCCTGCGCTGCCGCTCCAGGAGCTGGATGAGGGGTGCAGGCGCTGCTCTCCCCTGCCCCTGCGCTGCCGCTCCAGGAGCTGGATGAGGGGTGCAGGCGCTGCTCTCCCCTGCCCCTGCGCTGCCGCTCCAGGAGCTGGATGAGGGGTGCAGGCGCTGCTCTCCCCTGCCCCTGCGCTGCCGCTCCAGGAGCTGGATGAGGGGTGCAGGCGCTGCTCTCCCCTGCCCCTGCGCTGCCGCTCCAGGAGCTGGATGAGGGGTGCAGGCGCTGCTCTCCCCTGCCCCTGCGCTGCCGCTCCAGGAGCTGGATGAGGGGTGCAGGCGCTGCTCTCCCCTGCCCCTGCGCTGCCGCTCCAGGAGCTGGATGAGGGGTGCAGGCGCTGCTCTCCCCTGCCCCTGCGCTGCCGCTCCAGGAGCTGGATGAGGGGTGCAGGCGCTGCTCTCCCCTGCCCCTGCGCTGCCGCTCCAGGAGCTGGATGAGGAGTGCAGGCGCTGCTCTCCCCTGCCCCTGCGCTGCCGCTCCAGGAGCTGGATGAGGGTGCAGGCGCTGCTCTCCCCTGCCCCTGCGCTGCCGCTCCAGGAGCTGGATGAGGAGTGCAGGCGCTGCTCTCTCCTGTCCCGCTCAGGGCCTGCTTGGGTTTTCTCTGCTTTATCTAAATAGGACTAATACAAACCAACCTTGGTTAATGTGGACCCAAAGAAGGCACCATAGAGTACATCCTGGTCCGTGCACACATGTTAGGTATTTTGTTAAAAACATAAGAATACTTCGAATGAACTTTGATTCTTCTTTTTTCTTTTACATGCATTTTATTTACTTATTTATTTTTTATTGAAGTAACAGTTTATAACATTGTATAAACTTAAGGTATACATCATTATATTTCGATTTCTGTGTAGACTGCATCATCTTACTTTAAGATTTTCAATTCCATTTTTTAAAGCTGGCAGTGACCCATTCAACTTACTATTAGAACCCACTATCAGATTGAGAACCACGGTTTGATAGCAATATCAGCATTAAATCTCATTTTTCCCTTGCCACCCCAGCCCGACCTAGTAGAAGTTAGTATGAATCTAAAACTAGAACTTTCGTATCTTCTCCCTCCTGTCCCCCGACAACTCCTCCTTCTCTCTTTCCCTGCCACCCTCAACCGTGTATGTGTGTGTGTGTTCATATACTCACGAGCAAGCAAGCTTGTCCCTCCCTCCTTGCCACAAACGTACACCCAACACACACAGAAGAGCAGTTGAATTTCGTCTCGGGAAGACGTCTAATAATTTGTTCTCTAAAATGTGATCTGCCTTGCCACGGTTCCCCTACACCCACCCCTGTTTTCCCGATGGGAAGCAGAGCTGGCACACCTAAGGTCAGGGACACAGCAGCCCTGGACTGGGAACACGTGGCAGAAGCAGCACTTGCCCAGAAAGAGGCTCTGGGCGCTTCTCTTCTTTTCTGCCTGGAAGGCCATTGGCGCCGTGATATCAGGGGCTCTCTGGGGAGACGGGGTAATTCCTTGGAGCGAGTCTCCCTCTTTCACCCCTTCTGCTTCAACATGTGCTTTTCTGCCTTTGTCTTTCCAACAGGTCAGCGGACAGATTGCAGTCTGGCCAGGTAGGTGTGGCCTGGGACAGCCCTGGAAAGGGATGAAGAGAGACCGATGGGGTCGAGCCATCCCAGTCTGGGAAGGAGCCAAGGAGCTGAGCGGAAAGGGCGGTGGGTGGATGACTTCGTGAAGGAGTGGCCCAGAGCAGGAATTTCTTCCTTCTCTTTGCCTTGGTGATCGTCACCGTCTGGCCTCGACTGGAAGTGGGACTTGCTTTAACTTAGGCAAAAAGCTGAGCAGAACTGAGCAAAGGGAGTTATCATTTGCTAAAATAGTCCCAGGACTCCCAAAGGCCACTGCATTGCAAGGAGAAGAAGTGTTTGCCTCTGGAGGATCCCGGTAACCTAACCTTAGCTGCTAGACTTCGGCATGCGGGCTTTGGGAAGTCTCTGACCCAGAGAAGGAAGATCAGGAGATAGCATTTGATCTGAGATTTTTTTTTTATGCATGGAAAAGATGACGGCCCCTAATTTAAGTGACTTGCTGGATAATGAAATATTACATTACATGGCTTGCCAAACAGCATTGGTGGAAACCCTTGCCTGACGTACAAGTATGCAACCCTCCCAATCTTTCCCCGCCTTCCCCCCCTTCCCCCCAGCCAAATATTTTCCCTCCCAGTCACAGAGCTGCTATGAGAAAACTCGTGAGCTGGCGGAGAGCAAGGCATTCATTCAGCCAGCAGTTCTCAGATGCCTAAAAATGTGCTGATTTAACTAGAGAAAGAGATTTTTAATGGGCTGGACTCCTTAGAGACCCTGGGTTAGCCCATTATATCAACCACTTATATCTGCCAACACACACAATAATCATGAGGCCATTTACAATTATAGGCTCATTATTTAGAAGTAGCTTCATTTGGCTTTCATCATTTTGTCATTGTGGATTACAATAAAGATCCCATTAATGTACCAATATTGTTGACCAGAGGAACCAGAATAATGGAATTCTGTGGAATATATCTTCTTGGTGATAGAGTCTTAGTAGAAGTTCACCTGAAATGCTATATCTGCAGAAGGCTCTATGGGAGTGAAGAGAGCTGAACTGAATTCCCTTATCCTGTGTTACTTCATTGTGTGACCTTGGGCCACTCTTTTCCCCATTCTGAACTCCACTTTCCTCATCTATCAGACAAGAAAGAGCATTCCACTAACTCCAAGGAGCTCTAGGATTCCAAAGAGGTTCCTCAGCGGTGGCCTGGTGGGAGGGGCACAGGGAGCCCAGTAGCCAGGTTCTGGTCCCTTCCTTCACGAAGACAGGGCAGTGCTGCCCTCCTTGCATGGTGATTGTGCCTCAGTCAGAATCCCTTGGAGAAAAGCCTTCTAAGTCTCAACACAGCTTGAAAAGCATTGACCTAGAGGATCGCCAATATTCCTTCCAATCTGGATGCTTCACCCCCTGACTTCCAGGAAAATTGCTCCCTGTCTTTTCCCTAAGGATTTCTAAGAAAGAAAACTATAGCTTCCTTTGGTGTTTACTAGTGTCTCTTTGCAAACAGAGAGATCTTCTCACTGTCAACCCAAATTTATTTTACTGCCAATTGAACCAAGTCCCTCCTATTCTCATTTTGAATGGTGGCAGACATTAAAAGCAAAGACCCCTTTGCTTTTGTGAAAAGGGCTTTATTTGAAAAGTAACTTAAAAAGTCTCTTAGCCATTTCTGGGACTGAGCTGAATAACATGACTTGTTTCATTAACCACCATCAGATTGTTTTTAATCCCATTTTCTCCTTTTCCTTCCTGTTGCTGGATCGGTCCTCTCTGACTCGGCGGGGTCAACCATAGGCGTAGCTCAACCGTAAAGAAGCAGGTAAGGGCCCAACAAGAGCCAGGCTGGTCTGGTGTGAAGAGATTACATCCCACAAACAATTGTGGAACTCCACTGTGGGCAGGACAGACACCTTTCTGACTTCATGCCTGCCTTTGGAATGTACCATTTGGTCATAGTATGTTTAATATTATGGCAACTTCATTGATTTAGCTTGTTTAGCTGGAGTGGCCCTGGTCTCTCTTGACTTGTTCCTCTCCTCTCTATTCATTGACCCTTTTACGTACTAGAGATTTGGGTTGACTGTGGCAGATTGTGCCAGAACTGCCCTTGGCATCTCTTCTCTACGAGACCACAAAAGAGGCCTCACACTTTGTGCATCTGTACCAACACGTCAGTAACTCATAACAGCTAATCACCTGGACGGGGCGCTCTTGCTTTAAGTTTGCAGACTTTTGTTTGTTTCTGGTGGTATAGTCATCCCAGATGTATTTGTGAGACATGCTAAAAATGCAAAGATGGGTCTGGTCTAGGAATGATAGGCAAGAGATGTTGAACTCTGCAATTTTGTGCATTATCTTCAGTGTTGTATTGAAATCTGACATGGGCAGCTAGCTCTCAGTACTCATATTAGGAGGGATCTTAGAGAGCAGTGGCATGGGTGATCCACGTCAGTGGATCCAAACAGCACTTGAGCTTGTTTAAAAAAAAATTAATTGAAATATTTTTTGCAGTAGCATATTTAACCTTCTAATTATACTTTGTGGCAAATACTGAAATGATTTTGTATGCCCTAAGCACACACCAGCCATGCAGGAGGAGTTAGCAAGGAGGAGGTGGAGACATCTCAGAAATGTCTTTGTGTTTACTCAGGGGAAAGCTGATTTGGGCTTTAAAAAATCATTTTGGGTAATTCACAGTGGCTGTAGCCACAGGGAGATAATCGAATGTAGGGGGCACATGGTTTCTGTGGTATCGGCAGCCCCAGCAGCATCTTCAGCCGATCTGACTGCTCCAGCTGGCTGGGTAGTCTGGCTGGGGAACTCGGATGACAGCCCTCACTCGTCTTAGCCTTAGTGTTACCATTTTTTTTCCTCTCTACTTTGGATCTCATTTTAATGAGAACACCATTGGATACAATTACACATTTTTTAACTTATAAAAATTTCATTGCCACTCTCGTTCCTCTTATTTCTCTATTTCTTCTTCTCCTTTCTCCCATAATTTCTTTTAAAACTAGAGAGAAATGGAGTTCCTCCCAGGGATAACTTAGTGCATTTAAAATTAATAGCTCGTATCTTAAAGAAGAGCAAGTCTTTTTTCCCTTCAACACTTAGAGCAGGATGGAACTTGAAGTTTGTTCCTTTCAGTTTCTGGACTGAAACTGGGCCTCCTACTTGTAGAAGGAGCATGGTCCAAGGGCTTCACAGCCTCCACCCTGGCTGCAGGAGTGCCAGAGATCACAGTTTGGCAGGTGGTGTATGCCCCTGGTTGGGCTCACCATCTAAGGAACAGGGCACCCATCTGGTTTGCATCCTGCTGCGCCTAAGCAGTTACTGGCAAAGCATATTTTTGCCTGGTGCTAGATTTGCGTAAGAGTTCCAGGATACACCAAAAACCCCAATCAAATAAAGATCTTGTTTTCATTCTGCTGCCCCGGTTTCTTTCCAGCAGCTCAAATCTAATGGTAGATCAGTAAAGAGTTTTTCTAAGATGGTCAAGAGGGTAAATAGTATGTAATTTGGAAGATGAGTAATCTTGTGTAAGTCACCAGGAAGTAAGTATTTGTTCATTTGTTTGTTTATGGCAAATCTGCCAAACAAGAGAAAGAATCTGAAAGCTTTTGTTTTTGAGGGTCCCTAATGGGTTCCAGTCATTTTTGACCCTAGCAAAGATTAAGTTCAAACCATCCCAGACTTTTCTTCAAAAGGAGATGCCTCAGCTGCTGCTTGCCTGCTCCCTTCAAACCCAGCATTTTCTCTCTCCCGTTACTGCTATGTCTTCTCTGCTGGCTGCTGGCCTTTCTTTCTCCATTCCTCTTAATTTAGGCATTTCCCCAAAGCTTCGTCCTCTTTGGCCTTCTCTCCATATGCTGTCCCTTGTCACTTTTGTTTCCTCAGATGACTCTTTCTCTCCCTCTCTAAGTGTCCATTTGTTCTGTAGTACTGTCATTCTGAGTCTTTGGATCTAACTACTAAGTGGTGGGCTGGACATGAATACTTGAGAGTTGAGACAGCACCTCCCACCCTCAGCATCAGTCTCCTAACCTTCTCCACCGCGTCGTAACTTCCCTAGCACCACCCCTGACGTCTCTATTTCTCTTAATGGGCACCCTCCATTCTTCACAGTCCCTGAAGCCTCAAATCTCATCTTTGAGATCTCCGTTTTTTTCTCTTTACCCGCATCTAATCGGCTGTCAAGACTTGTATTTTCTTCCTTGGTGAAAACAGGAACCTAACAACTGTAATGGAGAGCAGTACCTGGCCGTGCAGAACTCGGCACCCTTGTGGCATTCCAAGTGCAGCTTGTGTATGTGCTCTGCAGCTGGGCCGGCAGGCCTGACGCTTCTCTGTGGACTGGCCGCTGATCCAGCTGAGACAAATTCCGCGCAGCTTGGCTCGTTTTCTCTGACCCTGGGCTATCCCTGTTTAAAGATTCTAATATTGTGTTTCTCTTCGGTTTTTCAGGATTCCAGCCAGGCAATTCCTCTGGTGGTAGAAAGCTGTATCCGGTTTATCAGCAGACATGGTAAGCAGGATTATAGCCTTGCCCATATTTGTGCAAAGCTGGGAAGCGCTTCCAGGAATTCTTTGTAGAGTAAGAATAGAGATTGACTTCCCATCCTGACATTCTCAGAAAAGGAATAAAATCTTATTTGTTCTCATAATGTTTGCTGCTTCAGAGTGGCCACACCTAGACTTTGAGAGAAAGACATCATGTGTTTTGACCCCAAATGCCTCAGCCACTTACCACACTCCCTTTTCCAGCTTGAGAGTGAGTTTTAAATCACAGCTGTTATGTGAGTAAGCCCAGCTGGTATGATGTGGTGACGGTCGTTTCGCCATTACTCACCGTCTTTGCACGTGTCGGTATCTGCACCGCACGGCATGGACCATTATGTCACATTGGCTTTCTGCGTCGCTTTGAAAACGACTCCTTTGGAAATGTTGCATTGATTCCTAATCATATTCAGCTTTTGTTCTGGTTTGGTCTCCTTGGACTGAGAATCATCAAGAGCTCAGTTAGTAGCTGGTCTTAAAGTTGTAGCCAACATTTGAGAGTCTGCGGGGCTGGCTCCTTCTCAGCCGAAGTCAGATCATGCTAGCTTCTGCTTGGATGCAGCCGAATCTCATAAACTCCATTTCTCACCAGCTCCTAGGCTAGTCGGACAGAATTTAGGGATAGGGATGAATTGCCAGAGAGTTGATCTTCCACGTATAAGAGTGTTTAGAAAGCACGTATATCTGAGCTAGCACCAGAAAGATTCATTTCTAGCAACTGGGCGTCAGAAATTGTTTTTAGATGCTGTCCTGTCTAGTTATAGGAAAAAGGACAGAGTGACCTTCTTGGAGCTGAGGAGGTAGGTAGATGATTGCCGGTCTCAGTTCATAGGCAGCCTCTCTCCCCCTTCCTCACCTTCCGCTCTCCTGGTAAACTGAGACATTGCTGGGGTTCATTTTTGGAATAGTAATCATTGTGGCATGGTTACGACTTATCTCATTCTAATCAGCTACAGTTTTTTCATCTTATCTCTATTCAGTTGAAGTGACAGCTCTGTCCATCACTATTGAACAGTCAGCAAAAACTTATCAAGGCCCTGATCAGTGCTGGGCCCCAGGCATTGCCACCCAGGAAAGCAAAAACAGGGTGATACCCTGTCCCTTTCTTTACCTGGCTTTATGATACAGTTGGGAGAAAATAAACAAGCAAGTGAAAAGTTAAATGAAAAGAGATAAGCTGTAGTAATTCAGAAGAGCAGTGTATGAAATTTCACAAGATAGTAATGATTAATGGTCAAACAGCTGGCAAAGATAAGTCCAAACTGAGTTCAGGGGAGGAAGAATTATTTGCGCCTAAAGGACAATGGGAAGAAGAGAGTCTGAACTCCTGTTCTTTTATCCACGCAGTCCATTCATTCATTCATTCATTCAACAGGTGTATATATTGATGGCTCATCGCGTGCCAAGAAAAAGTTCCTGTCTTCATGAACCTTACGTTCTACTACAAGACAGATAATCGGACGATCAGTTGATCGGTCGATAAATAAACGAACTATGTACACTGTGTCAGGTGTTGGTGACTGTCGTGATGAAAATCAAGCGAAGCGAGCAGATGGAGAAGGGAGAGGGGACGCTGTTCTAGTGGGTTGTTCAGGGAAGAGGCCTTAGGTCACCTAAGAAGGTAACATTTGAGCAGAGTCCTAAAGGCAGTGAGGGAGTGAGCTCCCTGGGTATCTGGGGAGCAGTGTTTTGGGAAGAGGTAACATCAAGAGCAGAGGCCCTCGGCACACGCCAGGACCAGCACGCAGGAGGCCAGTGTGGCGAGAGCAGAGTGAGTGAAGAGGAGAGTGACAGGAGATGAACCAGAGGCCAGACTCTTAGGGCCTCATCGGGTAAGGTTGGTGTTTAGATTTTATTCGGAGTGAGGTGGGAAGCTTTTGGAGAGGAAATGATCTTGTTAAAGGATCCCAGGCTTCTGTACGGAGAGAAGACCACAGGAGGCTACTGCAGTAACCCAGGGAAGACATGACAGTGGCCTAGACCAGGGTGTTAGCTGTGAGGAGCTGAGAAGTGCATGGGTTCCAGATACAGTGGCTTGAATGTCCCTGTCCCTGTACAGGCGTACTGCATGAGGAGACAAAAACGAGCACATGTCTGTGGTGAGGCTCTGGGGAAACAGGTATGCTCAAATATTGCTGACGGCAATGCAAACCAATAAACCCTTTTGGAGGGGAATTTGGCATTATCTAACAAAACTACATATGTGTTTATCTTCTGATCCAGCAGTCCTTCTAGGAATTTACCCTGAAGATATGCCTTCAAGAATATAAAAATACATATGTACAAGGTTATCTGTTGCATTTGTAGTTGCAAAATATTAGAAACAACCTAAATGCCCATACATAGAAGAATGGATGAAGAAACTGTGTATGTATAAGAATATACATGTGTCTGCTTACTTCTACAAGAAGAAATGCAGGAAGACTGACTCCAGAAACCATCATTTGGTTTTGTTATCGACAGTGGGTGGGTGGAAAAAGAGTGAAGAGAATGGGGGAATGAGAAATGGAAGGGAACTGACATTCTCTGAGTATCCCTTTTTGTGTAATTTTGACTTTTAGAACTACGTTTGTGTTTTTCATACTCAAAAGATAAATAAATAAATAAAATAACAGTGTGGGTAAAACCCAAAATGGAATGCAAACAGTAACAAATAAGCGTAACTGTGTTACAAAGGAACACCACAACCACACTGAAGTGCTGAGGAAGAAAATAACTCGTGTGCGGAAAACAGTATTTTGATTATATACTGTAAGTCTAAAGACAAAAAGAGCTGTAAACAAATATTGTATAGGAGTTGGTAATTTTTTTTATCACAGGGATATGGGCCAGCAATTCTGAAACCATATTATGTGTATTCTAGGATTGAACAAGTAAACATATTGTTGACTTAAAGAAAAAAATACTTAGTACATAGTAGCCGTTCAAAAAACACTTGTTCAGCTAAACCGAACTTCTTCCCCAAATGGGGCCTCAAAGTCTTCCTGAACTCCCTGAACATTATGGGGAAAGTTTTTGTGTGTTTGCATGTCTGGGGATGGGACCATAACTTTTGTTGGTCCCAAAAGGGTCTGTGGCCCACCAGCTGCTAGCGTTTGCACATCTTTACTCTCTTCACGGCCCCTGGGAGGTAGATATTATAGTCCCCACTATAGGGAGAAAAGCTGAGGCTCGTCTGTCACTGGTGGGTCAGGGTGGTCCAGGAAGTCTTAAAGGAGGGGAAGAGGTGTGAGGGACAGCTGAGACTGAGTCCAGTTGGGAAACCCCACCATTTCATGAGGAAAGGAGCCATGTAATGCGAGCAGGAGGTGGTGGGGTGGCAGTGCAATCATTTCGAGAATTCTCTAGGAGAGCAACTCTTGGCGACACCTGGACCCAGCACAAAATGGAAGGTTTTGTGCCATTTCCAAATGACTTGCCCAAGTCTGACTGGTTTTATACTTTTATGTTAGTGTGCACTAAGAAAAAAATGAAGAAGATCATGGATGTGTCAGGTTGGTGATGTGCGGCCTTACCTGCGTTGTAATAAAAGCCAACTGCTCTTCCCCTTTATTTTCTGAAAACCACCATTTATTAATGTTTTTACTTTCAGAATCATCGATTAGACGCTAAAGATTCTGTCTGTTGAGCAAGAGCACGTGATGGTCCTTCTAAAGCATTGGTTCTTGAGGGGGGTGGGAACCAGGCGGAAGGGACCTCCGTTGTCTTGAGCCTGTGGCCTAACTTCCCCTGAGCTCTGCTGTGAGTTCTTCTGGTCCTGGGCCCAGAGGCCCCAGCGGCTTTCCTTGATGGTCTGATCTACCAAGAAGTATGGAAACGATCCCCTCTCAGCAAGTCATTGGCTTCACCAGCGACAAGAAGCAGAACGTGCTGAGTAGCCTGGTCCCTGAGATGACATTTGCGATGATATAGTATAGTAACTGTTTTTGACAAGTCGCCAGGCATGTGGCTGTTTCTGGCGGAACACTTGCTGTTTACTTCCATGTTTGAATGACATTATCTGGCTGTTGCATCCCATTGGTAACTACTATGGTACTTTTACATTGGTGCTAATGGGGTTTAAACATTGCCTGACATTCTGTGAGGAATATTCTGGAGATTCCCTTACAGGAGCACACAACTTAAGTCCTATTACAAGCCAGGTAATTAAATTCCCCCTGCTTACTTCTTCATACTGCTCCCGTTGGATTCAGGATTTCAGTCCTGGCCTGTGTAGTTACCTCCAAAGGTCCAGCTGGTAGAATCTAGTGACCCCCTCAGCAAGAGGGTGGCCCTGAAACAGTGGGCAAAAGGTAGCATTTTTTTGTTTGTTTTCCTGAAAAAGAAATTTGTTTGAGACTTCCCTAAGTTTTTCATGGATCATGCCATGACAGGGGGACTTTGACAAAATTCCCAAGATTGAGACGCAGGGCTCCAGAGGAGGGCGGGGCAGGCCTGATGTGAGTCAAGGTGCTGGTTCAGTTCGACCGACAGGCCCAGCACTAGGGACATGCTTCCTGGATCGCTTGCCCGTTTTGCAGTCGCATGGGTGGTGCCCTCTGTAAGCCATATCTGTGTCAGACCAACAAATGGGTTCCCACCGCCTCTGCACTTGCCCCCCAGGAGGCCCTGCAGCCTGGTGTTGAGGAAGGAGTACAGGGCTGCGCCTGGAAGGCCTGGGTTTGCATCCTGGCTCTGGTTCTTAGCACCTGGATGACCTAAGGCTGGTCATCACTCATCAATCCCTTCGTCTAGAAAATGGGCTTGCTAGTTACCCCTACCTTAATGCCTGGTATGAAGACCAGTTGATTTATTTATATGAAAGCATTTCTTAGCAGCAATCACCACACATGCATTGTTTCTTTATGATATTTCTACTCTGACAAAACCAAGAAGACAAAGTTTTCATGCACATCATCATACTGTAACATTCACGTGTGTTTGCCTTTAGAGTTAAGCAGCAGTCAAGGCCCAGTGGCTAGCACCGTGTCTGGCAGTACTGTCTGTTGACTGTTCAACAGTCAAGTCCTCTTTTTACCTAAGTATTCCAAGCATTGTGCCCTAGAACAGCCGAATAGTGCCAGAACAGCTAAAGTGAGAATTACAGTCTCAGACCACGTGAAACTCCTCCAGTGGGGTCTCATGGCTTGCTTGCCATGCCTCCAGTTACCATTCCTGACTCCGGGTGATAAGAAGGTGCCGCGGGTCACTTCCCCACTTTGCAGTTGGGAACAGAGAGGCAAGGCTGGGGAGGGAAGCTAGCTGCCTTGTAGTCTCCCTCAGAATCCGAAATGGAGCCGGTGTGGACGTCTCTTCCCTAAGTCTCTGACTCGGTGCTTTCTGTAGGCTGATGCCTCCTGGCCGCCCCACTGACTTTTCCAGCATCCTTGCACGTGCCTTCTCCTCTGGCCTCTGAGAGACAGGCTGCTGAAACACCCTGGCTGGGGAGACAGACATTCAGCTAAGCTTGGAGCTGTGATCATGAATTTGCTTTTTCTTCTCCTGATCACTTTTCCCTGTCTTTCCAGGGCTGCAGCATGAAGGAATTTTCCGCGTGTCAGGATCCCAAGTAGAAGTGAATGACATCAAAAACGCCTTTGAGAGAGGTGAGGAAACAGCCTAGAAGATAAGCCCAAATATCTGCCAGCCCCCTGGCATATCGGCTCCACCCTTTCTACCCTGAGAGGCGCCCAGAGCTCAGCAAGCCAGCTTGCCTCCCTCTCAGGCTGGCACCTGCTCTCTCTTGTGGACGTCCTCCCCCAGGTGTGCGGGGAGATCAGGGCACACCCCAGCTCCCTCCTCCTCAGCCCAGCTCATCTAGCCTCTCTCCTGCGGGTGATCTGCCAAAACCCAAGAAGTTAACTATGATATCTGGGTGGTTTATGGCTTCATCCAGAACCCTTGGTGGCAGTTAATATCAAGGCTAATGCGCCTGTTCATCGTAGCCCATTTATTATCTTGTGGGCTATTAAGGTAATGGGCAAGCTTTGGCAATTTCCGTCACTGTAATGGATACATATAGTTTCAATTTGAGGTTGGTCCTATCATTAAATCTAATTACACCTGATATGAAATTTTCCATAGGGAGCTCCAGCATGATTGTTCTCCTGTAAGTAGGTGTCCTTTGTTGCAGGCCAAGAGGAGTGAGAGCTAGTCAGAGGGACCAGCCTCTCTGGCCTCATTTTCCTCCCCCAGGGGCTCAGTCCAGCCCGGTTTCATGATTCTTGTCAGTTGCTGTGTCCTGTCCCTAGCCCACAGTAAATGTCCCTTAGCTAGTCTGGCACAAGTGAATTTATGCTAGTGGACTCCCGTGCCCCCTCCTCTGGCCCTGGGACCCCCGACCCTGAGCAATCTTCACTTTGTCTCTCCCTGGTCTGCCCCTCTCGTGGCCACCATGCAGGGCCGAGAGCTGGTGGGCTGTGCTGAGGACTTGAGTAGCCCGCCCCTTCCCCACCACCTCTGCTCCGTCCTATGCAGTTTTGCCTCTCTCACTCTCTCTTTCCATTTCGGGGGCTTGCTTATCCTCAGGAGAGGACCCCCTGGCTGGGGACCAGAATGACCATGACTTAGACTCCATAGCCGGCGTCCTGAAGCTTTACTTCCGGGGGCTGGAACACCCTCTCTTCCCCAAGGACATCTTCCGTGACCTGATGGCCTGCGTCAGTAAGTACCATCCTGGCCTCCGACTGGCTTCTGGACAGAGCACCTTGTAGCAACAGATAAGAAAATTCCAGGGGGGCTTTTTTTCTCCTGAGCTTTTCAGTAATGTTTTCCTCTTCCCCAGTGAAGTTCTTCCTCCTGGTCCTCACTCCTTCATCCTCTGGTAAGGGAGGAGGAAGAATGACTTCTCAGTGACAGTCTAGGTCCACAGTCAGGGATCCTGGCTTTTTTCTTTCTGATTCACCCTAAACTCCTTTGTTTCACAGGGCTTTACCTTTCTTCAGTAAAATACATTTGTATTCATATGGAAGACGGCATCCTTTTCGGCTATTGGAAGCTTAGACATTAGTGCTGTGCTTTTCCTGATACAAAGGGAGAAAGCACAGGTGTTGCAAACCTGTCCTGCTTCTGCTTTGAACATGGCATGGCTTCCCTCCAGACGTGTTGTGTGTGTTCTAGGAATGAAAGCCCTCTGCACATTTAAAAGGAGCCATGCGCTGTTTTCCCGGAGAGAGATACAGTCTCTACTTTATCCTTCTTAGGGGTTCTCTGTTTCTTATTCTAAAATTTGGGTCTTGAAAAGCTATTCCAGGCCATTTAGGGGTTTTTTGGGTTTTTTTTTTTTTGAGGAAGATTAGCCCTGAGCTAACTACTGCCACTCCTCCTCTTTTTGCTGAGGAAGACTGGCTCTGAGCTAACATCCATTACCATCTTCCTCTACTTTATATGTAGGACGCCTACCACAGCATGGGTTTTTGCCAAGCGGTGCACCCGGGATCCGAACTGGCAAACCCCAGGCTGCTGAAGCGGAACGTGCAAACTTAACCGCTGTGCCACCAGGCCAGCCCAGGCCATTTAGTTTAGATCATGATACTGGAACATCCTTCATTTGTTTTCCATGGAAACTTGGATTAACACTGGAAGCAGACCCCACTGGAATGATGGCTTCAGAGGCTGGAGAAGGCAGTGGCCTTGGAAATGGAGAAAAGGTCTTTCTTTCCAGATGGACCGGAGTCTTCATGCCCCCCGAGTTTCCAGTTTGACTCAGTATATGCCCCGAGCATTGTCCCTCTCTGTTGTTCTGAGAGAGAAAGAGCATTCAGGAAGCCCTCATGTTTTATTTGTTGACCAGCTATTTGTGGGAGTCTAGTGGAAATGAGTTCTCTGGTGATTAGGTATATGCACCCCTCGTGTCTTCGTGTCCTTTTCTAGGCCTGGGCCTAGGTAGAGCATCTTAGTGGACTGGGGCTATCAAGACAGGGCAAGATGCCTTGGCTGCCCAGTTCTTCCCTTGAGATGTGCTCCTGATCCACGGCTTCCCGTTTCTTTTTCACATAAAGGCACTCATAGAAAATGACAGCATCCACATGGCACACTGTGAAGTGGGGAGGCTGGCCATGATGGAGGCCACCAGCTTAGAGCCATGCCTGTGATTAATCTGTCCGCAGCACATGAGTCAGGAAACTTCTCTGGTCTTCTCCCCTGATATCACTACTTATACAAGTAGTAATTTCTACCATTTCTTGCCCCTGGCCACATTCTACCCCTCCCCACTGAAGATAAGGGAGGAGAGAGGATAAGCCAGATTTACCCAAAGGATGAGGTGACGCATGTGTAGAGCTAGCAGGACAAGACCTGCACAGCCTCTCTCCCTCCCCACGTGTGGACCCTCCAAGGCTGGGAGTCGAGCAGTTGTAGCAGATTTATGGACAGCTGCTTGTCTGTGGTTGTTTTAATAAGAGGGTGGTAGATGCTGTAGGGAACATCTCCAACCCCTTCTGTGCCCAAGGAGCATAAACCTGAAGTCCTGCCTCAGGAAGTGTCTAGAGCCCAGCATGTGCCCTATGGCAGCAGCCCAGCCCCAAGGAGCTACAGGAATGGGACTCCTTACACGGCACCACTGCTTGTGGCCGTGACCTGGCCTTCCTCTGGATTGTACCTGCCAGTAGTAAGGGCGTCTTACCATTGCTCCCTGGGATCTCAGCCACAGTGGAGGATAACGCATGGCTTTCTCCTTTCAGCAATGGACAACCTGCAGGAGAGAGCTCTGCACATCCGGAAGGTCCTCCTGGTCCTGCCCAAAACCACTCTGATCATCATGAGATACCTCTTTGCCTTCCTCAGTCAGTGAGTAGACTTCCCAGTGAGCAGCTGGGTCAGGCCTTGGCTTCGGCCCCTGGAAGTTTACACAGGGACCTGTTGAGACATCCAGCCCACCAACTATTGATTGAGTAGCTCCCATGTACTGGGCACAGCTGTAGGCTGTAGGAACACACTGTGAAATAAGAGACGAAAGCCCTGATGTCACTCAGCTCACATTCCAGGGTAGGAGACAGAGAACAGATATGTCAGGTGGTGATAAGTATTTATAAGAAAAATAAAGAAATGTAGATATGAAATAGACTGCAGGGGTCTGATTGGGTCAGGGATGAAAGAGGGAGAGCCCCTGAGAGGGGTGGTCAGCAGAGGCCTCGCTCAGAGGCAGGGTCCAAGCAGCAGCCGAAATGAAGGAAAGGAAGGAGACGCAGGAACATTGGCCACCATTGAACCTGAGAGGCGTGGGGTTGCAGTTGTGGATTTGGGAAGCCATTGGAAGGGTTTAAGCAGAAGAGTGTTGGGATCTGATTTTTTTTGTTTAAAGGCACCTGAGCTAACTTCTGTTTCCAATCTTCTTCTTCTTCTTCTTCTCCTCCCCAAAGCCCCCCAGTACATAGTTGTATATTCTAGTTGTGGGTGCCTCTGGTTCTGCTACGTGTGGCGCCGCCTCAGCATGGCCTGATGAGCGGTACCATGTCCTCTCCTGGGATCCAAACCGGTGAAACCCCGGGCCGCCGAAGCAGAACACACAAACTTAACCACTCGGCCGTGGCGCTGGCCCAGATCTCTATGTATTCTTAGGACCTATCAGCTGCTCTGTGCAGAAGTTGTCGCAGAGGGCCGTGAAGAGAGACAGGCAGACCACTTCAAAGACTATTGTGCGGTCTCGGTCCGAGGTGTTGGTGACTCAGCCTGGGGAGGGGATGCTGGAGGGTGGTCAGGAGGGCCAGGTTTGGGACCTGTTTTGAACATGGCATTGACGGGATTTGCTGATGGGAGGATGTAGAGTATGAGGAAAGAAAGAAATTCTAAATTCTTGACATGAGCAGCAGGGAAGTAGTAATGCCATTTATGGCTTTGGGGGAGACAAGCTGTAGAGGAAGGAATGGAGAGAAGGTGCCGATGTGGGCATGTTGATTTGAGGTGCTGTTAGGCCTCCAAGCGGAGATTCTAAGTAGGCAGCTGAACCTGAGGCTCAGGAGAAGCCTGGAGTGGAGATGTCAGTATGGAGGCATCGTATGTTGGTGCTGTTTAGCTGACCTCCCGGGAGTGACTCTACCCAGAAGAGAGGTCTGAGGACCAGAGGAGCCTGGGGCTTGACAGGGCGTTTCTTCCTGACCAAGCAGTGCGCACTCGCCCAGGGCAGGCATTGGAGTCCTCACGTGGCAGCAAAGGCAACAAGCAAGGACATTCTTGTATCCTTGGTACTTCTCTTCTTGGGCCCCTCTGTCTTCTCAAGTTGCTTTCGCTGCAGCTTCTCCCTGCACATCCTAGACCAGAGGTTATAAGTGGGCGACCTGGGGGCCAGATAAGGCCCATTGACTGTTTCCTTTCAGCCCGCTGTGTCTTCAAAACATTGAAACATTTAAATATTAGAGTATTTTACTTAAAAAATATCTAGATTTCTAGCTTCTCTTGTACACATTAGTAGATCTGGCAGCACTGGACGTGCATGCCCACATGGCAGCAGCTCCCTGTGGAGGAAGGGGTGCTGCCTGGACGAGGCGGCCCGGCTCTCCCTGGTTCACCACCGTCCCAGCCCTCCCGATGCTCCACGGTGCCAAGGCTGGATTCAGGGGCCATTTATCGTCACTCTTGCTTTGTGGTTTTTCGTATAGTGGAGAAACGTTTCTCTAGATCTGTGAATCCATCCAAAGAGAGAAGACAAAACTTAGACCAAGGGGCTAGGGTGCTTTAGCACATGTTTCTTTGTGAAGATGAAGAGTTCACAGAGTCAGTTTGGTCTCTGCTTCGAAGGAGTACAAGCTTAGCGCCGTCTCATGAGGCTCAGCTTGCTGACGAGTTCGCAGTCGGCCTGGCCCTGCAGGCATCTGGGTTCACGGCCCCTGCCTGAGGCCTCTCCGGGGCACCCACACCGTCCTTCAGCCCTGCTGCTGGCCCTGCCGAGCAACAGAACACCCTAGCTGTGCAGCCCACCGCCTCCACATGGCTGTGTCTGTTCACAGGCTGCCAGTTTAGACTGACAGAGATGGAAACTCTGGCAACCACTCTCGAGTCAGTCAGTCCCCTCAGGGCTGCCAGTCCTTGTCTCTCATCGTTGACCAACACCTGCCCTCAAAGTGAGCTGTGTCTGCTCGCCCAGTGCAAGGAGGCCTGACAGTGGTGAGTGAACAGGCAGGGTGAGCAGGGAGATCCTGAGGTGACTGTGTGTGAGTACAATGGCCTCATCCTCCTCCCCACGTTTTCTTCTTGCTCAGAGCAGTGGGGAGCTTGCAGGAGGGGAGAAACGACAGAGGCAGCATCATGCAGACCTGGAGATGGTAGCCACTCTTGCGGGAAACCTGGGAATTCAAATGTTTGCTTCCGTTTTACTTTTTTTTTCTGGTGAAAGTATTTCACTGAAAAGATGCAGCATTAATAGCCACCGTGTTTCCTGAAATAATAAATGGAGCACAGGACACAAGTGATGGAGAAGACGACCTCCGTGGAAAGATGACGGATGTTAAGTGTGCACTTACCCTGTAGGTATAGCAGTAGTTGGCACGTAGCTCCTGATGGAGACTCTGCCTGGGCCCAGACTTTCAAGACCCTTCTCCTTTGTTGTTCTGCGTCCTGGGGCGGGTGTGTACTTGATTTCTGGCTATGGTCTTTTTCTTGGGTTGTACACATCCTCAATCTCAAGGAACCCAAAAAACTAATACATATATTTGTGTGTGTGTGTGTGTGTGTGTGTGTGTGTAGTGTATATATATATGTCCAGCAGGCCTTGTTAATTATTAATATCCTTTCTTAGGATCTGCATTGATTATCTACTGCTGTGTAACAAATTACCCTAAAACTTAGAAACTTAAAACAGCAAGCATTTATTATTACATCCCAGTTTCTGTGGGTCAGGAGTCCAGGTGCAGGCTTTCTGAGGCCTCTGGCACCAGCCTTGTGAGGTTGGAGTGAGGGTGGCAGGTACAGGGTTGCAGTGTCTTCTGAAGGCTCGACTGGCGGAAGCTTCCCTTCCAAGCTCACTTATGTGATGCTGGCAGGATCCAGTTCCTTGCAGGTTGTTGGACTGAGGACCTCTATTCCTGGCTGACTGTTGGCCAGAGGCCTCCCTGTTGTTGACCACGTGGGCCTCACCATAGAGCTGCTCACAGCATGGCAGCTGGCTTCTCTCCAAGCGAGTAAGTGAGACAGCTCCCAAGACAGAAGCTACGATCTTTTGTAACCTGATCTCAGAAGTGACATCCCATTACTTCTGCCACATTCCATTCAGTAGAAGAGTCACTAAATCTAGCCCACACTCAAAGGGAGGGAATTACCTTTCTCAGGTCAGAGCGTGAATACCAGGAGGCAGAGACCATGGAGTTCATTTTAGAGGCTGCCTGCCACAGCATCTGTCCTGCCCAGCGAGTTTTTGCCCCCCAGCAAAGCGTAGGTAGCTCCCCCTCACTGCAGCTGACTCCTCGGCTTGCCTTCTGAAAGCTGACTTCTTCACGTGTCAAACAATATAGTCTTCTAGTCTCTTGCTGATCAAGTGAGGTCCACAGACCAGCAGCATCAGCATCATTTGGGAGATTGTTAGAAATGCAGAATCTCAGCCCCTCCCAAGGCCTATGAATCAGAATCTGTATTTTAACAAGGTCCGCTATGAGTCACGTGCACGTGAAAGTCCCAGAAGCACACTCTAGGGCCTCAAACTCTGCCCTGCGATCTAAGAGGGAATCATCGGTGCTTCTCTCTCATGGTTAAGGCTGCCCCCTGCTCTCCAGAGGAGCTGAGTCTCCCTCTAGACCTCACCGATCTCAGGTGCCTCCTGGTTTGGAAAGATTCTGTCTGGGCTGCTCTTCTGACTGTCACAAGCAGTGTTTTGGCTTCTGTATGCCGATGGGCAAGTAGAACTGCGGCTGGATTGCCTTGGGGACTCACAGATGCTCGTGTATTTATTCACTTATTTGTTTAACATGTATTTATTAAGCATCTACTGTGTGCCACACGCTGTTTAGGTGCTGGCTACCTAAGACTGCTCCCAGCAGCCACGGCCTCTGCCCTCACGGAGCTGTGTTCCATTGGAGGAAGACAGACAAAACTAATAAGTATACTTGGCATATGCCAGAGGGAAATAAAGCAGGCAAGGGGGCTGGAGAGTGCTAAGGGTCGGGGTGAGGGTTTGTTCTGTAATACACAGTGGTCGGAGGACACCCACTGAGCAGGTGACAGTAGGGAAACTGAGAGAGAATGGTGCCCCAGAAGCCGCCTGGAGAAAGTTTCAAGGAGGATGTGATAACTGAGTTAAATGCGCTGACAGATCAACTAAGAAAAAGACTGAGAACTGACTCAGCAGCATGGATAGCCTGGTGACCCTGATGAGCATGATCTTAGTGGAGTGGAAGGGGCAAAATCCTGATGCTGTCGGCTCAGGAGAGAAAGGGTGCTGATGACGGATAAACAAAATGTGGTAGGCCCATACAGTGGGGTCGTATTCAGTCCTGAAAAGGGGTGAGGTGCTGACATAGGCGACAACGTGGATGAACCTAGAAAGCAGGGTGCTGAGTGAGAGAAGACAGTCACAAAAGACCACGTATTGTATGACTCCATTTATGTGGAGCATCCAGAATAGGCAAAGTCATGGATACACGGAGCAGATTTGTGTGTCCAGGAACTGGGGAGAGCGCACAAAGGGGAGGGACTGCTAGTGGGAACGAGGTCTCCTTTGGGGTGATGAACATGTTCTGGAACTAGATAGTGGTGATGGCTGCACAACATTGTGAATATGCTAAATGCCACTGGATTGTACACTTGAAAATGATTAAAATGATAAGTTTTATGTTGTGTGTATTTTACCACAATAAAGAGGGAAAGGAGGAGCGGGGACGAGGGAAGGTGTATGAGGCTGCCAGGGCAGCTGTGACAGAATGCCACAGGTTGCACAGCTTAAACAACAGACATTTATTTTCTCACAGTTCTGGAATCCGGAAGTCCAAGATCAAGGTACCAGCAGGGTGGTTTTCTGGAGAGACCTGTCTCTGTGGCTCACGGGCAGCCATTGTCTCGCTGCACCCTCACAGGGCCTTCCCTCCATGTGCAGGGGCGGGAGGGAGCTCGGCGTCTTTTCCTCCTCACAGACACCAGTCCTGTTGCACTAGGGCCTCACCTATTGACTTCATCTAACCTTAACTATGTCCTTAAAGGCGCTGTCTCCAAATACAGTCATACTCGGGGGTTAGGGTTTCAACATAAGAATTTGGGGGGGTTACAATTCAGTCCATAACAGAAGGAATGGAGAAGAATCAGAGAATCAGAGATAGCAGGTACAGACAACTCTCAAAGAACTTGATTATAAAGAGGAAGAGAGAAATGAGATAGTAATTTGGTGTGGATATGGGGTTAAGAGAGGATTTTTTTAAGATGGAGGTATTACTGCTCATTTGTATGCTGGTGGGAATGACCCAGTAGAGAAGAAAAACTGATAATGGAGAGAGCAAGGCCGGTGCTGGAGTGATGCTCCTGAAGAGGTGAGGAAAGGTGGAATTGACTGCACGGGAAGGCAGGCAGCACGTCAGGGCACAGGGGCAAGTCGGTTAATAGGTTGGGGAGGATGTTGGACGGGGACAGGCAGCGTGCTAGGCAAGGAGAGTGGGACAGTGCCTTTGAAGGACCGTCAGAAGGAATCAGCCCCAATGACCTTTCACTCCTCGTCTCCCTAGGAGTTGTCGCCTCACAATTACCTTTCACCCCTTGTCTCCCTTCTGCGGAGGTGCAGGGAAGGCTGTAACTCATGGATTTGTAGAGGGGAGTGTGGTGTCTCCCATTCTGAACACTTTTAAAAGCCTCATGGCGTCTCAGCCTTGCGTTTGCATGGGGCTGTGGCAAATGATAGTTTCCCTTCATCCCTTTCAAACCTCAGATCAGCCCTGATGCATACTCTTACCCATAGTCTGTCAGTTGTTGCCACATCAAACCCCTGAGGCCCACGAAATTGAGAGGTTTTTTTTTTCCCCCAAGATTTTTATGAGGGTTACCAATTTATTTATTTATTTACTTTATTATTTATTTATTTACTTTATTATTTATTTATTTACTTTTTTTTTTTTTTGAGGAAGATTATCCCTGAGCTAACATCCACCACCAATCCTCTTTTTGTTGAGGAAGACTGGCCCTGAGCTAACATCCTTGCCCATCTTCTTCTGCTTTACATGTGGGATGCCTGCCATAGCATGGCTTGCCAAGCAGTGCCATCTCTGCACCCGGGATCCCAACCAGCGAACCCCAGGCCTCCCAAGTGGAACGTGCACACTTAACCACTGCACCACCAGGCCGGCCCCTTGAAGTTGAGAGTTTTTAAGTGAAATGTTATGTATTTAAAATAGCCTGTCCAGAGCTTAGTGCTCTCCCTGAGCTCTTCAGGTTTTGATTCTGGGATCTGGAGCTCTCGGCATGTTGGATAAGCCTGTCAGGAGAAGATGGGCAGACTCCCGTCAATCAGGCGCTGCGGAGTGTGGGCGGCTCTGCTTCCCAATCCCTGACTAGGATCGAGGGTCCTACATCAGGAAGCAATCAGGATATACAATTATAGAAAATGTTTAGGGAACACCACCTCTGTGCCAGGCACAGCGCTCCATGCTTTGCGTGTATTACCTCATTTAATCTTCCCAACAGCCCAGAAAGGAGGCCCAGAATTGTCCCCATTTCACAGTGGAGACACTGTGGAACTAGGACAGAGTCACGGAACTGGGTCGTGCTGGAACTCGGCCTCAGAGCCAGATCTGTTTGACTCCAAAATTCTTGGGATGTTTTCCTTTTCTTTTTCAATTTAATCAAAGAGACAGATGCGCATCACTAAAAAGTAAAAAGTCCAGAAAAGTACACGATGAAAAACAAGTTTCCCACACCAATCCTGATTTTCTCATTCCCCCAGAAAGGCCTGTGTTCCTAACCACAGCGCTCAGCCTTTCTAAGATGCACAAAGGATGGTGAGTTCAAAGCAATTAGGAGAATTCACTAATATCATGGATGGAAACTATAGAAATACAGCATACCTCTTAGAGGAGATGGCGTGTCTACAAGTCAACACGAAAAAAATGTTTTTATTTTAAAGAGGGAGCTCTTACCAGTGTGTTATCCATTTTAGATATTTCTTTAAAACTCCAGTGTTTGAGATCTTTACTGGGTACAGCCTTGAAGGTGTTTGAGGATTATTATCACCATTGTATTATATATGAAATTGTGTGCATTTGTATGTGCACATATATGAATTTTTCTTGGGCGAGAACCTCTAGTTTCTGTCAAATTCTTGAAGGAGCCTATGTTCCCCAAATAGTTAAGAACCATGGCTTTTGCTCCTGAACCTAGGTGTTCTGGTGTCGACTGGAGGAGAGAGAAGGGTCCTGGTCCATGTTTTAATGGGAGTAAGAAATGGACCTGGCCCTGCAGACCACATGAAGGTGTGTCCCCCGCCAGCCCCTGGGCGCCGCAGCCCCGTGGACTGAACTGTCCTTGCCTTGCTGAGCTTGGCAAGGCTCTTCCTCTCTCAGAGCTTGGACTGGGACTGTCAGGGCATGAGTTTGTTTTCCTTTTTCCACGGGCTTCCCAGAAACTACTGGTTTTCTTCCATGTTCCCAAAACGTTGTCAGATCACACTAAAGAAACAGGGCTCTCCTCCTCTTTGTCCTTCCGTGACGCCAGGAACCGCTAGCCTGGGGTTAGCTACAGCTCTGGCCCTGTGGCACCTAGCGCCTCAGTTGATCCTGCTGAGGTTACCCAGGTAATTAGCTCTCTTGTCTCTCCAGTTTTTCTTTGACTAAGAAGTAGGCTTGGAAAATTCCTCCAGCCTTTTCTGAATCTCTGCTCTCTTTTAACTCAGGAGCCAGGGAAGGATTGTAAAATTAAATCTTTAACAGCTCCTCTGAAGCATTCCAGCCACTGAGATCTGTAAGCTCGCCCCTCGCTGGCCTCCCTGCCTGGACTGGGTCCTGGAGAGCAGGGATTCTCAGCCCTGACAGCTGTTCTCCCTGTGACAGTGTTCCCATGCACTGTGCCGCTCCACATGTCCTGCAGTGATTCTCTAAGGGGGGCGGAGGATGTGTCAGAATCTTCAGTAGAGAAGAGAACCGTTGAGTTCCAGAGAGACCAGCTTGGTAATCTGAGTCTGGATACAGGATTTCCTAGGAAGGAACTCTGCCCAGTTCTGAAGAATAGCCACTCAGATGAAGACAGCTAAGTCTCAGGCTTCTGGTTCAGCATCAGAGGGCCTTCGTATCTTCTCAGGATCTGTCAGAATCAGGTGCTGGGGACTTCCTGCTGGTGCCCATGGGGGAGGCAGAGCTCACAGCTCTGCAGACTGTGGGGTGGGAGGACATATCCAGAGCTGGCCCAGCCTTCAGTGCCTGGACAGACAGAGACCAGTGGGGACGCATCAGGCTTAGCGGCTCACTGCCAGGCTCAGGTCCTTGGCCAAGGCTGGAGGTGTGGCTGGAGCAGCTGCTGGCTGAAAAGGGGGAGTTCACAGAATAAACAAATACCCGATAGTGAAGTCAGACCGCATCCAGAGAAGCCTGAGCAGAAGCTGAACAGCATGCTGACCTTTTCCTGAATAAATCCTGAATGTAATTATAGAGGAGGATATTACGGAAACAAGGAACAGTCGCGTTAGCCGTTTCAGAAAGAAATTCCCTGGCTTGGCAAAATACAAATGCTAATTGGTTGGCTATTTTTTTTAATAAGTCTAGAGCTTGGAATGGACTATCCCTACTAATTTGATTATTTTGCTATGCAGGAAAGTACACAACCCACAATGCCCGTGTCCCCTGACCCTGTCATTTCCAGGGCAACCTGAGGGTCTCCGTCTGCTGTCAGCTCAGTGGGTTGGTGTGCGGGAGCCGTACCCGCTCTGCGGGGTGGTGTGTTCTCACGCAGGGGGCATTTGGTGGATAAGATCTGGGGTGAGGGGTAATGTGGGGGTGAGTAGGGTTTGAATGGGGAGCTGGAGAGAGAGGAGAGGTGAGACCTGCACGGAGATGCTTCCACTTTGCCTTTCCCGGCTCCTGAATGACCATCCTGGTGGTCATTCTCTTCTCCCTCGCCAGCATTCTAGAGGGGCTCTGACACCCCGCGCAAAGCAAGTGGCAGTTTGTGGAACTTCTGCTCTTGTTCTTGGCAGTGCCTCCTCTGATGCTGTCCTCCGGGCGTTCATGCGAGTGCTTTCCAGCTTGCCCTTTCCCTTCTCCTCCAGTTTATCACAGTTCAGTGAAGAGAACATGATGGACCCCTACAACCTCGCCATCTGCTTCGGGCCCTCGCTGATGTCGGTGCCGGAGGGCCACGACCAGGTGTCCTGCCAAACCCACGTGAACGAGCTGATCAAAACCATCATCATCCAGCATGAGCACGTCTTCCCAAACCCCAGGGAGCTGGAGGGCCCCATCTATAGCAGAGGAGGAAGCACGGAGGATTACTGGTAGGGGGCTCAGGGCTGGGGGAGGGAGGGCGTCACCAGCACACACGGTGTGGGGGCCAGATGGCCAGGCGAGACCAGAGGGACCAGCACATCCTCCCCCCTCCCACTCCCAGGGGCCTCAAGCTGCCGGGATCTGGGGACGGTGCAGGCAGTACCCACCTTGACCCAGCCTGCAGAGTACATGCCACTGCGTGCCACCTCCCTTTTCACGAGTTCTGAGTGGTGAAGGACCATCCTGAAAGACAATGACGGCAATAATAGTAACATCAAAATCTCCAAGAAAGGAGATTCTATGAAGTTGTGTCTAGACCCGCTGTCGTCAGTCAGCAGTGTCTCTCAGGCTCCTGCTCTGTGCTGTGTGTTGTGAGAGGAGCAGGCCCAGGTCCCAGGGGATTTCTTTCTTTTGGGGAAGACTTAAGTCTGAGGCATGACTTCCTGACCGTGAGTCTGTACAATAAGAATGTAGAATGATTTCAGAAATCTGTAAAGAGGAGGAGGAGTCCGCCCCATTTTCGGAAGGTTAGGCGCCGCCCCTCCCTGAACCAGGACCACCGGCTGCCCTCGCCTGGGAGCAGAGGTGAGGGGATCCTGGGTACGTCTGTCCTAGCCCCTCCTTTTGGACAAATAATGAATCACTGCCTCCATTCTACAGAGAAGGCCAGTGCAGCCCCGAGAGGCCAGTGACGGTCCCTCAGACCAATCCAACCTGCTCTCGTGTCTTGGTGCAGGGCGCCATCCACTGCCCCACACTACCCCTCCCAACCCGGATTCCACGTGCCAAGGCATTTTTCCAATAACACAGAGACAACTGCCTCTCTCTTTTGCTCTGTAATGTCCCTTACCTCCTCCTCCTGCTCCCCCTCCCTGCTTCCCCTAAATAGTGTTTCAGCCTGCGCTGAAAGCATAAGCCAGCCCAAATCGGATTCCATCTGAAGTCAACATCTGGAACCAATTCAGCCAGCCCCATTGCGATCGACTGAGGTGGGGGAGGACAGGGGAGGTTGTTTACCTAATTAGAGGCCAGTTGGTCTGTGCTTCTCCCTGAAGGAGCCTTCTGCCCAAGGAGTGCAGAAAGTGATATTCATGTGTCTGTGAACATAAAAATATCACTGACATCCCTGGGTTGTCTCCTCCACCGTCCTGCAGATCCCAGCATCTGGGTCTGAGCTGGAGAAACCTAGGCTTGCCAGCTTGGCGAGAAAGCTTTTTGTCACAGAGGGGTGGGGACTGGGGCGGTTGTTCAGGTCTCAGCCTACTGGCTGGTGCGATCTGGGAGCTGTCCTTGTGCATGTGACTTGGGGGGGTGGTTTCCCTTACAGGAGTGTTGGAAAGCTGTGAAATAGTGTTCCCAGCTCCTGCTTGACCTTCCTTCTAAAGTCTGCCCCCACCCCACTTTTCAAATGCCAAACTGCTGCAGGCTCCGGACCCATCCCAGGACACGGAGGCCCCCACGGACCGGCTCCCCCGTCACAGCCCAGTGGAACAGACAGAGCCCTGGGAGGGGGTGGCTCCCAGGGCACGGATGGGAGGGCACAGTCCTCTCCAAGGTCTTCTCCCCAGCCCCCTGTTGCATGTTGTGCATTTGAGATTTATTAGCAGCCTCTGGAAAAACCACAAGATTAGTCAGGGAACGTTACTAGCACAGACTGGGTGGGAGGCGAGAAGCAAAGGATCAAGAATAAGTGACCCTGGGTAAGAGGAACCATCTAAACACTGATTCACACTCACCCAGAAGGCTCCCAGCCTCTCCTCTTCTTTGGGAAGAGAGAGAAGTGCCAGTGAAGTAGGCTAAGACCAATGAAGGAGGTGAGGGAAGGGTGGCAAAAGCGGGGCTGGAGCCCAAGAATCCTGGAGAATGGCTGGGGGACCAGAGCAGCCAGGAGGAGGGAGCACCAGGCTGCCTGGCATGCCCGCAGCTGTGGAGAGGAGAAGCCAACCCCATTTCGCCGCCTTACCAGCCCTGAAACTGGAACCCGGTTTTCTAGGATGGCCTGCTGTGTGCCATGCAGGGCTTCTTCTGAGACCATGGGTGTTGGTGGCCCTGGGGGTGTTGCTGGAGCGTGAGTGTGGAACAAGAGAAGCATAGGATTTTAGGGCTCGAAGGGACCTTAAAAAGCATCATCTTGCCTTTACTTGAGAGCAATGGTTCTCAGGGAGTCCCCAGACCAACAGCATCCACGTCACATGGGACTGGTTAGAAATACCAACCCTCTGGCTCTTCCCAGACCTAGTGAATCAGAAACTCTGGGGTGAGGCAATGTTTTTAACAAGCCATCCGGGACTCCCTAAAGTTTGAGAACTGCCACCTCAGTGGATGGCCATGTAAACAAACTTGGAGCCCTGGGGGAAAGTGAGCCTTTGCTCTGTGCACCCCTGGGGCCCTGAGGGTTTCCAGAATGTCACCAAACTCATCAGAGGGTTTTTAGGGCCAGAAAACAGTGAGATTTGTGCCCACATTTTTTGACAAGAGGAATCCCTGTTGATATTCTCCCAGAATGTTCTGAAGTCTGAAGAACCTCCTTGAACTGACTTGCTTCACATGGGATGAGTTCTGACCTGGGCCCTGGTTTTTGGGGAACTTTCTAGGAGAGAAAAACCCGTCCCATGGGGAGCAAGAGGCTGCAGGCTCTAAGGCAGAACCTGCGAGGCCAGGCTGTAGGGTTGAGGGGGTGGTGCTTCCTCAGAACTGCCTGGAAAGGCTCACTTGTCACTACCGACTCCGGAGAAAGGAACTTTAGAAATGAGTGGGGTTTTCCTCTCCTTTTCAGGAAATGAGAACTTCCAGGTGCCCGTCCCCATGCACTCTGAAGTCCATGAGCCAGGTGATCAGGAGTAGAAACGACTTTGCTAGCAATTTCCCTGGCCATTCTCGATTCTCTATCCTGGAGGATCTTAGACCCCATGGATCTTTTCAGGAACCTGACCCAGCTTCCATCCCCTCCCTCTTGCAAGGCTAGCCTACAGCAGACTCTTCTCCCCCTGCTCTTGCTTCCCACCCACTGCTGTGACTCACCTCCCACTTTCTCACCAGCACACAGACTGAACCACAAAGCAACCTAGAGGCGTCCAGCAAAGTGAGAAAGAAGGAAAGGAAGTGCCACTTGTTCATCACCCCCTCGTGTGGCACTGAATCTTCGCGCAGCTTTGTGAGGCGCACAGGCGGTGATCCTCAATTTATAGATTAGGTAGCTGAGGCTTAAAGAGACGAAGTAACTTGCCTAGGGTCACACAGCTTCCAAGTGTCAGTTGACTTTTGGATCTGGTTGTACCTGGTGATGAAGCTTAGTGTTTTTCTTCCACTATGCTCCCTCTAGGAACTAATTCACCTCGAGAAACAGCCCTTGAGGAGTTGAGTTGTTCTGTATTTTCAAAAAGATTTGTAAGTTCAAAAGGGTTTCTGTTTGTCTCAATATATTCTAAGTCCCAAGTAATCTCAAGTAATTTCTGTAGCAGGAGCTAGGTTAGAGAACCTCTGGAACCTTCTCTTTCGTTATAAGCATGTGTCTGTTGTGTGCAATCAGAGTATAGAAAGCGTGAGAGAGATTCCATGCACTTGCTCCCAGGATGCTTTGAAGGAGAAGATGAGAATTTTGTAAGCACACGCTGACGCCCCGGTCCTCTTGCTTCTGTTGCAGTGACAGCCCACATGGAGAGACTGCCTCGGCTGAAGACTCCGCCCAGGATGCGACTGCAGAGCACCACACCAGCGACGACGGTACGAGCCCCTGCATGGAGTCTGTGGGCCCCCGGGGGCAGCAGAAGGAAGGGAGTGTAGATCCTGTGCTCCTGATGAGCCTCCTGCCCGGCAGCCCCCAAAGACAGGCAGGGGCACTCCTGCCTCCTTTTCATTCCTTCCGCTTCTTGGGGAGGCAGCCCACCTTCTCAAGTAGGATGGTCTCCATATTAAACCAGAGATGGACAGCTTGACCTTTCATAGCCCTTCAACCTTCTCGCCCAGCTCCCAGCTCCTTGTCTCGCCTGGCTGTCTCGCCAGCATGATTTCAGTTCCCCTTCCCAGCTCAGATTCCTGCCAGGTAGCTGGAGACCAAAGCGAAGGAGAGCTCATTTGAAAAACAGTGAGCCTGGGGAATAGAGAAGCTGGGTGCCAAGAACTCGACAGAAGCCAGCCAGAGGGGAGTGGGAATCGGGACGCAGAAACCACACACTTCCACGCCTGCCGACTGAAAAATTGACCCTTTCCAGAGTATAGACACGTGGGTGCCGTGTAGCCTGGCGGCTGTGCGTCAGGAGGTGGAATGTGCAGCTGTCATCTGCGGGCCCCTCGACAGTGCCCATGATTTATTAGGGTCTGTCCAGCCAGCGCATTTCCCCCTCCTTCCAACAGTTCCACACCTTCATTTCTGGACCACTTGGGCCCTGGAAGTCTCAGCAGCTGACAAGGGGCCTCAGAATTTTCTGGGCATGAGAATGAAATGGCACACAGTCTGCAGAGCTTTCCTTGCTCCCTGCCTGGCTGTGAACTCTACAGTCCTGGGCCAGCTTTTAAAGGAGAAAAAAATTAGGACTGCTTATTTGGATCCTGAGGTCAGATGGATCAACATGATAATTTGCCACGTTATGAGAAAGGAGTAGGTAAACTAGGGAAATTCGTGTTTCTTTAGAGCCCCTCATGTGCCCAGCTCCGCTCGAGCTCTGTATGTCTCATCTCCTAACCCCCAGTGAAACAGAGAGAGCCGCTATTTTATAGTTGAGAAGCCTGAGGTCAGAGAGGTCAAGTGATGCAGCTGAGGCTGCCCGGAACTGGGATTGGGTTAGTCCTACGCTGCATAACAACGTTTTGGTCAACGAAGGATGGCATATACGATGGTGGTCCCATAAGATTAGCACCGTGTAGCCTAGATGTGTAGTCAATTCCGCCATCTAGGTTTGTGTGAGTGCACTCGATGTTCACAGAGTGACGAAATCGCCCAGTGCTGCCTTTCTCAGAACATCTCCTGGTTGTTGAGTGACACACGTCTGTATTTAGATGGGCTTCTCTGGTCTGCCTCCTGCAGTGACAGCTCTGGCCCTGCACGCCTGTTCAGGAGCAGACCCACCAGCCACAGCTGCCTGGGCCTGGTCGTGTTTTTAAGCAGCCTCTCTCCACAGCCCAGAATATCCGACTTTAACTTCAGTTCCAGGCTTCTGGGAGCCTTCTTTCTGCTCTCTGACCTCTACCTGCAGCCCAGAGCAGCTAATGATAATGATGACGATGACGACCGTGGCTAACACGCACGCAGCATAGCATGGCATGGGCTGTTCGGAGCGCTCTTACTGTTACTGACTCCTCATGACAGCTTCGGGAAAGAGCCGCTCTTACTCTCCCTGTTTCACAGAAGCAGAAGCTCACACAAAAATGAAATACATTGTGTTTGTAAACCCCTTTCAATTTTTCAGATCACTTTCCTGCGCATTTCTGCATATATTGTCCACAAAGTATATTTTCCATATTTTGCTCCTTGGACAGTTGATTTGGCAAGTTCTTTTCTCTTTATAGAGACTAAAAGCTCATGTGCTACTGGGGGAATGGATAACATAAGTAAATTATTTAAAATACAAACATTCTACAGTTAATGGAGTTATTTTATAATCAGTTATTTTATAATCATATAATTTTATAATTATTATCAAATAATGCTTACAAATACAGTATGCGTATTCGATGATTGGGGTCAGCATAGAGCTGTGGAAACACCAAAGAAGTTCCTACAGGAAGCAGGTGGTGTGTGAGCGGTGGGTCGAGGTGTCCCCCAGGCAGTTGAGAGAAGGGATTGCAGGCGGAGGGCCAGCAGGAGCAACGGCAGGAAAGGTCACGCCCGTGCTTTCAGGGCGATGGCACAGGCTGCACGGGAATCGCCTGCCGTACGGAGCGTGCAGCGCTTGTTTTCCATGCCAGGTTATCTTCCCACCACTGTAAGTCAGCTAATTGGACGTCTCCACCAGTTTCCTGAGGCTGTGAGTCCCAACAACATGTTTCCTTCTTTTCCGCCCCTCTCAGAGTGCGAGCCCATCGAGGCCATCGCCAAGTTTGACTACGTGGGTCGGACAGCCCGAGAGCTGTCCTTCAAGAAGGGGGCGTCCCTGCTGCTCTACCAGCGGGCTTCCGACGACTGGTGGGAAGGCCGGCACAACGGCATCGACGGGCTCATCCCCCATCAGTACATCGTGGTCCAAGACACGTACGTTGGGCCCCCTGCACGCTTAGGGGTCCCTGGCTGCACTGTGGAAGTGAGGCTTTATTTCTGGAACTGTAGGAGGGTGAGGGAGACCAGTCCCCACAGGGCGCCAACATGCTCCTGAGGTCACTCTGTTCCTTGAAGGACCCCCAGACTCAGTGGAGAGTTGTTTTTTAAACTCTCTGTTCCCCCTACAAGTCACTCCTCCACCATGACCCCCAAGTCCTTTTAGAAACGTGCCAGCCAGCGCTCATCCACACTTGCACCTGATGAGTGGTGTTGAGGGCGCATTAATTAACCACTTACATTTCCTTTCTGGAAAGATCAGCTTGGGACAATATTTTTACTTCTCTCTTTTTTAAGCAACTATGCCAACCTCAACTGTTGGGCCACTGATGATGCTTTTCCACTTAAATGAAAATGATGAATTCCTTAATTCTAGGAGAAATCTAACTTAAGCAGCCTTGTGGAAATGACCCAGTTCATTTAACCCAGATGAGGTGGACTTGGGCAAAGATGTGGGGTGCAAGGAACAAAGGGAACATGACCTGGTACTGGTCCCAGAGAGACTTCATCAGATGGGCCGTCAGTTGGTTCCAGCTCTGTGAAGCAATGTCCCCCAGGCCCCTGTGGCCACCCAAGCCTGCCTCCCTGCCCCTTTGCCCTCTGACCCAGCTCCCTCCCCTTGCATACGATGCTATCAGTGTTTTCAGTCCTTCCCTTAATATTATTTTTTAAAGGTTGATATCCTGAGTGAGTCTGCACCCTCCCAGCCTCTCCCCAGCTCGTTCTGCGGGAAAGTCCTCCCTGTTGATAACATCGCAAACCTGGTGGCCATCTGTGCGTGGACAGGACCCTCCCAAATTTAGCATTATGACTTCACTACAGGACCGAGAGAAGATGAATTGTGAGGGAGAAGGGGCTCACTTTGTCATCAGTAGCCAGAGGGGCCAGGAGAGCAGTGGAGAGACCTGGGACCGGCTGGACGCCCTAAGCGGGGCTGGATGCGCTACGACAGAGTGTGGCAGTGTCCTGCCTCAGCGCCGGCATCTCCAGAGCCACCGCAGAGCTGACTGTCCTTACCCGGCAGTGCTCGGGACCTCAGCAGATAAACTGCCACCTGGACTGGCCGCCTCCTTCTCCAGGAGGTGGCCCAGCACAGCTGCCACAGCAAAGCAGCGTGGGGTAGGAGGCACATGCCTCTAGCCCAGGTGTGCCCTAGCCCACCTTTCTGGAGGAGCTCGGGATCCCGCAGAACTCAGCGGGATTATTTATTTTTATTTAAACAACCCTCCAAAGGCCCTTAGGTCTCCTTGCCTCTGCTCGCAGAGCCAGCCCAGCCCGGTGTCGCTGCTGCCTCTGAGCCGGTGCGGGGTCGCGTGTGTGTCGGGGGGCCATCTTGCCGATTTAACGCTGCTTTTTGTGTTGTTGTTGTTTTCCCCTCCCTCCTGCCTGCCTGCCCCTTCTCCCCAGCGAGGACGGTGTCGTGGAGAGGTCCAGCCCCAAGTCTGAGATTGAGGTCATTTCTGAGCCACCTGAAGAAAAGGTGACAGCCAGAGCGGGGGCCAGCTGTCCCAGTGGGGGTCATGTAGCCGATATTTATCTTGCAAACATCAACAAGTAAGCTCTGCTTTTCATTTTCTGCTCCCCTGAACGACTGGCAACACCCAGCTCCCCTTGCCTAACCCCCCCTTCCTGTGCTGCACGTGGGGCTCCCCGCTCCCTCAGCCTAACTCCCCCATTCCTGTGCTGCACATGGGGCTCCCCACCCCCCTGCCCCCGCCTGATGGTTTGCATGTGCTCACTGCTGCTACGAGGCGGCCAGGGCCGAGGAAGCGTCCACAGCCCTCGTGGGCAGGTCCCGGCCTCCAGCTGGCGGCCATCACACTGTGGCAGGGGCTCCACTCTGTGCCCTGCAGCATCTGTCAGCTCAGACTTTCCCAGCTGGCTGACCGAGAAAACTTTGGCCAAAGCTTTGGTCCCTTTATGCAACTTGGTTTTGTCGTGTTCCTCAGAGGTGCCTTCTCTTGTCCATTCTTACTCAAGTAATAGTCTTTGATGTCTTCCTTGGCCCTTGTCTGTCCAGAGACCCCAAGTCTTGTGTGTCTTCTGCGAGGCTCCCGTTCTCCCGGATGGGTGTATCCAGGCCTCATGTGTCTGTTTCTCCCCGTCCTGCTTCACTCCCGTGGAGGAGAGGAGACCGCCATGCCCCCAAGGAAGGCTTTGTCCTGAGCTCTTTACTCATCGTCTAACCCCGAGCTCCCTTTTCTTCGTCTTTCACATCAATAGAAATAACTTTCCATTTTTCCCTCTTGCTTTGGCCCTGTGTGTTATCCGTTCCTCTTAGTCCCTCTGCAGATTCCCACTCCTGTCCAGCAGGCTCTTAACTCTGCCCCCAGCTTTCATTGTGGCTGTTAGCGACGTGCTGGGGTTTTAGCCCCACCCACACCCGATCTGGCTGTCTAGAGGGATTCCACGCCTGTGTGCTGCTGCCTCCCTTAGAGACATTCAGGTTATTGGAGAACTAATCTCATCTCAAGGGGCCAGACACCAAGTCCCAAAGCCTACAGACCTCTTTCCGCCAGACCCTGAAACCTGGCCCAGTGCCAGCAGGATGACAAGCCCCAGGGTGCTCCTGATGAATGTGGATTGGAGATGATGTACAATTTTTATTCCCCTCTGGCTTTGGAGGAATGAAATGATTTGCACATTGAAAACCTGTTAACCATAGCCTCTGGACACTGAAACTGGAAGGAGAATAAAAGATGCTTGTTGTTTTTAAACTGCACCAGGTTGCCCAGATCTCTTGGCTTTTTTCCACCCAGACGGTAGCAGGGGGAGTGGTTGGTCACGTGGCTCTTTTCCATCTCTTTCGCCCTCAAGTTAGTAAAGTAGCTGATTCAGCTCACTCAGTCAGTGTGGTTATAATTTAAGTCAGACCAGTAAAAAAGATTGAGATTTTATTTGTTTCCCTCCAGCGTCGTGCCCTGCTGGAAGGACAAGCTAATAAAAAGCAATTGTGGGCTATCATGTTTTCTCCTTATTTATAAGTCTATGTTCATTATAAACCTATAATCATAAGGTCATAAGCTGATAATTAACCCAGAAACCAAGGCAGGGTTGGTGGAAGGAGAGTTAGGTAACTAGTTAGGTACATATTTTGAACTCATCGTATATTTGATTGTACAGAGAAATTGTAGAGAGTAATAGCTGACATAGTCAAAAGATGACGCCTGTGGAAGTCAAGGCAGTTCCCTTGAACTGCTTGCTTGGTGATATCAAGATGGGGTCCTTGGGGGACATGGTCTACCTGACACCAGCTCATGGGTGGGTGAGCAGCAGCCCCCGGGGGGGTCTTATATGCCTTCCAGCCTCACCTCCTGCCCCACACAGCACTCCTCCCAAGCCCCTTCATTGTCCTGAGTGCCCCGAGTTCTTTCTCACCCCGGGGCCTTTGTTTATGCTATCTCCTCATCTGGTCGACTCCCCCTCTCCTGCCAACACTTAATCCAAACATTTACCTCTTTGGGGAGGCCTTTCTGACACCCCCAAGTTCCGCAGGGCTGAGTTCTGTGCCCTTATTCGGTATTCCCAAGGCAGTTTGAGTATCTCTCAGGACTCAAGCTGTACTCAGATTCCCCACCAGGCTGAGCTCCTTGAAACTAGGAACTCTGTCTTCCTCTCTTTACATCCGGGGCCTGGCCCGGGACCTGGCACATACCAGCCACTCCATAAATCTGCCTCCTTAGCAGTTTTAGCCTTGTGAGTCAACCATCCTTAAGTAGAAAAGGGAAATCAGCGAAAAGGTACTAGAGTGTGGCATTTCACTTTAATTCCACACATTAATTGAGTGCCTACTGTTGTGCCAAGCACTGGTGCTCATTATTCAGAGATGAGTAAGATGGTCCCTGGTCTCAGAGCTCACAGTCTGGCAAGGTAAATACCACACAGACTGGCGACTAAGAAGCAGTGCCATCAGCGCGCTGAAGGAATAGCAGAGGGAGCAATGGATTCTGCCTGCCATTGGAGTTGGGGCGCCAGCAGCAACTTGCAGAAGAAGACTTGTTTCAGCTGGGCCTTCTAAGACTCTGAGAACATCCTTTTTCCACTCGAGCGTGGCTGACACCTAAGGCTAAACTGCTGAGCAGGCAGCTTCATGGAGTGGCCTCAGTGTGCCGGGTCCCAGACCAGGCCCCAGGAAGACTAACCAGTGAACAAGACCAGGACTGGCTCGGAACACTGGCCCTGCCACGTCGACCAGCTCCTTATCTTCATGTCCTGCTCCTTCCCTGCTTCCATCCTCAAGTCCTGCCTCAGCCCCAGGCTTGAAGCTTGGATTCAGGATCAGAGCTTCCTAGCTGCCGTCCCAAACCAGCAGTTTCATTGCTTCTTAGATTAGGTCCTTTAGAATCTGATTCCAAGGGAAAATGAAATTACTCAGCAGTAGGCAACACCCATATACTAGGACTCTGCCAAACTATTTCGTATGAGAGCCTTAGTGGTCTGAAACAAATTGATTCGGAGCCAGGGTTCAACCTAGTGCTGGGTGACGTAGGGTCACGTAGATGTATTTCCACCCTAAGAAAATGCACAAACTTGGCCCTAACTGCAGCATTGCAGCCTCTTGAAAAATATTCTGTCCATGTGTGCAGGATAGGCAACAATAGCCTCCTGCCAAAGCCCAAAATGATTACAGTTTTGTAGACGGACTAAGAAATATGCTAAAATTTGGAAAAGTCAGCTCTCCTCTTACCAGCAATTCCCCACCTCCTTGGTGATGGTGAGACCTTTTCTCCTACCTGGGGCCTGGTTTCTGTTCAGAGCAGGTAATGGAGGGGCCTTTCCATGAATCTGTCTCCCATTAGAAACTTTTGTTTAAGCAGACATTTCTCCTGACAGCACCTTACATCTTGAGAACTCAAAGCCCACGATCACCAAGTAAGTATCCATTTCTCCTTTGCCCAGATTGGGGTGGCAGGGGAACAGAGACATGGAGAAAGCAAGGGAAGGCAAATCAAGGAGAGCACATGCTCTATGTCCCTCTCATGCCAGAAGTCCCTGGGTGCCAGCATCAGCCCCTCTCACTCGTCATAGCTTCCTCGGGGCCAGGGCTCCTGGTCACACCGCCCTTTCTGTTTCTGATTGAAGGCAGAGGAAGCGGCCAGAATCTGGGAGCATCCGGAAAACATTTCGGAGTGACAGCCATGGGCTGAGCAGTTCCCTGACTGACCCCGCCTCCCCGGGGGTGGGGGCTGGCTGCCGCCCATCTTCCCAGCCCATCATGAGCCAGAGTCTCCCCAAGGAAGGGCCAGATAAGTGTTCCATCAGTGGGCATGGGAGCCTCAACTCCATCAGCCGCCACTCGTCCCTAAAGAATCGGCTGGACAGTCCCCAGATCCGGAAGACAGTGACAGCAGGAAGGTCGAAAAGCTTCAATAACCATCGGCCCATGGACCCTGAGGTCATTGCACAGGTAACTGGGGGCTCCTGGACAGACAGCTGGCAGGAGTCTACACTTGTCGTTACTGTGAAGTGCAGCCCGTGCTCATTAGAACGGGGCTTGAAGCAGAACAGTGCTTTGTGCATCACGCACTGAGTTCAGAGACTGCTGGGCTGCTGGACCCGATAAGACAGCTTTCCAAGAAATTTGCCAATCCCCGTCTCCCCAAGAAGACCTTGAAGACAGGATCAAAGAATTCAGATTTCCTGCTCATAGATCAGCTATGTGCTAGGCTGTTGTAATTGGTAAAGCCAGAACTTACAGATAGGGTATTTTGAGAGAGTCCGTTCAGCCCGAGTTGGAGTCTTGAGACCCTGGGAGACTTTAGTGAAGCTGCCCCAGTGTTGAGGCTCAGCTGTAGTTCTGGCCACCGTTTTCTATCACTCTGCTCATCTCCGTCACCCCATTTCCTAAGGCCTCTCTGGTCCCTCGTGGTAGATAGACGATCAAGCAACAACCTGCTCCTGGTCTTGAAGGCCCCAAATAACTCGGCCACCGGGAGCTCGGGTACCAGGAGGGTTTCCAGCCCAAGCCTCCAGATGCAGTGGAGACAAGTTCCTTGGTTACGGGGTCTTCTTTCCGTGTACGCACCACACTGACGAGTCTCTGTTTTCCGTGAAATGTTAGAGACCCAACCCCACCTCTAAAAATCCGACTCCTGGGGCCACTCCAAGCAGTTCACTCAGACGTCTCTCCCAGCTCTCTAATTTTCACTAGACCAGGTAGGACCAGAGGGCTCATTGTTGCCCTCTTGTGTCTCAACTGAGTTGAGATACCCGTCACCTCATCTTCCAGGGGCCAGTAGAGTCTGGGTGTGGTCTCTATTGGCTTAATTGTGGTGCTTTGCTATGGGAAGGTGGACCTGGCAAGCACAGTATTAAGCTGTGGGCCTGAGATGTCCTGCTTTGCTAGCCTTTTATTTCTGTGCCTCTACTTAAGCTCTTGGCTGCGATCTGCCTTGCACCGTGGGAATCCTCCCAGCTCCCTCTTTGGCCAGGTGTTACTAGCAATGTCTGAGTAGGTACACGCCTGGGACGCACTCTAGCTACAGAGCAAGACTGAGGGAGGCACAGTTCTTCCTGAGCATTTTTAAGGTTGAGAACCTCATGGGGATGAGTGAAATTGAATCACTATCAACAGAACGCTTGGATCACCCTGTAGGACAAAGAAACCTTAACCAGGGGCCTTTCCTTGGAAATTTCACAATTTTTCAGTGTGAGCCTATCCCAGGGGAGGAGCCCTGTGGTGGTTTAGGGGTGCCAGACAAGTGTGTGGGGAGGGAGGGGGCCGGGAGGTCTCCCTGGGAGGCAGCTGGCTGCACACAAAGGGTCTTTGGTTCTGCCTTGAGCCCCTGAGCTAGGACTGCTATTTCCTTAGATCTAGAGTGTTCCACTGTGACTTGCAGAAGGTGGTTCACCTTTGTGGGCTCTGGCTCCCCCTCCTGGTCACTCTTTGGTTCCCTCTCGTGGTGAAGGGTAGAAGGAAATGGCTTCATCAAGTTGGGTACCGGGGGGCGGTCTTGGGGGCAAGGGCAGGGGAGGTGTCCTGATGGGTCTTCAGGGCCAGGGCTCTCAAACATTTCCTCAGCCCTTGAGGAGGAACGACTAACCCTCTTAATGTTTGGCCTTGAAGTCCAAGAGAGCGAAGAACATACTTCATCTCTCCTACTTTTTAAAAAAATGTTTATTATGTACAATTTCAAGCATATACAAAAGTAGAGAGAATCGGATAATAAATCCAGTGTACTCATGACTGAACTCTTGGCTGCTCTTCGTTCATCCACCCTTCCCTTCCCCACTGGGTTATATGTCGTTTCATCCATAAATATTTCAGTGCATGTCTCTAAAACCCGAGGACTCTATTTAAAAAACATCTCAACCTCTCTTTCTAAAGGAAAGAAAACCTCATGATAAAGAAAACCCCCTTGTTCCCCTTCTCCCATATTCTGAACTTTCACATGTTCAAGATTTTGGCCAAGTAAAATACTCTGGACATCTCCTTATAGTTGCTTTCTTCACGATGTGGCCTATGCTGTTGAAATAGGATCCTTGGGGACTTCTCCCTACATTAGCCTCACGTCCTCTTTTTCCTCTTTTGCAGGATATTGAGGCAACTATGAACTCTGCCCTGAACGAGCTGCGGGAGCTAGAGCGGCAGAGCAGCGTCAAGCACACCCCTGATGTGGTTTTGGACACCTTGGAGCCCCTCAAAACCTCCCCAGTGGTGGCCCCCACATCGGAGCCCTCCAGCCCCCTGCACACCCAGCTCCTCAAGGACCCCGAGCCCGCCTTCCAGCGCAGTGCCAGTACTGCTGGGGACATCGCCTGCGCCTTCCGGCCTGTCAAGTCTGTCAAGGTGGCTGCCCCCGTCAAGCCACCAGCCACACGACCCAAGCCCACTGTCTTCCCCAAAACAAATGCCACTAGCCCCGGTGTCAACTCATCGGCTTCTCCACAGCCCACTGACAAGTCTTGTACTGTCTGAGGGATGTAATTTAATTGTTCTAGACAGAGGACTGGAGGGACCGTTATTAAAATCTTCCTATTTAACTAGCTTGGGGACTTCAGTTGAAAAGTAGATTCTAAGTTGTTCTTGCAGGAATTAGCCTTCCTATCACCCAAACCTTGAGAATGAAGCCCTCATTGTCAGCCCGGCCTGCCCTTCCCGCTGCCCTCTGCTTCTCCCAGTCGTCGTCGTAATCCAGCCAGCTGCAGTCCATACTGTTCTTAGGTTAGCCAGAGATAAGACTTTTTCCATTATCAGGTCACTGTGAAATCTGGCTAGGCGAGTCGTGAGGACGTGGGCTCAAGTCCCAGTCCCCTCAGGCACAGGGGGCGCCTGACCAGATGGTGGGTTGGCTACTGACATCCAGCTCTCAGTGGCGTCTTGTTTTGGGTACTGATTTATAGAGGATCATGTATAGTCCGTTCTTCATTTTACACACACACACAGGTAGGTTTTCTAGTCTGGCATGTGTAGCCTCTCCTGGTCGTAGACCAATCTCTTTGTAAGTTATTGTGGCGGTTCACACAGGAGCCACCAGGGGTCTCTGTTTCTGTTCCTAACCTTGATCTGTCTGGGCCAGAGAACCTAGCCTTTGAAATCTCTCCGTCATGTGAAATTTAGCAGGACGAGACTGGTCCTGTAATCTGTTTGGGGGTGGGGGCTTCTCTCTGTCTTCTTTCTCTTGGTGTGAATTGGTCATTGGTGTCTGCTTTTGCCCCCCTCTGTCCTCTAGAACTACAACCCAGTCTTATTATGGAACTTCTAAAGTTTTTCTGAATGTATAGACATTTCTCGGGTTCCTATCTTATCTTTTTGTCTCTGACGGACTATTTTCCATTTATGACATTTTCGTATATAAGACAGTTTTATAGCTGGTTCCTTTTATGGTCTAGAGTCTTAAGAGAGTTTTATTGTGTTTATGGCAGGTTTGGAAAAGGTAAGAAATGGGTCCTTCTTCCTCCTACTTTTTTGGGCACTTAAGACATAAAATTCATTATTCTATTAAAAAATTCAGCTTTGCTAACCCTGAAATTGTTTCCAAATGAAAACTTGTCCTAAGTTCACCCCCTCGTTTGGGTATTCTACAAGTTCTCTCTTCAGGGACCAACAGGGGCTTGCAGAGTCCTAGTTAGATTAAAGAGAGACATTGCCCCTTAAAACAGTTTTTATTTATCCAAACAAGGACAAATAAGAGAACTTTGGCTCCACGGGCTCTAAAGTCCAAGGCTGGAATCTAAGAAAATAAAAAATCAGATGCTGAATGTTTTGGCCTTCCTTTGGCCTTTTTTCTGATTCCCCTCCCAAAAGCAAAAATGATACCCTTATCTGCTTTAATCCACTCTCCAAATCTGGTGCCTGTGCTCCCAGCTCCCTAGCATCACGCTGTCCCGGGAGTGCCAGGGCTGGGGACAGTCACATCAGGCTCGTGGTCTCAGACAGCTACTTGAGTAAAAGCTGAAACTCATTCCTCTTCTCTGTTTTCTGGTTTTAAAGCTGCACTTTTCGCCTTATTTTTTCCACAGTTCAGGAGAGATGGTGAGTTGCCATTCAGATAGGAAAGTTTGAATTTTCTTATCTTTGGCCTAGAAGATTCTTTTTGGACCAACATTGTGAAGTTAGTAGTTGGCTCTATGGAAGGTGGTAGGATTTTGCTCATTCTGTGTGAAGGAAAAGAGGAGCTTTGTGGGAAATCACTAATTCAAAAGATAACCTGCAACGCCAGGAAAACCGTGCCAAGAGCTGGAAGGGAGAATTGAAGACTCTTTCAGAGAAGTGAGTCAGCCTGGGAGAGGCACCCACAGGCCTCGGGGTCCTTGGCTCCTGTTGCTCTGTGTAGTGGCCTGTCCCTGTCTGTCACCTGGATTTATGCAGGTCCTGAGCCAACAGAGGGCCTTCATAGCCAAGGATATGTTTCCTTGCTGAAAATGGACGCCCACCCTTCATGTTACATTCCTTTTGATCCGAGTGATCAAAATTGGTCCCCGTGCCTGCCCTTTTCCCCCTCCAGCACACTCCTCTAAGAAAATAAGAGCAAAGCTTTCGTAATCACACCACTTTGGGCCTATTCTGTTGCTCCTGCCTTATTTCTCTTTCAGCCCCGTACATGACTGTGTTCACCGTCCCCTCGGTCAGTCTCCATCCGCTGATTTGCATCATGAACTGGACAGTGTGTGAATGGTCATCTGCTCCCCTGGCCCTGGGAGCCAAGTTGTCTTCCCCTCTCTGGTGCTCCTGACACCTGTGAGGTGGTCCTGGCGAGGACTGGGGACCCAGAGGAGGAGAGGCCTCGGCAGAGCTCACTGCAGTCAATTGGAATCGAGGTCGCACACTGTGATTTTTACACCGAAAAGCCAAAAGGAGCTGGCCCCCCGGGGCCTCGGGAAACCAGCCCCTCCTCAGATATCTTGCCTCAACCAGCATGATGCTTCCAGAGCCCCACTCTGCCCCGTGAGGCACGGATCCTTTTCCTAGTGTGGACTCTGAGGGGTCAGTCTTTGGGGAACAGAGGTGGGGTGGAGCTACCAGCATCCCAACTTGGAAAAAAGAGGAGTTAGCAGCCAGCAGCCTGTAAACTGGAAACGCTGGTCTCAGCCAGCCTCCTCAGGGCATCCTGGTTTCTCCCCAAGGAGATGAGGAGAGATGACGCCAGCAGCGGGATGAACAGACCACGGGAAGGGCTGGCGTGTGTGTACTTCCCATCAGAAGATAAGTTAGATCTTCCAGGGAATTGCGATGTTGTGGCGTCTGACTTGTATGTCATGTTTGTGTAAAACGGTATATTCTCTAAACTAGTGTTGATAACTGGAATATCGTATGTATGCTTGGAGATGCTTTGTGTGAACCTAAGACTGTCACTCAACAGATGTTGGATTGGGGAAAATCCAAAGCACAACTTCGAAATAAAAGACATTTTTAGGTTTCGATGCTGCAGTTCCTGTCCCTTCTCTGCTCCCTGAAATCTCCAGTCCAGGATTCATCCGTCTAGCAACGGAAATGAGGAGCCAACCACCTTCTCCCCCGCAATGCCAGCGAGGCACAGCGGAGGTGTGTTGGGACGCGGGGTTTTCCCAGCATTTCCATGTAGCCCCTGTGGAACCCAGGAGGCTGCGTAGAAGGCCTTCCCGCTCACCACCGGGCAGTCTGTTGCCATGAGAGCCGTTTCCTCCTCGGAATCCACCTCCCCTGTTTTCAGTGAGGACTCTTCTCGGTTCTACCTCTAGTCACATTTCCCTGCTTGGAAGCTTCGCAAGCTACAGCCAAGAGGGACTGAAGGTTTTATTTCTTCCACAACCAAAGCCCTGAGTCACTGAGACCCCTGCCCCCGGGAGAAGAGCTGTGCGCGTGCTTGTGCTCTTGGTGTTGAGTGCGCGGCCGGTGGGGCATGCAGGAAATGCTTTCTCTCCTTTAGATTTTGATCCAAGCAGAGCATAAGTTTGAGGGTACAGTTTTCAAAGGTAACAACTTAACATGCACCCTACAGCCTCTAGGGCCCACCCTTACTTTTAGAGGGCTTATTCTAATAGGAGAAGCTCTGGGGATAATCAGGTCTCTCACATCCAAGTGGGTGCCCAGTGTTCAACGGTCACACGAGGACTCACCCCCGGCCCGAGACCAGACACTTCACGTCTTCTCCATCTCTGTCTATTATTGGTATGCTTTTTTCTTTTTATGTCTCAGCTCTCTCATGCCCTTCCACCCTGTCGTCTCTTCCCCCTCCCTCATTTTAGTGGCAGAGCTGCATGTTGAGCTTCTCTTGCTGGTCCCTTGGTGTTGGGTGAGTCAAAGCCAAGACTCTTCTCCGCCCTGGACAAGCTCTCACTCCTGAGTGTAGTGATGAGCTGTGAGACGCAGCCGGTTCTTAAGCTGTGAGCAGAGGACCGAAGAGCCTTTTCAGAGAGTCTTAAGGCGAAGGTGGGCTATTCTTTTCGGGTCCTCTTAATTCATTTCACATATTCTAATGGGAGCTTGATGGAAACTAGTGACATTGAACAGAGTCGAAACACAGGCGCATTCCATCCAGACAGGAACCAGAAAGGAGACCAGGTGGGTGTGAATTTAGGCAACGGCCTTTATGACTATCTAATCTAAATGTTTCTATCCATAGGCATATGAAGCTCCCTTTTACTTAGGAGTTAGCAATCCTGGCGTGTTACATATGCCAAAGACTTATTCCTTGGTCAATCAACAAAGTGCTGTCATATAATACAATATTGAACAGGAGAAACAGGTAGTGGAGCTTTCTTTCTAGTTTCAGAGAGCACAAATAAGCAAAATAACTTTGACTCTGAAAAAGAAACAGTGTAATAAGATGGCGAGTGCCTGGGTTACTCAAGAAAGGCCGTTACGGGGAGAAGGAGTACAGTGAACCCAGAATTCTGCTTGGCTGGAAAAGTTGAGATGACAATTTAGACATCCAAGTGGAAATAGCAAATGGATTCTCGGACATAAGAATATGGAGTTTAGGGGCAGACCATACCTGAGAACAAGTTTAGGAGCTATTACATTATAGATGCATTCAAACTATGAGATTCCCAGGAAGAATGTGTAAATGGAAAGAAGAGAAGGTCCCAATAATTAGGAAGCCAGCAGAGAAGGAGCCCAGAAGACAGACGGAGTGACAGGTAGGTGGCTGGGAGAGCACAGTGTCACAGAAACCAAGAGAAAGAAATGTTCAACAGGAGGGATGAGCTGTCATGTGCTAGTAGGTAAGTTGAGGCCAGCGAAGCAAGGCGATCATTGTTTGCTGGCCTGGACAAGAGCACTTTCAGTAGAAGGACGTGACTGGATTGGTGGGCCAGGGAGCCAGGCGTTGCTTTGAAGGGGGAGCATCAAAAGGGGTCAGCTGGGTTGTGTTTTTAAAGTGGACAGGTTGAGGCCCGTTTGCTCCGGGGCAGGACTAGTGGAATGGAAAGAAAGACTGTGCAGGAGAGGGCAGCTACAGAGCCCAGATGGAAGGGCGGCCAGGCCCAGAGGAGAGGCGCTTCCTTGCCTCGTGGGAGGGTGGGCTGGCAGTGAACGTGGGTGAGAGGGTGAAGGAGTTCCCTTCTGATTGTCTTTTTATCTCAGTGAAGCTTAAGGCAAAGGCTTTAGCTGAGAGCATGGAAAGCAACGGTGAGTAGGAGGTTTGGAGAGGTAAGAAAATGAGTGAAATTCTTGCTTTTCCATACCGAGAAAGACTGCATGGTGGCAGCACAGGGGCCGATTTCCTTCAGTGGCCGGGTGCTGCTCCCACAGCATCTCCCCGCACTGCTTGGGGGAGTAGGGCTGGTCTGGCTGCAGGATCTGTGCCTCCTGCCCATCCCAAGCTCCTGGCCAGAGCTGACCAGTGAAGGTGGCAAGGAGCAGGGCTCTGAGACTTTGTCACTTGCCCCTTCACAAATGACTAAGCACAGCCAGTACACACTGCCCACCTCCTCCACATAACCCCTGCCCCAGGCCTGCCCCCCCCCCCCCCCCGCCCTTTAACACGCTGGACAGGCAAGGCAGCTATGACACAGGCTCAAGCCACGAAGGGGCAGAAAAGGCAACTGGTATCTATTCAGGGCCTACCAGGAGCAGGCACTCTGTCTCATTCTCTTTTCACACCAACCCTATGAGAAAGGTGGAGCAACTTGATCAAGGTCACGCAGAGCAAGTGGTCGAGTCAGGCCTCAAAGCTCCCTGACGGGAAAGCTCCTGCCCTTTCCACTGTGCGCACAGCTCCCTTTGTAGAAGGTGGACGGGAGCTTTACCCTGAGAGCCGCCATCAAAGACCCTCCTCTTCCTACCTGTTGTCCTTGTCCTACCTCTGGATTGCGCCTCTATTTCTAAAACTCCCCAGAGCCACTCAGGAAGACGTGGGGAGGCCTCTGAGATGCCCTCTTCCCTTCAGGACCTTGCAGCCTCCATGCCTCCCCAGAGGAAACAATGTCCATGCAGCCAGCAGCTCCAGACCACAGGCAAGATATGGTTGCATTTTATCCACATGCGGATGTAACCTCACAGAAGACGCCCAGCAACACTTGGTGAAACTTGATCTGTTACCACACAGGGCTGTAGCCCACTCCTTGCCCCAACCCCTTTCTCTGGCCTCACCACGTGTGGTGCCTTGAACAAGGCACCCTCTTCTCATGCTTCTGTGCCTCTGCATGTCTTCCCTCTGCCTGGAATTCCTTACTTCGACCCTCAAGTCTCTGCTAACTCCCTTCCCTCCAAAGCCTGGTTGAGCACGCTTCCTTCTGGCAAGCCCTTCTTGTCCACCTCCCTCTGCTGCCCCCACTGCCAGGTTCACAGCCTCACCACCTGGCCGCTGAAGCATTATCTCTCAGCGGTCACCATGCTGCCCTGAGCCCGACCCTGCGGGATGCCTGAGCTCAGCACACAGTGCCTGCTTCCTGGTAGGTGCTAGAAACACACATTCATTGCATTCGAGGCTGCTTAAGACACCAGGAAAGGGAGACGGCTTGCCAGAGAGAGCAAAGTCGGGGGCTGTGCGGACTGAGCAGGTTGATCAGGGAAGAATAGGTAGACTATTAGGGATAGGCGAGACTGTTGCAAACCTCGGCGGCTTAAAACAACAAAGGTTGATTTCTCATCAAAGCTACATATCCCGTGCAGGCCAGCAGGGGGCTCTGCTCACGACAGTCACTCAGGGACCCAGACGGACGGAGAGCAGTCACCGTGTCTAACAGAATCACACTGTCAGGGGGCAGGAGATCTGGGGTCTTGCATTAACAATTAAATGCTTTGGTTGGGAAATCACATGGCTCCGTCCAATCAGGGGGCGCCACCCAGTCCCACAAGTCAAGGAAGTGCAATTCTACCCTATGCCAGACAGGTGGAGAGCTGGGAACCCCGGAGAGCAGGAGGGGCTCAGGGCCGGCTCTCCAGTCAGGTCAGCCGTGAGAATGGGCAGGGCAGCACCTCCGGGCAGGGCCTCCGGGCCGTGGACTTATCAGCAGGTCTACCTGTCTGAGCTCCAGGCAGCTCTCAGCTGGGCTCCTGTTCTGGGGCCCTGTGCTAGGGGTGGGGCTGGCAGAGGAAACCACCAGGTGTGGCCATGGGAAAGTCCCTCCAACATTCTACAGAAACATGGAATTTCCTGGTTTTAACCATTTCTTATCCACCTGCCATCTCGGAGCTGACCAGAGCAGGACAGACCTCTCCAGCCTCCGAGGAAATTTGATCTGGGGTACTGAGTCCTGACTGGGAGGCTGGTACACCTGGGTTCCAGCCCCAGCAGTCTCTGAAGATCACAGGCAAATTACTGAAGGTGTGTGGGCCTCAATGCTTCCAACGCCTGTCTGTAGAGAGCTTTCCAGTTTCTCAAGCATTTCCAAATACATTGTTCCACGTCATGCACACAACCAATGGAGCAAATGTTACTATCCTCATGCCTTGGATGGAAAACTGCCCAGGAGGGGTTGTGTGCTGTGCTCAAGGTCACACTGGAGGGCATAACCTGGGTTCCAGTGCTTGCTCTTGGGTGTCTGTGGACTCCCTAGGAAGATGTGTCAGACCCAATTTCTCCTAGGAGTGGCTAGGCGTAGGTCCTGGACCTCCCTGGGGCTACTGGGTGTGGGAACTCGGTCTTCCCAGGCAGCTCCCGCTTGGTTAACTTGCCCAACCTGCTCTGTTGACTCTAGGCCAAGCCCTGAACTTCCCTGCTCCAGATGCTGAAAGAGCACCCAGTGAGTGGCCCATCACAGCCATCCAGCCTCAGTTCCTGGCCTCTTTGTGGCTCAGACTCTGGTCCCATCACCTCCACTTGGGAACTCAGAGCATCCTCTTTCTCCTTCCTGCTGGGGTGGTGGTGGCCACCCAGCCGCCTCTGTCTCTTTAAGGGAGAGAGAGAGAAAGAACGAAATCAGGAAGTGTGAGAGAGCTGAGCGCTGCTGAGCCGCAGAGTGTCCGCGCCGCCGAGAGGCAGAGAGGAAACCCTCGGCTGGCTCTTCCCAGCTCCTGGGGTGGCACACAGCCACTTCAACTTGCCCAGTCTTCGGGTTCCCAGGGCCTGTGGCCACCAGGATGCTATGAGCACTGCCCATGAATGACAGCGAGTCTTGAAAGCTCTGGGGGTGCCACCCAGTCCTACAAGCCTGCATGCCCCACAGCCGAGATGGGGTGAGTGTGCAGAGTCGTGGGGGAGGGGGACTGGGGGAGCCTGAAGTAGGGCAGCCGAGTGCTGGGGTGCAGGCGTGTGGGCAGTGGCTCTCCCGGCCCCATGTCCCCTCCTTGTGTCTCTCTCTGGCTGCTGGTCGCCCCGCCGGGGACTCTGTGTCCCATCTCCAGTGGGCACCCTTGCAGAGCACTGCCTGGAGGCCAATGAGAGGCAGGGAGGGCCGCACATAGAGGAGAGCTGCACCCGCCTACCACGCTCGCCTCCCAGCTCTGCTTCCCAACGCCCGCAGCCAGCGTCCAGCGTCCGCCTCCATACTTTCCTTCTGCCTGGCTTCTGGTGCCTGTCCTCCCCTCTCCTGGGTCCTTCTCCTGGGCCCAAGTCCTGGGAGAGTGGGAGTGATGAGGAAAATCTCCTGGAGCAGCTGGGGAATAGGGCTGGAAACCCCCAGTCCTGTGGGGGAGGGTGACAAACAGGAAAGGGTTAAAGGGCTGGGGCCGGTGGCCTTTGATGGAGGCACAGCACCGAGGGGGGCCTCTCATCCGCCCTCCTCTTTCCGGTGTAGCTCAGCTCCTGGACTTGCCGCAGACAGAAAGCATAACACATACTCGTCAGGGAGAGTCTTTGCCTGATCCTGGGCTGCTCAGAGCGTGAGGTAAGTGCTTTTGGTCACAGTAGAGCCCGGAGGAGGAGGAGAAGGAAGAGGAGGAGGACGGAGAGGGAGAGGAGGTGGTGGGTGGAGCAGCTGGCTCACAGGCTGCACCACCAACCCTCATTCATCCAACCGCCACTGAGGGATGGCATCAGGTGCACCAGGCACTGTGCTGGGGGCCACAGAGCTGACCAGATGTGCCACCAGTTGGATCCAGGCAGAGCCCTGGCAGGGCCAGGAGCAGAACCCAGAGCAGGCCACAGGCCAGGGCTGTGCCCTTTGCGCTACACGGCCCGTTCCCCGGTGTCTTCCCCGTGCTCTGCTCCAGTACCAGGGCCCATGCTGAGCACCAGCTGCGGGGCGGGGGGATTTTGAAGGTAGTGATATCTGCTGCCCGGGCTGGGCCCTTGGCCTTCATTTCAGTGTGCTCTGCCCAGCCTCACAGCCCAGGCCTGCAGGCAGATCCCTCCTCAGCCTCAGGAGGGAAACCTGACCAGCTCATTGACGCTGAGCTGTTCCGCTGTCTTCAGAGTCTCTCAGAGCCTCAGTTGCTTCTGTAAAATGCAAACACCAATATACTTTCTGAAACTAGGAATTGACCACTGATCTCTTAAAGTGTCCCTGACTCAGGGAATTGATATTCTCAAGATTTGCACTTTTAAGGCTCAAAGCTAAGGAACTGGAGGATTCTAGGCCTGGTGACCACAGGGTTGAGAACCCAGGAGATGTTAGAAGGGAAAGAAGCCCTGTCGAGTCCAGCCTTACCTGAGAGTATTTAGGGGGGGGCCCTCTCATGCTCCTCGCAGTTGTCCCATAAAGACCTGTCCTGGCGCTGCTTTTCAGAGAAGCACTGAGTTTAACTTCTGCAGCTATGCTCTCTGGACCAGTTGCTTTAGAGGAACTGGCCTTTGAAGAGGACGGATGCCAAGATGGGAACAGAGTTGTAGAGGGGTTTCCCATCCTCCCCACAGCTCCTGAGCCCTTGGATTTGATGGTCTCCTGCCCACCCCCCCACGCACACTCTCATGCACACGCACGCACACTCTGCAGCAGCCCTGTTCCCCTCACTGACCAGGCCACGCTGGCCATGTCAGCTCACAGCAGCAGGAAGTGGTGGGCCAGGCAAGAGGGTAGGGAGGGGTTCCAGGCTCATGTTGCAATCCTGGAGATTTGTGGTGGTGTGGTTGACACTGCCTGACCTGGGGCCCTTCCTCCAAACACTGTTTCTGCTTCCTGGGACAATCCCAGGCTTGGATGCCAAAAACTCAGAATTCTCAGTGCCTGCGAGAGGTCACAGAGAAAAGGGTTTGTCTCTGCAGAATGGCCTGTCTGGGGAGGGGGAGGTGGGGACCTGGGGAGTGAGGACAGGTAGAATGTCCTGTGGTGGGACAGGCGCAGGCTGGGGGCTGAGGGCTCAATGGCTGGGCTTCTTTTTGGGGAAGTTAATTACCCTTTCTGTACTTCACATTTCCTCTGCCCCCTTGCCTCTGGAATGGCCACATGGAGCCCTTCATGGGATGGTCTTGGGCACAGCTACCGATCAGGCCACCATGCTCAGGGATGGAATCCTGGACCCCAGTATGTTCTTTTTCTAGGCACAAGGTGGCCAGCCAGCCAGGGGCAGGAGATGCAGAGCACCGTCAATTACCTGTGGCACACCGACGACCTGCTGGGGCAGGGGGCCACCGCCAGTGTGTACAAGGCCCGAAACAAGGTGGGGCACAGCCCTGGCCAAGCCACCCAGCCCATCCCTGGCCCCCTCACGCCTAGAAGTTCTTGGTCCACTCAGCCCCCAGGGGGCCTTGAGGGTGGTATGTGGCTGGGCAGAGGCCTCTGGGCTTTGTCCTGCACAGTCTGGGCAGCAGGACACTGTGGGTTTGAGCAGAGGTGTGGGAGCTGCTTGGGATGATGCTTCGGTCAGGCACGTTTGGGACTAGAGAGAAAGAGATGAGGCCAAAGCTGGCCCCAGGGGCGGAGGCAGCACATCTAGGAGGAGCGGAGGCGGGAAGGGGGTTGATTGGCTTTGTCCTGCCTTTGCTCTTACTGCAGAGCCGTATGGAATATGAGACATCCTGCGCTATCTTGTACTTAAGAGCTGAAGCCGGACAGTTCCCATCCCAGCTCTGCTCCTAACACCAGGGAGCGTTAGCTGCTGTTGTTGTCATTGTCAATAACCATAGTAATAGTAACGACAAACCATCCCCTGCAGGGTATCACGTGTGCCAAGCCCTTGTCACCAAGCCGTGCTGGACCGGTTGCGTACCCTCTGAGGAGGGGCAGGAGATGAGGGTGGGAGCCCCCATCCCCACTCAGGCCGTCTCTGCTCTGCTAGGCTCAGGGGAGAGGCTGAACAGAGGCCTGGGAGGGGGTGTGCTCCCAGGGCAAGGGCGGCACTTGTGTTGTCCCCTGTGGCAGAAATCCGGGGAGCTGGTTGCTGTGAAGGTCTTCAACACTGCCAGCTACATGCGACCCCGCGAGGTGCAGGTGAGGGAGTTCGAGGTCCTGCGGAAGCTGAACCACCAGAACATCGTCAAGCTCTTCGCGGTGGAGGAGACGGTGGGTCCAGGGCTGGGCCAGAGGAGAAAGGTCTTGTCCTTGACGCCCACAGGCTGGGAAGAATCAGGCCACAGAATAATAGAGACTTGGTCACATGCTCATCAGCAGGTCAGCCAGAACAGCCACCCACAGAGTGGAGTAAAGAATGCCAGGGGGTGGGGGCAGGGCCTGGGACAGTCAGGACAGGAAGTAGAGCCCAATCCAAGGGGGCTTCATGGAAGAGGTGACCTTGGGCTCAGGTGTGTGGGATCAGTGTGAGGCCAAGGAGGGAAGGCCAGGATGGAAGCTGGGACTTAAGAGAATAGGGGCTTTTTGGCTCTTGGCTGAGCCACTCCCTCCTGAGGAAGAGGAGGGGAAGTACCCTCCTCCTCAAGCCTCTCTGTCCCACGCACAGGGGGGCAGCCGGCAGAAGGTGCTGGTGATGGAGTACTGCTCCAGTGGGAGCCTGCTGAGCGTGCTTGAGAGCCCCGAGAACGCCTTCGGGCTGCCGGAGGACGAGTTCCTGGTGGTGCTGCGCTGTGTGGGTGAGCCCCTCCCAGACCCCCCCGGGCGCCCCCTCCCCGCCTCAGACCAGACCCGGCCTGGCCTTCAGTGGTCGGCAGCAGAAGGCAAAGTCCCAGAGGGGCGTGGCATTTCTGAAACAAGTATCCAAACACAGAAGAGCTTTCAGACCCTAAGAGGCTGTCCAGTCACAGACCTGGGGCACTGTCTGCTTCCTGCTAATCCTGCTATTGGCAGTTTAAAACTCCAATTTAAAACTTTAAATAGGTTGCACACCCGTGTTCATTGCAGCATTATTCAAATAGCCTAGTATAAGGTGAAAACAACCCAAGTGTCACGGACAGATGAGTGGATACACAAAACGTGGTGTATACGCATAGTGGACTAGTACTCAGCCTTAAAAAAGGAAGGCGATTCTGACACACGCGACAATATGGATGAACGTGGATGGAAGACGTTATGCTGAGTGAAATAAGCCAGGCACCCCAGGACCAATGCTGTCTGATTCCGCTGAGATGAGGGACCTGGAGAGGCAAATCCACAGAGACAGACCCTAGACGGGCAGACACCAGGGGCTGGGGAGGGGGCTGGGCAGTGATTGTTTATTAGGTGCAGAGTTTCTGTTAGGGAAGTTGACAAAGTTCTGGAGATGGATGGTAATGATGGTTGCACAGCAATGTTAATGTATTTAACATACACTTAAAAAAGGTTAAAATGGTAAATTTTATGTATACTTTACCACAATTTTAAATCATAAAAAGTAATAAGATGGGGAGGGGCTGGCCCCGTGGCCGAGTGGTTGGGTTCGTGCACTCCGCTTTGGGGGCCCAGGGTTTCACTGGGTCGGATCCTGGGCACGGACATGGCACCGCTCATCAGGCCATGCTGAGGCGGCATCCCACATGCCACAACCAGAGGCCCTCATAACTAGAATATACAACCATGTGCTGGGGGGCTGTGGGGAGAAGAAGAAAAAAAAGAAGATTGGCAACAGATGTTAGCTCAGGTGCCAATCTTTAAAATAATAGTAATAAGAAGAAGATGGGGGAGAGGAGAGTGCCATCCTCAGGAGGTAGGGCCACCACGCCTCTCGGTTTCTAGAGAACCCTGATGGAACCCCGATACCCACTGTCCTGGCCCCTCGTTGGCCCTGTGCCCATCTCTCTTCTGCTTTCCTTGTGGCCCTGTCAGCCCATGGAGACTCTGTCTATGTGGACCCAGGGACGGCCTTCCCCCAAGAAGAGCCCCACCCCCCAGGCTGTCCCTGGCCAGGCCTCGAGCTGCCCTCCTCTCCCCAGTGGCTGGCATGAACCACCTGCGGGAGAACGGCATCGTCCACCGTGACATCAAGCCCGGGAACATCATGCGCCTCCTGGGGGAGGAGGGGCAGAGCATCTACAAGCTGACGGACTTCGGGGCCGCCCGCGAGCTGGACGACGATGAGAAGTTCATCTCGGTCTATGGGACTGAGGAGTACCTGGTGAGTGGGGTGTTGGGGACCTGCTGCTCAAGCTGAGGGCCTCCCCTGCAGCTGGTCCCCTCACCTGTGACTTTCCCGGTGCTCCTCAGAGGGGCTCTGTCCAATCCCCCTGCATCCAGCTTGGTTATATCTCACCCCCCACACCCCAACCAGGAGAGCGCATTCTGTCCTCTAAGATGGAAAAGGCCATACTGCAGCCTGCCGGGCCACCCTGCCCAGGCCCCTGCCCAGGCCTCGCTGTGCACTGACTCCTGGATCTGACCCTCGTGGAGGCTGGAACACCACCGGTCACCACCTTCCCCAGGGCAGAGGCTGGGCAGATAGAAATGCTCTGAATAAGTAAATGCCACACTCACTTTTGAGATGCCAAAGGAGGTGTGTTCTGCTGGTTCTGTTTTCACCGGAAGGCAGTGGAAGGGGGTCTGTTGGGTGAGGACTCAGGCCCTCGCCCCACCCCGACTCCCCCGCCCCTCATGGCTGCTCTCTGATTCTCTCACCGCAGCACCCTGACATGTATGAGCGGGCAGTGCTTCGCAAGCCCCAGCAGAAGGCGTTCGGGGTGGCTGTGGATCTCTGGAGCATTGGGGTGACCCTGTACCACGCAGCCACCGGCAGCCTGCCCTTTGTCCCCTTCGGTGGGCCACGGCGAAACAAAGAGATCATGTACGGTGGGCCACGGAGCAGGGTATGAGGGTGGACGGGCCCTGGGCCTTCCCTCGCTGGCCCCTGCTGTGTCTCCTCTTCCTCCTCGAGCTCTGTGGTCCTCCTTGGTCCACCCCCCACGCAGGCTCCTGTTAGATCCTCGGTTTCAGTCAACCAGACTAGCTGAGCCGTGCCCCCGGCTGATGGGAAACTGATCATGATCCCTTATCTTAGTTCACTGCTTCACGTTAGCCCTCCGTGCATTGGTGCTCACCACATCTCAACCGAGACTCCAAAAGAGACTTACCCAAGGTTGCAGAGCCAGCCAGGGGCAAAGGTGGGGCAGGAACCCAGCCTCCAGGTCCCAGGTCCAAAGTCCTTCCAGTTTCCTGCTGTCTGACACAGAAGTAGCTGGAGATAGTGGCAGCCCCCCTGAGTGTACCACTCAGAGCAAGAGATTTAAGGTGAATTCACAAGAGGGTCAAAGCCCCACCATCAGCTCAGGGGCCAAGCCCTGTGGAACCTGTATGACATCAGGGAAAGGGCATGCAACAGACATGGCTGGGGCCGTCAGGGCAGGCTGGGCTTTCAAGGGAGAGGACGGTTTGAATAGCGAAGGGGACGGGAGGCTATGTGGAGGCAGCCGGCTGTGGATGTGTGGTGAGCAGGTAGAGGAAGGAGCAGAGAGCCTCACTGGGGAGCACCAAGGCAAGCTGGTCTTGTTGGCTGAGAGCCAGCACTCTCAAATTCCATTTTTCAGGCTACCTCAGAGTGGCTGGGAGACTTAAACCAGTACTCTGAACCCTCCATGCTGAGTTTGTCATCCCTTGAAGTGTGACGGGCTGGGGGTCCTGCTGACCTGGTCCTGCCTCACCCCAGGTACCGGATAACCACAGAGAAGCCAGCCGGGGCCATTGCAGGCACCCAGAGGCGGGAAAACGGGCCTTTGGAGTGGAGCTACAGCCTCCCCATCACCTGCCGGCTGTCATCGTGAGTGGACCCTTGAGTAGGGCAAACACAGACCTGAGTCTGGGCTGGTATCCTCTCTGCTGAGAGTCAAGACCTACCTCTGAGGCCTGGTCCAGCGGGGCCTCCAACATGTAGTTGGCTTGGGTCTGCCACTTTCCCTTTCTGGCCTCAGGTTTTCTGTCCAGATGCTGGAAGACCCTTCCAGCCCTTCTCCTCATCCCACCCCGCCCTACCACTTTAGTCCTAGCTCTTCAGGACGTTCTCAGGGAATGCCCCCATTCCCCACTCAAGGAGGACAAGTCTGGGCCCCGGCCCCTGACCATCTCCATGTCGGGGGGCTAGGGGGCTGCAGAGCCAGCTGGTGCCCATCCTGGCCAACATCCTGGAGGTGGAGCAGGCCAAGTGCTGGGGCTTCGACCAGTTCTTTGCGGAGACCAGCGACATCCTGCAGCGAGTCATTGTGCACGTCTTCTCCCTGTCCGAGGCGGTCCTGCACCACGTCTACATCCATGGCCACAACACGTGAGTGGGCACGAGCAATAGAGGCGCGGAGCCTTCTCCGCCCCAAGCAGAAGGGCATCTCCTAGACGGCCTTCTGTGGGCTGTTTGGATATGGGAGCTTCTGGGTCCAATCTTAGTTTGGAAAACTCCTAGTTCCACGAAGTTAAAGGGGCTTCCTCGCGGCTGGACTTCAGAGATTCAGCAAACTTTACAATGCTAGCGTGCACCTTGAATCTCCGGAAGGTGGGGGGACGGTTGGCAGTGCATCTCTCAACTTTATTGCTCATAGAACCCTTTATTCCTGGAGCCATTTATGGGACTAGGTGTATTTTAACAGGAATGGGGCAGGCAGAGGTGCAAGGCAGAGGCTGGATATGGGGACTCCTGGGTTCTGTTCCCATCCACTACAATACGTGAGCTCTACCCTGTGTCTCTCCACTCTTGATTAGAGAGAAAATCACCCAGTCTCTCCCTCTGAAAAGCTGAGCCCTCTCCACGGATGAAGTCTTAGCAGGGGTTTGGGTCCCCGACCCCGTATCCTGCTGGTGACACTTCCTGTCCTCCCCCTTCCTCTTGCTGCCCCTGGTGTCTAGGATAGCCATCTTTCTGGAGGCTGTGTATGAGCAGACCAATGTGGCCCCCCAGCACCAGGAGTACCTCTTTGAGGGTCACCTCTGTGTCCTCGAGCCCAACCTGTCAGCACAGCACATTGCCCACACGACGGCAAGCAGCCCCCTGACCCTGTTCAGCATGGCCAGCGAGACCCCCAAGGGACTGGCCTTCAGGGACCGTAAGTAGGGCCACACAGGCTGGATCGTCTCTCCTCCTCGTATTCTCCTCTAAGAGGCGGGGTGTACCGTGCAGAGATTGGGTAATTTTCTTTGTGGGTGTCTTTTGGGCCCACAGCGTGCAGAAGGCAGATCTGGTCTCTAATTCTGCGTATGCCTCTGATATGCCATGTGACTCGGGCTGATGGCTTGACCTCCCTGGGCTTCACAGCGTCCACAGAGCTGTGGAAGAAACTCCCATGGAAGCAGGGAGATCTGGATTTATGCTCCCCATAGTCTCTGCAATTGGTGGGGAAGCGTCAGAGAGGCTGAGCTGGAAGAAGCAGGGGCCCAGGCTGTTAGTGAGAAGGGACGGTAATCAGGGGTCCAAGGCTTTGTCCTCCACATTCTAGCAAAAATATCATTCTTTCTCATTTGATGATGCCATTCCATCTTCCTTCTCAGGGTCTCCAAGGCTGGGCGGGGGTATTCACACTGAAACCCTGGGGCGAGGGTGGTTTTAGCTCATCTTCTGGCTGTTGAGATGGGACGGTCTGTTCTAAATGAGGCTGTCTTTCTCCAAAGCGGACACAAGGGGGCGGTGAGGGCCTGCAGAGGTTCAGAAGCACAGCACGCGGTCTAAGGCGAGGAGGGTGGGGCTTTAGGCGAGTTGGGAAGCTTGAGGCGGAAGATAGGTGGTGAGCCGGGAGTGTGAGCTGGGAATAGGAAAGATGAGCTCAGAGCTCGTCCAGGGTCATCTAGGCAGCCCCCTCAGACAGGGTCTTTATCTGCAGCGGCTCTGGACATCCCCAAGTTTGTTCCCAAAGTGGACCTGCAGGCAGATTACAACACGGCCAAGGTGAGAGGGGCCGCCAGGTGGCGGGGGGGGGGGGGGGGGCTGATGGTGCAGGAGATAGGGGTGCAGGACCTGACCCCGCCAACCTGTGTGTTTCAGGGCGTGTTGGGCGCAGGCTACCAGGCCCTGCGGCTGGCGCAGGCCCTGCTGGCTGGGCAGGAGCTCATGCTTCGGGGGCTGCACTGGTTTGTGTGAGTACCCCGAGGGCCGGGTGGGCAGACAGGACAGGCAGCCCAGACTCCTTCCACACTGCTGTGGGGCCCTGCCGTGGGCACAGTGCCCTTGGTCCCCTGGAAGCAGGCGACTCTGACTTGACCTCCCCTCGGCAGGGAGATCCTCCAGGCCACGTGCAGGCGGACACTGGAGGTCACGAGGATGGCCCTCCTCTTCCTCAGCAGCAGCCTGGGCACCGACAGGTGGGTGTCCTGCCTGGGGGCGGGGCAGGGGGCGGGTGCTGCAGCTGGCATGAGGCTGCCAGACCCCTCAGCCCATCGTTCTCTGTCTGTTCCTCACCCCAGTATTTCCAGCAATGCCCTGACTTCCTGCCATGCTGGAATAGGGAGGGCACTCCCACCCTGGCCCTCATCCCCCACCCCGCCGGATGCTGCATGACCTACCTCCCTCTCCTAGCCTCTCCTCAGGGGAAGTGGCCCGTGGGGGCACTGCCTTTCCAGGGACCAAGGCAGCCTTCCTGCCCCGGGAAAGGGCTCTGTCCCACCAGACCCCTTCTCTGAAGAGTCAGACTGCTCATCCTGCACCAGGCCCTGGCGCGGGACTCTAGAGAAGCACTCACACCCACGCCTGGTCCCCTGGACCCCCAGATCCAGGGGTCTCATCCTCCATGCTCCTCCTCTTGCTTCCTCTGGGTCTTAAACTGTCCTCGCTTCTTAGGATTCCCTGTCCCAACCCTTGGAACTCCGTGCCCTCCCTCCTGTGACTTGGGCTAATTAGGGGTGATGGGTTGGAAAAAGGGAGAGACTGGGAGGAGGAAACCCAGCTGGAAGGTCTGGAGATGAGATGCAGGGTAGACTGCTTTGGCCAGAGCACTATGGAGAAGAGGGCACAGGCCCCTGAATCTTGGAAGGTGGGCGCCATGGTACAGGTGGCGACGGGGGCTCTGTGGCCCAGGGAAGCTGATGGTGGCTGGAGCCTTTCCCAGTGTGAGGAGACAGGTGGTGACAGAAGAGCGAAGATTGTGACAAACATGCCTGAGGTCCCCATCCCTCACATCCCCCGGCCCTTGTCCTCAGGCAGGTGCTGGGAGTTTCTGAGCAGCGGCTGGCTCACTGCGGTCTTGCTTTCCTCCTGGGGCTTGGTGCAGCAGTGCTGACGATGGGGCGGATGGGGTGGTGACAGTGCAGGGAGGAGAGACAGGAGTGTCTCTGGATGACAGGGATGGAGTTCAAACGGTGACAGAGATGAGCAGTGACAGAGATGAGGGGTGGCGCAGAGATGAGGGGCAGGGGCAGAGATGAGAGGGGAAGAGGTGAGGGGCAGCAGAGTGGGCAGCGCTGGTCCTCCGAGCAGAGCTCCATCCAGGGCACAGAAGGGGCTTCCAGTAATGGATGTGGCCCCAGGCATGCAGAGGGCCCACACTCCGCTGGAGGAGATGCCCCTTCCCAGGCATGTGCAGGCACCAGGACCGCTGGGTAGAGGGAGCCTAGAGATGAGTGGAGGCAGCCACAGAGATCTTCCTGAGAGACATGCAGCTTTTAAGGGCGGACTGTGAGAGAACGCCTCTGTTTGAAGGTCTTCACAGAGACAGAAAGGGGCTGTGGTCGGGGGATGGGGAGGGGCTGGTGAGCTGTGCTGAAGCCACGCTGCTGGAGTGAAGTTGGAGAGGGATGGAGGAAAAGGGAGGGGAGAATACCTGGAGGTCTTGGAGGGTGCAGTAGGGAGGTTAGACGCCAGTAAAATGAGCAGTGGAGATCTATTGTGGGTCCTCGAGCAGGAAAGAAATGTGCAGAGGAAGCATTTGGGCGTTTGCCCACTGGCCCTGGACTGACGAGTGTGCAGGAGTGACAGGCTAGGCCCAGCTCTGGAGTCCTGGCCCTTGCTGACCACTGTCTTCCCCATTCTGGCTCTAAGACCTCCGCTGAGATATGGCGTGTCGGGAGAGCACCGGGCCAGGCAAACGCTAGCTTTGAAGCATACTCCAGCCTCCAACCAGGGAGGAGAATGGAGAAGAGAAAGAGTACTGAGCAAACAGGCAGCGGGCCGGGTCCAAGCTTGTCACTGACTCATTGTTGACCTCAGGCCGCTGTCACCTTTCCCTACCTGGGCCTCGATTTCCTCATTTGCAAAATGAGAGGATTAGATGACTTCTGAGGCCTCCCAGCTCCAACGTTTGCAATCCCCTTCTTTTCTGAACATCCTCAGACCTGCACATTCTTCTAAGGTCTGAAGCCACTAGCTCCTCGCCCAGTAGAATCTGAGGTATTTTGATGAGCTGGATTTCACGTTTGGAGGAGCCCAAGCACCTGGTACCATGTGGCCGCCATTGTTACTTGCCTCTCCCACAGTGCCCTCCTGCCTCAGGCTTCTCAAGACGGGCTCCCTTGGCAGAGTGTCCTTGCCTTTGTCCCGAAGCTCCCTGGTACTCCTTGGCAGCTGCTGCCATCCGGAGGCACTGTTCAGGCAGCCAGGACTGGCTCAGGAAATACTGGTGCTTCCCCCACCCCACCACCAAAAACTGTTTTTCTACAAATGTGTTCTCTAATCAAGCCCTTCCTTTCTGAGGTCCCATTTGATCCCCACCAACACCTTATTAGGTAGCACGAAGGAGGCTGATCTCCCCATTATATAGATGAAGAACCTGAGGCTTGGAGGGCGAAGCAGCTAACCCAAGATCATGCAGAGAGCAAGTGTGGCAGCTAGGACTAGCCCTCAAACCACCCCTCCTGACTCCCGGTCCAGCCTCATCCTCTTCTGCCACCAAGTAGTCCAAGCCCTAAAATCCATTCCTGCATTCAATAATTCATTTGACAATCGTGTGTTCTAAGCACTTTGCTATATACGGAGACAATGGTGAGCAAGGCAGGCAGCGTCCTGGCCTTTACAGGGCTTCCTCTTTATTCCTAATTCTCTCAGCTCCTCTTTCTTCCCCTCCCCTCCATTCCCAAGCCAAAACACACAGGATTCTTTTTGCCTAATTGTTATTGTTATAAAAACAGTATATGCTAATTGTAGTAAGTTGGAAAATACAGATGAGCAAAAATGAAATAAAAATACCATGTCCTACCATGCAGAGATATAGGTTGTCACTCATACGGTAACCTAGGAGCTCTCCCCGCTTGTGTCAATACACTTCATCTCATCTGGTACCTATCCATATTCAAATTTCCGTAGTTATCCTCCAAATTTTCTTGTCTAGCTGCTTTCATCCAAACCAGGATCCACTCCAAGACCACACTTTGCGTCTTGTTCTTATGTCCCTTAAATCTATTTTAATTAGACAGACCCCACACCGCCCATTCATAATGACATTAGCTTCTTCGAGGGAAAACACCCATTGTCCCACCTTCTGGACTCATCTGTGCTTCCTCTGGATGTCATTTGCCTTGTTCTTCTTTCCTGGATTTCCTATAAACTGAGAGTTCTAAAGGCTGGGTGGATTCAAGTTCAACATTTTTGGCCAGATCCATCCTAGGTGACGTGGGAACACTTCATATCCACCCGCCATCGGGTGTGGACAGCCTGACTGCTCTGTTGTCCACTTACGTTCTCCTCGTGAAAGAATCAGCGTGGTGTTACTTTGGCACCACACAAGTGTCCACGCCTTAAGCAGTCATCGTTGATTTTAACACCGTGCCCGAGGGAACAGTTTTACTGGGGGCAGCAGGATGCGAATATTCTCAGTCCTAGCACATGATTGGCTAGTATTCTAGAAAATACAGCTTTTCCCTCATCGATAAGCTCTTGGTATCATGAAATAGAGTTTCTACTGGAAAGGAACTTTACTCTTTTCCTTTAGTTAGAAATTTTCCTAGTAAGGAAAATAAATAGCTGCCTTGCATCGTGGGCTCATGAGTTTTCAAAGATTCGAGTTGTCTCAATCTATTTCAATCTCTCTTCTTTGAAAGCTCTGCAATGTCACAACTTTGGTGTAAGGGGCCTCTTCAAGTTGGTCCTTCTCTCCCAACCACAAAACTCCCCAGGCACCCCGCAGCCAGCAAGGCTGTCCCAAAGGTGCTGTGTCCAACGTGCGGTCACAGAACTCTCTGCCTCCTGAATGCCCAAATGGTCCTCTTTCTGTCCTTCCCTTGAGGTTCAGCAATGGGGCTGGGACGCCTGAAATCCAGGAATTGAAGAGGGCCACAGAACTGAGGTCCCAGCTGCGGACTGTGAGTGCGACTAGGGGATGGGGTGGGGGTGCTGTCAGGAGCAGAGCTGGGGGTCAGGGTCCAGCCAGGGTGCCTATCAGAGCCTCGAGCTGAGGACCCCATGTGGTCCTTTTTGTCCTCCAGCTGGCTGGGGTCCTCTCCAGGTGTTCCCACAATATCACAGAGACCCAGATGAGCCTGAGCAGCCTGAGCTCTGAGCTGGTGAAGAATCGGGATCAGGTACATGAAGACAGAAGGTCTGTGGGATTTTCCTTCTTGGTGGGGTAGAGGTGGGGGCGGGGACATACAGCTCAAAAGGCCCAGCAGCCTTTTTGAGGAATCAGCCTGCTTTCTCCCAGCAAGAATCCTGGGGTATGGAGGTAGAGGTGGGGGATCTGGGAATGCACAAGACCTCCCCTGATACTGGCCAGAGGGAGAAGAGGATCTGGGGTCCTGCCCCCATCTAGGGGTTTAGAGAGTGAATTACACACCTCAGCAGGTGCAGTAGTTCTAAATAAAAGAATAATTTAGTTCCCTTTCTCTTCTGAACGCCCGCTCTGCGTCAGACCCTCGGATAGGTCCTCCTACTTATGTCATCTCACCTGGCCCTCGAAACAGTAACAGTGCTGCTCTCATGCCCCCTCTGTAGGTGAGAGAGCTCCTTCAGGGAGGTTCACTTGCCCTGAGTCACAGTTAGTAAATGAGAGATGATGGCTGTCAGGTGTCCAGAGCCTCTGTCCTCGCCGACCCCAGGGATTTACAGCCGTCAACCCCTGTTCTCCCTTCTAACAAACAGAAAAGGCCCACCCACCCCACAGCCTGCCGCATGCGCGGCTCGGGACCTGCTGCCCTCAGTGCCCATACGCATCCATAACCCCAGGTTCTCGTTTCCAAATTCAAAAAGCTCTGAAAACTGCAGGCTTTTTTCTTAATTGTTTTGGTTGCAAAACCTGACCTAAACTGACATGAGGCTCTCTCTAATCCTCACGGATCCCATTTAGGTGAATATTCTTGCCATTCTCTGAAGAGTGAGTGTATCTGATGGGGGCACTGCCCAGACCCTGCCGGCATGTGCCACAATACAGTGTATGCATTCTGAATGACCTTTCCAAAATCAGAAGAGAATTCTGAATTCAGAACATCTGCCCGGAGCCTTTGGGTAAAGGCTGGATCTGAGGTCCCGTCCACCCGGTGTTCTTAGGAGGGCAGAGCCTGGCAGCAAGCCTGGACTCTGCCCAGAGTCCAGCTCCAGAAAGGGCTGAGACGGGGTCACTGGAAGGAGCTGCAGGGAGGAAGTGGAGCTGGAGGAGCCTGAGGGCGAGGAAGAACCCCCACGCCCCCAACCCTCAAACAAAGTGTTTGTATCCAGCCTGGAAAGGGGAAGCAAGAAACAACAACCTTGAACCCCAGGCAGGGGGTCCTTGAGAGGTCATCACCCCAACTCCCCTGCCTCCAAGGACCTTTGATTTGTTCTTGTTTTAAACACAGGTTTTTGATTCATGGCTTGAGTTCCTTCTATGCGCCAGGCATTGGATGTACTAAGAAGTCACTACTTTCACCTTTTCCAGGCGACCAGAAGAGAAATTTCTGCTCCACTCCCATCCCCAGCTGTCACCACTGGTCCCTTATGTTTCAGGGCCCAAGACTTCTTCCCGGAGTCTGTCCTCAAGCCTTCTTGTGCAGCACAGGTCACTCTCCTGTCACCTGTCCTTCCTGGCTGAGAGAGAGAGAATAAACATGAGAATGAGGGAGGGCTGGCTGGCCCCAAGTTGCCTCAAACAAGCTTAGAGACAGGAGAGTCACCCCCACTCCCAGACTGGCCCCCCAAACTGGCACTGAGGCTCCTTCTTCAGGGAGACAGCTCCTCCCCTCCTCCCACTGCCATCCCATCCCCTCCCTCACCCTCGGCTCCGTGCTGTCTGATGCTCCCATCACCTGCTCTCTGTCTCCTGCCCACAGCACCCAGAAGATTCAGTGCTGTCTGGACAAGATGTACCTTATCTACAAACAGTTCAAGAAATCCCGGGTGAGGCCAGGTGAGCCGTGGGGAGAGCGAAATACTCCTGGTGCTCTCCCCTCCCTCCCTTCTCCCTTCCTTTTCTCTCGTTATCCAGTTATTTGTCAGTACTCCCACTATGTGGACGGTGCCATGTGGAGCCAGGGTGCAGCAGGGACCCGTGAGGGACGTGAAGCCTTGACACCTGTGCCTGTTGCCACGTGGGGGGCTTACATGACATGGGTGGGGGCGCAGCGGGCTGGAGCATGGGTACTATGGAAGAGGTGGCCCTTGAAAGAGACACTTCACCTTTGCAGGGCACTTTACAGTTTAATGAGTGTTTCCCTGTCCATTTTGTCTTTGTCTCACTGAAATAGTCAGGTTTTCCAGAAAGGAGGATCTGGGGAAATACTAGTTAGCGTCACTGGCAGGCACTTTGCTGCCTTATCGTAATCCTCACGAAGACCCCGTGGGCAGGGGCAGCTCATTTACAGGCTCAAAGACAGGGTGCTGCTTGCCCCAGGTGACTGCCATCGTGAGGCGGGAGTGGGCCAGGGCTTGGGGGAGCCCAGGGAGGCCCCAGGTGACTCTTGGGGTCTGGGCCCAAACGGTCAAGAATCGTCTATCTCACCCATGCCCCAAGCAGTTTCTTTTTTCTTATTTCTTTCTTTTTTTTCTTCCTTTTTTTTTCTTTCTTTTTTTCTTTTTCTTTTTTTTTTTTTTTTTGAGGAAGATTAGCCCTGAGCTAACATCCATGCCCATCTTCCTCTAGTTTGTATGTGGGACACCTACCACAGCACGGCTTGCCAAGCACTGCCATGTCCGTACCTGGGATCTGAACCGGCAAACCCTGGGCAAGTGAAGCGGAATGTGCGCACTTAACCCTGCGCCACCGGGCCGGCCCCCCGAGGCAGTTTCTAGTGTGTAGACTGAGGGTCTTGAGCTTGATTGCCAAGTTCTCCTCTATCCTTAGATTATCTGTGAAGCACTGTCCCATAGAAATACATGCCAGCACAGGTAATTTTAAGTTCTCTAGTAGCCAAAATTCAAAAAGTAGAAAGAAACAGGTAAAATTAATTATAATAATAAATTTTATTCAACCCAATATATCCAAATTGTCATTTCAGCAGGTAATCAACATAAACACAATTATTGAAGAGATATTTTAGATTCTCTTTTTGTGCTAAGCCTTCACAACCCCGTGTATATTTTACACATATGGTACAACTCTATCCGGAAGCTGATTTTTTAACAAAGTATGTAGTTTTACCAAAACAATAAAGCTGTGTTTAATGGGAAAATATTTTTTTACACTGCTTCAGTTTTAAGATAATTAAATTAAATAAAAATTCAGTTCCTTGGTCGCACTGGCCACATTGCAGGTGCTCAGCAGCCACCTGTGTCTGGGCGCCACCACATTGGACACACGGATCTGGAAGATAGTCTTCTCTCCTTGGGAGCTTCAGTCCTGCCTCAGGGTCTGGCCTGGGAAGGTGGAGGGCAGCACCGAGGCGGGGAAACCGAGCCTGGCCACCTTGGCTGTGGTTTCAGCGGAGCCTTGGAGCAGCTTTCTGCCCCTCACTGGAATTCCGCAATCCTGTTGCCAGTACCTTCTGAGCACCTCCCACAGCTGTGCCGGTGCTGTCCTGGGGCCGTGCACGGTCTTCATTTATTTAGTGCTCACAAAAACTCGAGGCGCCGGTACCCTCCCTGTCTGAGAGCTGAGGAAGCAGAGACCCCGAAGGTGAAGCAGCCCGAGCAATCTGGGGCTGGCTGCTTTAACCACCCCATATTATAGCCTCAGAGTTTCGTTTCTATCAGTCTTCAAGAGTCCTTTATTGAAACTAGAAATGAACCAGGAGGAATAGCTCCTGCCTGCTAACACCTGGGTGCGGAAAGGTGCTGTTCTCAGAATGCTCAGGAATTTTCAGACCATCTCTACCCTCACCCCATCCTGTATGTCACATACGCCAGCGAGGAAACCGACTCATGAGGGGGATCCTGGCCAACAGCACCCCCATGAGGAACCAGGGCTGGGACTTGGAGCTCGGACTGCACAAGTGCTCAGCTGGCCGAGAGCACAGCCCAGGAGAGGGCCTGGGAAGGGGTCCTGCTCTGAGGGCAGTGGGGCAGGGCAGCAAGGCAACACGCCCTTTCCCTCAGAGCCCAGGAGGGGCAGCATCTCCAGGGCAGTGAGCCTCAGGAGGCGGCCAAGGCCCAGAAGACTTCAGCCCTTTCAGCCCTCCTGGAAAAGGTGGCAGAAAGCGCTGGCCTGGCTTCTCCAGCCACTTGCTGCAGAACCAGCTCTGACTGCAGGTTGAATGTTCACGGGTGGGGCCACAGGCCGTAGGCATCAGTCACTCTGGGAGGGGTGTGGACAAGGGGCTGGGGCTGACCAAGCACCCTTCAAGACCCATCTCATCTACCCTTCCCACCAGAAGCATTCCCCAGGAACCCTTCCCTCCACGCTAACACTATGGGTTCGCCTGCCCCAGGACCCTGTGGGAACTCTGCTGCTTCTGTAGGCGTTGCCTCATCCTGATGCAGTGTCCTGGGTGCTTGTTCCACTCCTGTCCCTGCTCCCTCCACTGGGCTGGGAGCTCCTGGGAGCAGGGCCCTGGTGGGGTTGTCCTCATCTTTGTAGGTGACCCCCGACCCTTGTGGCATTCCATTTGGTTGACTGATGAACAGGTGACATGTTCCTGTCTGTTTCCCTCAGGGCTCGGCTACAATGAGGAGCAGATTCACAAGCTGGATAAGTGAGTGGCTTGTCCCCTCGCAGGTGGGAGGGCAGGAGGGTGGGCGTCAGCAGGGCAGAGAGGTTCTCTGTGCCTCCTGAGAAGTGGAGAGGGCCCTGAGCCCATGCCGGGTGGCTCGTCTGTGCTGGGAGAGCTGGCTGAGTTGGCGGGAGGTTTCTCAGAGGCAGTCTTGATGTAACTGGACTCACTCCTGGGGTGAACAAGATTGTCGTAGGATTCCTTTCCCCGACTGTCCTCACTGAGTTACCACTTACCACTTCTTGCGATGGACCTCTGCTGAGCTTTCCTTTGGGCGTCACTCTGCTCCTGCTTCCTGGACACTCATCTTCCAGGAGGCCCTCCTTGATTTCAATGCTTACTGGGGCCTCACTCCCCAAGTTCTACATCTGAGCCTGTGCACACATGCACACACACTTCCCATAACCGCCGCTCCCTCCCTCCCTCTGGGACCGAGCTGGAGAGTCTGTGTTCTGAGGTCCCCTGTCCTTCCCCCACCTCTCTCTGTTCCATGGGCTGCCCTCTGCTCTCTGCGATGCCCATGTGCGAGCATCGCCTCCTCCTCCTCTGCCAAGGCGGCCCTGCTGTGGACCAGGGCCAGGCACTTAGCTGATGGACACCTAGGGGTGTGAGCCTTGTGCTCAGGGGGCTCTGGCTGCTTAACTTTCTGCCTCGGTTTCCCTTCTTTTCAGGGTGAATTTTAGCCATTTAGCTAAAAGGCTCCTGCAAGTGTTCCAGGAGGAGTGTGTACAGAAGTATCAGACATCTCTGGTCACACACGGCAAGCACATGAGGTAACAGTCTGGCCCTCCCTCCTGAGCTCAGGGACCCCGGGGCCCCTCCGGGTCTGGCCCTTGCAGGCTCAGATGCCCGGGCCATGCAGAGTGCTGACAGACAGGAAGAGGCAGTAAAGGGACCGAGGCAGAGGAATGGGTGGTTTTGTGGCCCTGGGTAGACCAGGCAGTCTGCTTGGTGATTTCTACATGTGAGCTTATAACCCCGTAATCTCTCGCTATGCAGTAGATACTATCACCCCATTTCAAGGATGAGGAAACTGAGGTTCAGGTTGCTTCCTCAATATCACACAGCTAGTAAGTAGCAGCCCCAGGGCTAGCGTGTGGGTCACACTGCCTCCAAAACCTGCGTCCTTTCCACCATCCCTGCTGGTCGCGCTGGGGAGCCGCCTCTCGGGCAGAACACGAGGTCCCTCTGGTTTGATGACAAGGGGTCAGGGAAGCAGGGGCAGGCAGAGGCCCTTTCCCAGAACCCTCACACTGCCCCTGCGGGGGCTTTGGACCCTACCCCCGCAGGCAGCCCCTCCTGCAGCTGCACAGTGCTGGCTCCTGCTGAGAGGGGGCAGCTTCCCAGGTGGGGCCGGCTCCCAGGCCCGTGTGACCTGTAGGCTTGTTATGGGGCTGAGACCCAGGCACCCACCCACCCATTAGAACACCAATGCCTGGCTCCCCCACCCCCAACCCGCCCCCAATTCTGACTTAGTGGGCCTGCAGTCGGCTTGGATATCAGTGGTTTAAAAGTGCCTCCAGGCGACTCCAGTGTGTAGTCAGGGTTGAGAGTCAACTACTGGGTCACCTGCCCTGGGTCTTGTTTTCTGGGACACTGGTTTTGTGCAACAGGGAAAATGTTCTTGCTCACTCCCTCCACTTAGAGAGAGAAGAGAATCCATGAAAGTCTTGACCTTGATTTGCTGTGGAACCAGGAGTGTGGGCACTTCCCATAGTAAGTGCCCCAGTGGGCTGTCCTGCCTCTCTGGAGCCTCACTGGCCCCGGGCTCATCCTAACCAGTGCGGCTGCCTGGCCACAGCCACAGGCGTGCGCGCAGCTCCCACTGTAGTCTGACGGGACCCTCACCAGCCCCATCAGACGTGCTTATTAGCTCTTATGGAGGACAGGTGAGAGTCGAGGGCACACCTGGAGGGGCGGAGGCAGTGAGGGAGGCAAATGCCTGTGACCCTTCAGCTCCAGCCTCTGTCGTCTGGAAGGCCTCTCTTCCGTGTCTGTGTGGTGACCTGAGCGACAGCTGGAGGGGCCCTGGTAAGGGTGAGGAAGCCCGGCTCTGATTTTTTTTTTTAAGATTTTTTTTCTTTTTCTCCCCAAAACCCCCCAGTACATAGCTGTGTATTTTTAGTTGCGGGTCCTTCCAGCTGTGGCATGAGGGACGCCGCCTCAGCATGGCTTGATGAGCGGTGCCATGTCTGCGCCCAGGACTCGAACCAGTGAAACCCTGGGCCACCACAGCGGAGCATGCAAACTTAACCACTCGGCCACGGGGCCGGCCCCCTGGCTCTGATTTTTGATCTGCTCTCTCGAGGGTGGTGCACGAGACCAGGAACCACCTGCGCCTGGTCGGCTGCTCCGTGGCCGCCTGTAACACCGAAGCCCAGGGAGCCCAGGAGAGCCTCAGCAAGGTGCGAGAGCCTCAGGGGGCCTGGGGCAGCTGAGGGCCGGGTCAGTCAGGCACCCTGGGGGCATTCGGGCCAGTCCCCTGCCTCTGGGCAGAGCTACCCTTGACCAAATCCAAGTGCTTTGGTGTGGGTTTGGGCGTCTGTACCTGCAAATGTGCCCTGAGGTGGGGACGAGAAAGAGGAGAAGGCACTTCCTGGTGATCTCAGGCTGAAGGTCACTGCAAGGGCAGAGCCTCCACAATGCTGGGACATCTTCCTCGCGCCCCACGCAGCCTGGGGGGCTCCACGTTCCTCCTGAGAGGCGAGGTGTCCTCTCCTTGGTCTTCTGATCTGCTCCCTGAGAAGATGCCAAGACACAGGCAGCTCTGAGAACAGGGACAGAGAAGGGCTGCTTCCCAGAGACAGCCACCAGGCCCTTCCCCGTGCCCAGTGCAGGGCACAGCAGCTCCAATCCTTCGGAGCCTGGCGCCGGCCACCCCCACAGGGTGTCACTGGAGTGAGGTTTAGACAGTGGGGAGGACGTGGCAGTCTGGACAATGGATCCAAGCACAGGCAGTGAAGGTGGTTGTGCCGGTTGTGCCCCAGGATGGAAGGAGGGGCTCACGGGAGAGGCTGGAGCACTCTGGGTCCTCTGCGGTGTGGGCTGGGGGCCGTCCCCCTTTCTGACCCTTCCTCACGTCTCCCCCACAAAGACACAGTCCTGCAGGCTCGTCCCTTCTGACTTAAGTGTGGTTCCCTTCAGCTCCTTGACCGGCTGTCTCAGCAGCTCCTCCAGGACAGAGCAAAGGGGGCTCAGGCCTCCCCACCCCCCACAGCTCCTTATCCCAGCCCTGCGCTGAAGGACCTCGTTCTCCAGTAAGTGCCAAGAGAGAGGGGCGTGTGTGCGCGCATGAGGAAGGGGTGGTGCAAAGCGGTTGGGGGCTGACTTGGAGCCCCAGGGCTTTTGCCTCCTGCCAGGCCTGGGCAGCAGGAGTAAAGGGAGGCTGGAGGGTGGGCCTCGGGCAGGGTCTGGGCAGGGTCTGGGGAGAACAACTTCAGCCTCAGCCGCAGCCGCCCCTCTTGCCGGCCTCCCACAGCATGCAGGAGCTCTACGAGGAGATGAAGCTGCTGGCATTTGACCTCCAGGACAACAACCGCATCATCGAAGGGTAAGGAGCTCCCGCAGCATGCTGGGGAGGGCTGGTCCTCACACTGCCCTTGCCTGGGGCGCAGGGTTCCTGTGCCTGCCAGCACGTTTGAGGATGGGTGTCGTTTTCTGGTCACGGAGCTCCAGCCTTGTCCACGGATGAGTCTCCATCCTCTCAAGGTGCAGGCTTCCACTGGAGTGTTGGGGATAGAGTGCAGTCTGAGATGAAAATTTCATCTAATTTTTAGCAATTGCTGGGTGTACAAAAAGAGAATCTGTTTGACCCTGATGCTCACACCACTCTCAGTGCAGTCAGAGGCAGAGGCTCAGAGGCACGTGGATTTGTGACTGTCCATGAATGTGGACTCTGCCTGACGCCCCACCGACTCCTTGCATCTTGCCAACCATCTCCTCGTCACCCACCAGGAAACTGCAGCACACAGCTCAGTTAACTGCCCCAGGGCCGGGCCGGCTCCGACCCCTCATGCAGATGCTCTGCAAGTCCAGTGGGAGAGACTCTGCACATCCCCTCATTTGATCCCCTTCTCAGGGGCTGAGGGGCCCTGGAGAGGGCACCAAGGGAGGGCAGCAGGGCTCAGAGCCACAGATTTTATGCACCAGTAAAATTCACAAAAGAAAACTGGAGAAGAACAGAGTGACCAACTTCTCATATAACCAAATAAACACATTTGAAAAGGAAAAGCACCCCGCCATCGAGTAGTGCCACTTCACAAAGCACATTTTAACACCAAAGAGAAGGAAGGACACAATCTCACAATCAAGGATGGCCGTGCGAGGAAGGTCAGCTGGCCTGCTTACAGACATATGCACTACCATGCCTGCACGCACGTCCCGCATCCCCCAGCACGCTCACCTCTGTCACGTGCCTGTTTGGGAGCCGGGGTCCTGGTGGGAAGAGCTGGCAGAGCTTCCAAGGGTACTGAACTCCTGACTCTGCTCCTGAGCAGGGCTGTGACCCTGGGAGCGTCTTCAGCTCTGAGCTTCAGTTCCCTCCCCTGAAATGGGAATAATGATTCCTCCCTCGTGGTGTTGACGTGACGTAGGGGCTAAACAGGCTGAGCCATGCGGTGTGCTGGGAGGAGAGGGCGCAGGTGTTCCCCAGAGGCCACCCAGTCTGGGGCGGAGAATTGGGGCCAGGAGGGAGGGAAGCCGGGAGCAGAGCTGGTGGCTGTCCCGAGTTCCAGAGAGCCCTTGGGTTGAGGAGGCATCTCTTCCATCTCCCATTCCAGTGAGGAGAGAATCCATCTTCTTAAATACCCATGAAGAGACGATTTGACAGCTTCTTGGAAAGCCTCTCCAAAACAGCCCTCATGGGCAGGAAGTTCTAATTTTAGTGCCGACATAAATTTTTCTTGCTGTGATATGCAGTCTATTTACAGATAGCTCAAAACTTTCTTTCAGCGAATTTTCACTTCCCTATTCAGAGCTGTAGCCAAAGAGCCCAAGGAGTCCATCTGAATTCCTTCTCCCCTCCTCCTACCCGTGGCTGCACTGGGCTCATGGGGGCAGCTCTTCAAAGTGCAGACGGCTGGGTCTTGTGCCCAGAGACTCTAGATGCGGCCTGGGTTTGGGGACGTTTTTAAGCTTCCCAGGTGATTCTAACATGCAGTCAGGGGTGAGAAGTGGGGAGTTGTGGGTGGGGGACAAAGACACTACAAGAGGAGAGCTGAGGACATGAAAGGCTCGGTGCTCCTGTAAGTTGATTGTGTCGGGCCTGGCATGGGATTTGCAGGCTTCTCTGCCTAGTGGGAGAAGCTAACTTGTGCCTTTCATTACAGGTTAAGTAGGGTCCCATCGACTCCTGGCGTCTGAGCTCTGTGGGGTGCGTGGGGCATCCTGAAGCATTAGAATCGTTCAAACACTGCTCTCCTGCCTGCACTGTGGGACCCAACACAGGAAGATTTCTGGTCCCACCTTATCAGCCTACCTCCCTCCTGGCCGACAGCTGGGAGATGTCACCAGCATTACCTTCCACTGCCTTTCTGCGGAGGCAGCATAGCAGGACCTGGGGCACCAGGCCATCGCTGTCAGGACCCACTGCTGGGCTGACCTTGTATCTGATGCAGGCTCAGCTACAGCTCCTCCGCCTCCTGGCCTGTAGCTGAACCTGGCCAGGCTGTGGGGAGAAGAGGCTCTGACAGGCACCTCCCCTATCCCCTCTGCTTTACGGGGCTCTGCTCCTCAGGGAACAGAAGGGGAGGGCTCCTGGGGTTTCCCCAGGGTGCTGGGTCAAACTACCTAATGTAGTCTTCCTTCCTCCTAAGGTGTTTCTCATTGGACTAAGCCCTTTCCTCTCTTCTGTGGTCTCTGAGGGTCACCACGCCCAGCCCAGGCATTGCAGAGCCTGATGCTCCTTCTCCTCTTGGTCTGACTGAGCCTGTGGTTGAGAGAATGGGTGGTCGATGCCAGGTGTCAATGTCCCGGGACCCTTTTCCTCCTCTCCCTCTGAGGCACCACCAGGTTCTGGACATGCAGCCAGCCGGTGCCAGCAGCAACGTGCCAATTAGCATAGGCCTGGACGTCCAGAGCCCCGAGGAGATAAAGGCCTGCACCTTCCAGAAGTGGAATAAAGGTGGCCTTCCTTTCTGTTTCTGAGTGGCTCTCCCTGGGCTGTGGCTGTGAGGCAGGGGAGGCTCTCGCTGTCTGTGCTTGGCAGCCAGCAGGCCCTGGGTGGGAATCTGGGAGGAGGAGTGTTGGGAAATGGAGGCAGGACTGGTCACTTCCTGAGCCCTGCCTTTCCCTTAAATGGGCCCTAATTTCGGGGAAAGCCTAAGGAAGATGGCTCCTGCTGGGAGGGCTTGCCTTCCCATTCCTTCTGTTCTGCCCCTGGCATTTGGCGAGCTGTATGAGGGACCTGGAACCTGGGGAGGAAAAAGTTCTGTCTTTTTTTGTCACCTCAAATCCACCATCTAAGTGCTTACTCCTTCCCCCACCCTCCACCACTGTTGAAGACCAAGGCTGTGTCCCAGATGTTGGGCTTGAGCACTGCTATGGGTGGTTTTGAGCATTCCCTCATTTGTCAAGAAGCTAGACTGGTGCCCTGGTAAGGCATTCAGATTTGGGCAAACTGCTCGCAAATTTAGTCTTTCGCCTGCAGTATCTCCAGGCCCCTACGCCCACCCCAACTAGAGTTGCATGACCCAGCCAGCCTGGAGGGCGTAGGCTGGGGGAGGAAGGAGGAATGCAGTAAAGTCGCCCCATGAGGGGAGGGAGGAGGGAGAACCCCACTCTGTGCTTTGAAGCATGAAGACAGTGTTATGCTTGGCCCCAAATAACCCCAGAAATCCTTCCTGCCCATCTTTCTGGAGCCTGCACGTCCTCTGTGCCTACTCTGACTAAGGACCCGGCAAGGCAGAAGTGGGAAGGCTGAGTCCTGGAGTGTGCCATCCTCTGTGCTGCTTCTCCAGAAAAGCCAGCACCCTCTAAAGACCCAGGGGAGGGTGCTGGGGGTTTGCTTGCATCAGGCCTAAGTGGCTTCATGTGTGCCATTTGGGTCTCATGCCTATGGGTCACTTAAGCCCAGTGGGTTTGGATTCTGGGCCCCAGGAACCAGCTGCTGCCTCGATGCCCCTGGGCTCTGGGCCACCACTGGTCCGCTCTGCCTGTGTGAAGTTCAGGCCGACACGTGCGGTTCTTCAGTGGCCCTGCAGGGAAGTCCCACAAAGGATTTTCCCTGGCAGCTGTGGCTGCTTCCGGACAGCACATGGTTGGTGGAGCTCAGCAAAAGAGCCAGGGGATCCCTGAAGGCCAAGTGCAGATTCGTAGGGGATGATATGACCCAGGCCCTATGATCTCATGAGCAGAGCCTGGCAGGGGACGTGCTCACAGGCTTCAGTTCCTTCCAAGGCAGGGCAGAGCTACTGACACGGGTGCCTCCCCATCGCAGGACTGCAGAGCTTCTGACTCCGTCTCCGGAGGGAGGGAGGGACTGGACCAATGACTAGAGGAAGCTTGTGAGATCCTCAGGGGTCTGAAGGCCTCGTAAACTTCCCTCTCCGTTCTCTGTGGTGATCCCTGACATAACGCTGGAAACGAAGAGCCCGCTCCGTTCCTCGGACGTGAACTGAGTCCCTGCAGTGTGCCAGGCCCCGTGCTAGGTGCCAGGACTACACAGGCAACTACGACGCCTCGCCTGCCCCCGAAGGAGCTCACCTCGATGGAGGAAGGCATTTCGGTGTCACAGAGAGAGCGCTGTGACAGGAATGCACAGCTCCAGTGCACTATTGGGTCACTGTCATCACAGGGGACTGTGTCAGGTGACTCAAGAGTGGGGTCTTGCAGGTGAGCAGTCACCTAGCAGAGAAGGCATGGAAGGCATCCCTGGCGGTAGCACTGGTGTGAGCCCAGGCACGGAAGGAACTACAAGTATTTGTGTCACTGGGGAAGAAGTGGAAGCGGAAGTCGGTGTTGAGGAAGGGGAGGAGCCAGACCCGAGAGGTCCTTGTAGGCCACACAAACAACGTGGGCTTTACCTCAGGGAACCGTAGAAGCAGGTGGAGGTCAAGTCCAACTGGTATTTTATTTTATTTTTTATTTATTTTATTTTATTTTATTTTTTCTGCTTTTTTTCCCCAAATCCCCCAGGCACATAGTTGTGTGGTTTTTTTAGTTGTGGGTTCTCCTAGTTGTCGCCCAACTGTTATTTTAAAGATAGGACTCTTTAGTGCCTGTGTGGAGGGTAGATTGAACCACTGTGCCTCAGTTTCCTCATCTGTAAATGGAGACGATATCTTTCAAAGTTAGGAGGAGGAGATTAGACATTGTCATAAAGTGCCTGAAATGTGATGTTGGCTCTCTGCACATGTTCCCACTCCTGCCTCCCGTGGCCATGCGGCCCTGTGCGGGGTGGGCAGAAGAGCAGAAGCTCCTGTCTCAGACAGGCTCAGGCGGTGCCTCAGATCAATCACACGTCTGGGAAGAGGCCACGCGGCATCAGCTTCATGGTGAGCGTCCTCTTAAAACAGACTGGCTCAGTTAAAGGGGACCTAACCGGAAGGATGCAGGTGCAGGTGTGGGTCCCGGGGCAGGAAGTGCAGCAGCTCCAAGGGCCTGGTGTCTCTCAGTGCCCTGGGGATGCAGGGCTGTAGTTGCTGGGTCTCTCTCAGAATCTACGCAGCTTCCTTTCTGTAGGCTGGTGTCCTGGTTCAAGACACAGATTCTGGAACCTCCTGATTCCATCAGTAAGGGTGTGGCCCAGGAGCCTGCATTGTTGATGAGCTTCCCTGGTGATTCTTGCACAAGCTAAAGTTTGAGAACACAGGCAGAGTTTGCAGATGTCCCGCAGGGGACATGTGAATGGCCCAGCACAGGCCAATCGGCAGTGATTGGTACACTGGACTTGGCACCACCCCCTGACAACCGAGGCCAGGGGAGCCAGTCTAAGGGACAGGGTCTGTCTCCACAATGGGCTGGCCATCCTCCCACGGGACCCACCATTTGCTTGCATGCGGTTGCCTCACTCAGCAGAGGAAGCCTGAAAGGATCGCAGCAACTGGTCATTTGGATTTCACTTCCAAAACTGCTTCACTGGTTTCGTAGAGGGTGGAATTCCTGGCTTCTTCTACCTTCATCTCACAAAAGAGCCTTAATCAGGCATCCCCAACGGGAGGTGGTAAGGAATGGGCCAGGATGACCTGAAGTGGCTTGTTTATTTCCCTCGGAAGTTCGGAATTACAGGAGCCCCTTGAAGCAGCTGGGTCCTTTCTCTGCACCCTTCACAGGGAGTGGGGCGGGGGGGGGGGGGGGGGGAGAGGAAGTAGGGGGAGATAAGAGATGGAAATGAGGAAAGGAGAGAGGGTGGGAGGGAAGGAGGGGAAGATGGAGAGGAAGGGAGAGATAGAGACAGATGGAGGGGGAAAGGGAGAAAGAATGAGTGGGGAGAGGGAGCAGAAATGAGAGGAACAAGACAGAGACTCAGAGGAGAGACAGGTGCGTGTGCGCACGTGTGCTGCTGGATGGGAGCAGGTAGCCTATGGGGTCACCAGGCCGCTGTGTTTGCACTGGGCTGTCACAACCCCAGTCCGTGGCCGCCTGCCAAAGCGATGGGCCCAGAGCTGGCTTAGTGCTGGAATGTAAGTGGCTGTGACTTGGAGCCTCCCCTCTGACTGAGGGGAAAAAGCTGCTGACAAATCTGCCTGGAATATCTGAGTTTTTCCAACACAGAAGGAAGAAACACACACACACACCAGTCTTATCATAAGCCTGGCAGAATGACTCGGGATGGGAAAATTCCATAACTGAGACGCAGATGGAGGAGGTGCCACCCACCCCTGCCCTCCATGGCGACATCTTCCCAGGAGCCCTCATGGCCCTGCTCACAGCCCCAGCCTGGTTTGCCCTTCTTGTCCCCAAGCTCTCTCAAGGACTAGATGCTCTCCATGGGAGCACTGGAGTTTGGTGACACAGAGAGCCCATCCCCCTATGAGTGGGGATGGTGCCCTGCCAGTCCTCAGCCCTGGCCTGTCACCAGCACCTGGAGGCAGGAAACTCGCCCCCGTGCCCAGCAACTTTGGGGGCTGTACATGCGTCTTAATGGCAGTTCCTACACCACCTCCTCTTCTCCCAGCCCCACAGGTCTCTAGCACCTCCTGTTCTCCCTAGACCAGAGAATTCCTTCATCTCTCCCTCCCTGGGTGCAGGGGCCCTGGCTAGAAGTGATGTTAAGAGGTGAGTCCTGGATTAGGTGCAGGTGGGAGCCTAGAGCCGAGTTCATTTCATTCAACATTTAATGAGCACCTCCCATGTGCCCTGCATGGTGTGATGAGAAAGACCAACAAGACCCAAGTGAGGAAGGCAAAAATGTAAAAACCTAACTGTGACTCATGTTCGGACAACTTGAATGCTGGCGACACAAGCGGCTCAATATGGGAGCCCAGGAGAGATAGCAATGAATTAGGTGTGACTGCGGCAGGCTCTATGGAGGACCTGGCATTTGGACTAGACTTGAAAGTTGAATAGGATTTTCGGTAGGGAGAGAAAAATGGGGAAAGATTTTGCTGATTCTTTAAACTGTACCTATAAAGAGAGGTCAGAGTTTTTAAACACTGCTCTTTTTACCACCCCAGCTGGGCAGTGCAAAAGCAAAATCATGGAGTTGAGTCCAGACTGTGACACCTTTTTGAGCCAGTCACATGACTTCTCTGAGCCTCAGGGTTCTCATCTGTAAAGCAGGGATGCCAGTCATTCCAGAGTTGCCATGAAGATGAAGTCATTCAAGCCAAGAGTGCCTGCCCACCACATAGTGGGCATTTGATGCCTATTTCTTGAGTAAATATGTACAACATACAGCATTTTACAAAGGACTTTCACAAACACTTTAATTCCCTGACAATGTTTTGTCACGGTCCCTGCTCGCAGTCCAGCCATGTGAGGTATTACCTCCATCACACGCTGCAAGCAACACTCACTTCCTGGGGAGCCGAGCTCTGTATGCAACAGGCTGCCCAGGGAGGGAAGCAAGCAGAGGGCAGAGCAGAGAGCTGTGACCCTGCACTGAAGAAGGCAGGAGCGTTTTCCTCTACAACCCATGCATGGGTCACATAATCTTAACCACCCGTTGCCTTGGTCCCATTTTCAAAGTGTGGCCTGTGAGTCACATTAATCAAATGCTCTTATCAGATGCAGGCCAGTTTCCAGACGTACTGAAGCAGTCTCTGGAGGTGGGGCTGGGAATACACATTTGGAACAAACTCATGGTCACGAGGTTTGGGAAGGTTTGGGGGTATTGAGCCTGCTCACTCTGGACCACCTTCGCTCAGACAGACAAGGGCTCACTCCATTCAGGTCTGTGTTTAAATGGCTGCTGCTTGGGAAGGTCTTCCTGACGGCCCAACCTGACACGGTGGCCCCCGTCACGTTCCAGCCCCGTAAAGTGCTTTATCTTTCATCATAGTGCTCACGACCTGATGTCCTATCACACCTGTGTTTGTATGTTTATTATCTGGCTCTCCCACTACAATGGAAGCTTAGGGACATGTCCACTCTATTGTCGTACCGTTAGTGCCTGGAACAGCACCTGGCATCTGGTGAATATTAGATAATTACTGTTAAATGAATAACTGCTTTATGCCCTTGAAGATGCAGTGGTCATCAGTGCTGTTTGCCAAAGATTTCCAGTTCTTTCCCACTCTGAGCGCATGAAAGGACGGCGCTTCTTGTCCCCCTTGTGTTGTTGTTGTTAGTGCTGACAAGTCGACTCTTAATCCCTGTGGACAGCAGAGCGCAACCCTGCCTGGGCTTTCTGCGCCATCCTCTCACCTGCCGGCGCTCCATGAGACAACGCTCTGCTGCCATTCATAGGGTTTTCATGGCCAATTTTTTCGGCAGTGGGTGGCCAGCTCCTTCTCCTAGTCTGTCTGAGTCTGGAAGCTCCACTGAAACCCGTCCACCATGGGGGACCCTGCTGGAATGTGAAATGCCAGTGGCAGAGCTTTCAGCATCATAGCAACACACAGCCACCAAAGTATGACAACCGACAGATGGGTGGTGTGGTTCCCTCACCTGGAAACAAACCTGGGCTGCGTGGTGAGAGCGTGAAATCTTAACCACTAGACCCCCAGGGCTGGTTTCTCCTTGTTAGGGTGGGCTGTATAACCAGTTCTGGCCAAGGAGCTGTGAGCGGAAGTGACTGGATCTTTTAAACGCTGATGTGGGATCCCCTAGGCTCTCTGGGTCTGGCGTGGTGACTGGCACCATTAGATGTGCTGGCTGTTCCATCAGCCTGGTCCCCGAGTGGCTTTGATAAGAGTCTCCCTGCCAACTGGCCCAGGGCATAATGGGAGTGAGAAACTTGGTTTAAAGGCCCTGAGACCTGGGGGTTATTTACGACCGCAGCGTATCCTGACCTGTCCGGGCAGGTCCAGCGCACACAGTTGTGCTGTCAGAGTCGCTGGGAGGTCCCTAAACGCTTTGGGGATTTCAGGCGACTTCAAATCCCTCAAAGCCAAACAAAACCACAAACTTCCCCTCCAGAAAGTCAGGCCCCATTCCGTCCTTCCCTTTCCCTTCCGGCTGGGAAGCTTAGTGGGGTTTGGGGACAGCCTTGAAACAACTCGCCCAGTGAGGGAACCAACACCCTCTGGGACCACCTCTGCAGTGACCTCACACGCTGACCACATACTCCAACACACTGTCATAATTCTTCCCCTTAGTCGAAAATAAAAACAGCACACCCACTCTTCTGGGAGTGAGTCACAGACAGAAAAAAGTCCACACTCTGAGCCCAGAGGACCTGCTAACACGGGGGAAAGCTCCCAGGGAGGTGTCTCAGCACATGCTGGGCTCTCGCCCTTGTAGCTTGCGAGACCAAAGACCCATCTTAACAGCTCTGAAGTTTCAGCATCAGGCACTATCTCAGATATCGTCCTGACCCTACAATGAGACTAGAGTTTATTCAGTACTTCTTTTCCTGGTTCAGAAAGAGGAATACAATGCGCGCGCGTGCGCATGTGTGTGTGTGTGTGTGTGTGTGTGTGTGTGTGTGTGTGTATTGTGGGAGGGGAGGCTGTTTCAGGGAAGAAGGGGACTGGGCTGGGAGAGATGGCACCAGAGAAGGCAGGCCCCAGACAGGGAGCCTCCATTTGGGGTTCAGGGGAGGCAACTACTTCCCCTGACCTCAATTTCTTGGCTCAGGGAGATGAACCTTCAGATAAACTTGATACAGTTTTTTGGGATTGGTTACATGAAGTTATGTTATCTCCATTTTCATCTCTGTTCCCAGCCCAGAAGCCAAATGTAGGGCTCTGGCCCTGCCCCATCTCCTCCCCCATTCAGTGCTGGGAGCAGCTACCACCACCCTCCAGATCAGAGCTACAGCAGGAAAACAAACACCAGAGCGTTTTCTGTACAGCTCAGGACCTGGGCAGGGGTTTATGCCTGACTATTCCAGATAGTCCCCAGTTTCCCAGGGCCAGAGGAGACACTCATCCCATGAGCCTCTCCATCCTGGGAATCTGGGCTGGGCGGCCCATATTCATGCTTGGAGGTGGGAGGGTGGAGGACAGAGACGTGATTGTTGGCAATTATTTCACCAATAGCACTTTAAAACTGGCCTCCCAGTGATGAACTCTTTGCCAGGTCCCCTCTCCTTCTTGCCACATGAGGCTGTCACTCAGCGCTCAAGATGGGTCCACGCCCTGGACCTCACCCAGCCCAATGCTCTCCCAGGAGGGAGTGATCTCCAGATGAGTCTCCAGCCTGTGGAGAGGGGTGGACAGCAGAGGGTGGATACAAGCAAATATTTCTGTGCAATGCAGGTTCTGCAACAGCACCCAGAGAACAGCTTGCAGAAAAAAATGGAAGAGATGGGAGCAAGAGACCACAAAGCAAACTGTACTTTCCTTTTTAAACATTCAGCAGAAACCATCCAGGAACAGTCCTCTGGCCCTCGGTTTTCCTCAGTCACGTCCTACTGAACTTCACCTGCTCCCTGGGGAAAGAACAGGGAAGCCCAGTCTCTTATCATCACCTGAGATCTAGAGCAGTGGCGACCTCGGACCAGCAGCATCAACAACGCCTGGGAACTTGTTAAAAATGCAAAATTGCAAACCCCAGCCCCAGATACACCGACTCAGAAACCCTGGGGGTGGAGCCTGCTAATCTGTGATTGGCTGAGCCCTCCAGGTGGTCGTGGGGCCCGCCAAAGTTTGAAAACCACTGCCAGAGAGAAAGGTTCAGACGGGAGAAGAAGGGTGGAGGAGGAGCAGGGGGCTGGCTCCCGGCTCACACTCCCCCATCCCAGGTCCTTCTGCTTGTTGCACTGTGGGGTTGGCTGCCGTGGTCATTGCTCCCCTCCGCCCAGAAACCACCTCATGAGCTGAGAAGCTCCAGCCTCTGCTGAGACCCTGGGACCCCGCAACATGTCCTCTGCTACAAACACGGGGGCAGAGGCTTCTAGGATGATCCCTGCCAGGAGGGAGAAGCCATGGACCAAGGCAGGCTGGGAATTCCCAGGCCACTAGACTCTAGAAATGTTAGGAATTACCTAAAAATTACCCAAGGGGAAAACAAAAAGCAACAGTGAAGATTCCCCTTGCAGACACTAGGGGGAGACCCACCTCTGTCCTGGGAAGAGAAGGGAGCGTCTCTGAGGTCTGGAGGAATTAAGACTATTTCCAAAGTTGGTTGCCAGCGACCTCTGCTAGAACCCCAAGTTTTAAGAGGACAGGCAGTGATCACTGAGTCAGAGCGGTGGAACTGGAGAGGACTGGGAAAGGACTTATCAGTCTCCTCACTCCTAGGCCAATTTATAGTTAAGAGAACTCTACAGGTTAGAGGGGGCCCGGGTCATCCGGCTGGTCTGTAAGGACACCAGGTACAAAGACCCGGGAGTCCCGGCGGCGCCTGTTTCCCACCATGGTACGGGGCTGTCTCCGTGGGCAACCGTGCGGGTCAGGCTACATAATTTGCGGGACCAAGCGCAAAAAGACAATGCCGTGCCCTGTGTTCCAAAATATTGAGACTTCCAAGACGGTCACAGCAGAGCATTAAACTAGGGGGAGGGGGTTCACGAAGCCCGCTCTGGTGCTGGTAGAGAAGGGATCTCTCTTTGGATCCCACAGGTGAACTGTTTACAGTAGATGCAAAGTAGGGCTTTGGGGGGACTGGTGTTTCCACAGGAATCACTGGGGCAGCTATGGGGAGAGGAGGGTTTGGCTTAGTTGGAAAAGCTCTCCCAATCCATGGGGCTGGAGGGTTCTCACAATCCAGGACCCAGGATCACTTCACAATCCCGGTCTTCTGAGAAAGGAATATCCTACCGGGCAGGGCTGCCGAGAGGGGAAATCCAGCGAGAGTGAAAGTCACACGCGGACAGCCTCGCCCGCCGCGGAGGCGGCTCCTCCGGGGCGGCCGCAGCGCCCCCGGTGCTCGCGTCCCTCCTCGTCATGGGACGCGGCGCCGCTGCGGGAGCGCCAGCGCAACCCGGTTTGCGACCCACGCTCGGCTCGCCGGGGGCTGCGGGCGCCGCGGGGGAGGGAGGAAGAGCAAAGGAGCACATCCCCTTGGTCGCGTGAACCCCGGAGGGTGACGGCAGGACACCCAGCCCGTGGGCTTCTCCTCAGACCCCATCCTCAGCTGAGCCCTTTCTTCCGGCCTGATCCCTCCGCTGCGCGTCTCGGGGTGCGGGTGGCGGGGGGATCTGGGGTGGGGGAAGTGATGGAAAAGGGAAAGAGGCAGGGCTGAGGGCAGACGGCCCCTACAGAAATGCCTCTTCTGAGCTGTACTGTAGAGCCTTCCCATACGAAATCCTTCAGCTGTCCCAGTTGTCCAGGCGCTTTCTGAAGACGCCCCTAAATCTACACTCGCTCAGCCACCACCACCCCCCACCCCGCGCGCGCGCGGTGGGGTGGTTCCCTCGGGTCGTCCTTCCTGCCTCTCCGAAGTCTCCCCGCCCCCGCCCCGCCCTGCAGGCTGCGGCCCCTTTAAAGGCGCGCTCGGCGGGGCCGCCCTTCTCTCGAGGCTGACTCGGGAGGAGCGCCACCGCCGGGAGCCGCCGCCGCCAGCCGGGCACGGTCATGGCGTCCCCGGCCATCGGGCAGCGTCCGTACCGGCTACTCTTGGACCCAGAGCCGCCGCGCTATCTGCAGAGCCTGAGCGGCCTCGAGCCACCGCCGCCGCCCCCAGGCCGGTCCTCGCGCCGCTGCGCCCCCGCGCCCCTCTCCACTGCGCCCGGGGCGCACGAGGGGCGCGGCGCCCCGAGGGCTGCCCGGGGGGACCTGGAGCCCCAACCCCGGGCCTCCCGACCCGCTCGCCCTCTCCGGCCTCGTCTGCAGCAGAGACTGCGGCGGCGGCCGGGAGCGCCCCGGCCCCGCGACGTGCGGAGCATCTTCGAGCAGCCGCAGGATCCCCGCGTCCCGGCGGAGCGAGGCGAGGGGCACTGCTTCGCCGAATTGGCGCTGCGGAGCGGCCGGGGCTGGTGTGACCTGTGCGGACGAGAGGTGCTGCGGCAGGCGCTGCGCTGCGCTAGTGAGTATGCGGGCCGGGCAGGGGAGGGGCGGGGCGCGCGGGAGGACCGCAGTCCACCGGCGAGGAACTGCGAGGGGCTGGGGCACCGGCAGCGGGGGCGTTGCCGTCTCTGGCTCCAGGGGAACTTCAGCTTTAACGAAGCGAGATAAGCCCTGGAGGCACTCCGCTCCTTATTCCCCTGCCCAGTATCCTCTAGTGACTGCCTACTGCCTGGGTATGGTCATGCGGTGTTAACAAATACCTCTTCCCCTGACAGGTGCGTGCCTCCCCCCTCCCCAGACACACAGGTACACACACATACACGTGCATGCGTGCAGATTGGGCTTGACGGCAGCAGGGCAAGGTCATTCCGTTGTCCCCCATGCACCCTCTTGCTTTTGTTGTAGGTTCTTGAGAGTGGGTTATGAGACTGGTGTTGAGATGGGCATTTGACCCATGACAAAAAATGGCTTGTTTGTCTGTGGTGCAGGCCCGTGGTCCATGTCCACTTATGGTACACCCCTCCTCCAGGGCGACCTCTTGGGACTGGGAGGAGACCTGGTTAGGCTTTGGATGGAAATGGCTGTGAGGTTGAAGAGAGCAGGAGGTCACCCTGGACCTGTGCCCTCCTGCCTTCGGCCTCTGGCCCCTCAAACCTTTGGACTCTGCTCTAACGTTTGGCTGTGCCCTGCCGCGTCCTCCTGTCCCTCCTCCTAGGTTACTGCACCAGTCAGTCATCATGCTCTGAAATTACCCAACTTGCACCAGGTCCCTTCTTCCCCAGACCTCTCAGGCCCCTCCAGCCTCCTCCTGAGCCAGGCTCCTCTCAAAGCCTGGCTGCAAAACACTGAGCACCCAGTGTGTAAATTTTCTGGGCAAATTTGCAGTCTTCTTGGGGGTTCATTATTTTTCTCTTCCTCCAGTTAGGTGTGTGTATTCCTTTAATGGGTATCCTCACCCCCACCCCCATATTTGCTCCTGCCATGTTTGGCAGAGGATATCCATCCCCATGTGTTTATGTGTTTAGACAGATATTTTAAATATCTGAAGCACAAAGCACAGACAGTGGCACAGCCTCTGACAAGTGTCTCTGGGAATGGGTTGTGGTTTGCATCTTTCAGCAAAAGCCCTTCCCCTGTGACCGCAGCCCCATGCTCCCATCTGACTACGGTCCTGGACAGCAGCAGCTTCTTCCACATCAGGAAAACCCTACCTGGCCTCTCTCTGCGGTCCACAGCCCAGGCTGGGCAGTGTGCCTCTGCTGCAGCTGGCTGTACCGAAGGAGAGCTCAGACTCTAAGCCAGGATCAAGTGGAAAGGGAAGATTGGAGGGGAAAGTGTGTGCCGCTTCCTCCAACACCAGAACTCACAGTCCAGGTGCTAATTAGGGAGGAAAGAGCAAAAGTTATAGACGTATATGTGTTGTGGGTGGAACGCTGCTGTTACATGGTAAATGCCCCTGACCTCACAGTAGAATCTAATACAACTTGCCCATGGACGTGTTGGCAGCTTTGCCCTCTCCAGGGTCCTGGGCTACTTTACTGCATCCACCAACCCTATACACACGGAGAGAGGCAGGATCCTCGCTGTAATGGGTTTTACTGTGCTGGAATCCCAGGAAATTCACTTCATTGGAATTCTAGTTTGTATTAAGACGTTTAGGGGCTGTATCAGTTGTTGAACTTTTTTTTTTTTATTGAGGAAGATTGGCCGTGAGCTGACATCCGTGCCCATCTTCCTCTATTTTTTATACATGGGACGCGTGCCTCAGCATGGCTTGATGAGCAGTGCGTAGGTCCGCGCCTGGGATCCAAATCGGCAAACCCCGGGCCGCTGAAGCGGGGCGCCCGAGCTTAATTGCTCTGCCACTGCGCCGGCCCCTCAATTGTTGAACTTTTTGCACAGAGTTTTTATGATTTGTTTTTTGGTTTGGTGATAATGGTGTATTTGTGTGTGTTTGTATGTGCGTATGTGTGATACTCCATGGTTAAATGAATTTATGCTCTCTTCACATAAGAATTTATTTCCTTTGATTAGTTTATAGTGTCTGGTGGTGGGAAGACCCAGGTACATGGACAGTTTGTCTAACTTTGCGTGTGACTTAGTGAAGTCTCTTCGTTTTCATGGGCTTCCATGGTCCCCATATAGTTGGTTTAATACCAACCAGGGATGTCTGAACACCAGAGAGGAACAGAGCTGGAATCAAGGGGCTGCAGAGGGAGTCTCTGTTTGTCATTGTTAATCTTTAGCTAATTGTGGACCTGTGGCTGGATGGGGGCAGCTGAGAAATGTTCTGATGTGCAAATGAGGGCTGGCAGGTGGGGACACAGCGCGCCAGGCTCACCAAGCACCTTCCTGTAGGTTGAAGGACCAATTCTGTGCTGGGCTTGGTTTGTTTTATCTTTTGAAAAGTAAGGGTCAGAAATCTGACTTTTAAAAGGCAGTACCATGAAGCGATTAAGAAGATGGGCTGGAACCAGAAGACCCGGGTTTGAATCCTGACTCTGCCACTTAGTCTCTGTGTGACCCTGGGCATCTGTGTTCCACTTCTTTGTTTTAAAAAATGGAGATAATAACATTACCTACTGCATCGTGTTAGTGTGAGAATTAAATGAATTAGTGTATGTGAAGGGCTCAGAACAGTGCCTGGCAAAATGCAATATGAATGTTGGATGCAACGTGAATGTTATTATCGTCCCCTCCCATCCGACAGCTCTGACCGTTTGTCTGGGCCCGTGACACCTCTTAGGATCACCTTTCCAGGTCGTGTTAAGTTTTCAGATTGCTTGGATGCTGAGCCAAGTGGGGAAGCGAGTGCCATCAGCATCCCAGGAAGGATGGGTATTAATTGTCCTCTAGAAATGTCACTCCTGCCTGCTGGCTGAGGAGCATCGTCACAGAATGCCAATGGCTTAGAGGTCACCAAGACATTGGCGCCTTGTCTTTGTGTCACTTGCCCCCAGCAAAGTGCCAGCCGCAGAGCACAGTCTCAGTAAGTAGTGGTTGATGAAGGTGGTGGCTTGTTTAAACTATTAAATCTCCCTGCTCTTGGAAATATGCAGAAGGGCAGTGGCACGTGAGTGACATCTGTCTGAGCAGGAGGCTGACACTGGGTAGCAACCGTGTTGGCAAAATGGGCTTTGCATAGGGGAAGAGTTTAGGAAACTGTCTTCCCGCCGTCTGCCTGCCTTTTTTGTGAAAGAGTCTCTAACTTAAGCTCACCCCGACTTCAAAATCAGTACCTGGCTCTGATTAATGCTGGATTTGCCAACAGGAAAGTTCAGAGTTAATATTAATTTTCAGGATTAAAGAAATCATGTTTGTCAGATAGAGAAGGAAATCCAGTGGGGATGGGCGGGAGAGAGAGAGGCAGAGAGATGAAGGTGTGAATGCAGGGGTGTGTGCAGGGAAGGGGTGGGAATCCATTCCCAGCATTCCAGGAGGGAATGGTCAACAGCAAAGAACCAAACGCCTCACCACCAGTACCCTTTGCTTTGTTCTTAAGGAACGTCCCTGCAGGTCGTGACCCTTTCTTCTGTAGAAGGCACAGAGAGTTGACCTTTTACCTTTCATCTTGTTTTGGTGGATATGTAAGCCATCCTGGACCAGGGAATGGTCTGGAAAGTGGGGAAACCTAAGCCCAACTCAGCATTCAAGGCGGGATGCTTGGACCCCTGCGCGTTGCCTGTGACGGCTGTACGTCTGCCCCTGAGCCGCTCTCTCTCCGGAGGGGCGTTGTTCAGAGCTCTGAAGTGTTCACTGATTGGAATCACAGGGTTGAAGGGGGCCTGGGGCTCCTCGTCCTAACCTTTCCTTCCTGCGAGGGACTTTAATTACGGAGTGAGTGGAGGTCTGCCTGGGGCCTTCAGGGACGAGGACAGGGGACTTTCTTGGTGAGTGAGGCTGGTGTGTCGCGGGGCCCGTGGTGCAGCCCTTCCAGCCCTGTTTGACCCTACACTAGTGGCTGGGCTGAACCACCTCTCTGCACACACGGAACCACCCACATGGCAGGCACCAGATCCCTCAGACCCTGCCTGGCTGTGGGTTCTTTGGAGAAGATATTACTAGGACATTGACACGGAGTCTCCCTGGGGCAGACCCAGGGACCTCAGACACTTGGAAGATGTTTCATTGGTCCGGTGCACACAGCAGCGCTGAGGTGTGTGGCTTGAAGTATTGTCCTTGATTTAGGCCCATGTTTGGCTTGGGAGGTTAGGAAATTGAAGCGCTGACATGGACGTTGTGTTGTTAAGGGTCCTGGAATCCCCCCCCCCCAGTCGCTTCCCTGCCCCTGGCTCTGATTGGGGTCTTCTTCGGAAAAGTTCTAGTGGAGTGTGTACGTGCGTTTGGGGAGAGAAAGGACCTGGAATGCTGGGAGAGGCCCTCAGAGGTCCCCAAGCGGGATCCCCTGTTTCCTCTCCTCCCTGCTTCCTGTCTTCTCAAAAGATGAAAGTGAAAGGATTGACTGTGTGCCTGATTGCCCCCCTGTTCATCAGAGCAGGAAATTTTCTGATTATGGAGTGAGGGGGCCTGAATCCCAGGTACAGTCAAAAGTGATTAATGCCGCTTGTCTGCCGGCCTAATTAGACTGGGTAATGAACGCGCGGATTCACCTGCTGATCCCGCGGAGTTCTTGGGGAAAGTGAATTGACATCTCCCCTCTGCTCTCAGCGTTTGGTCTGGAATCCTCTCTCTTCTCCCAAATTTGCGAGTGAATCAGCCGGTGCCAGGCCTGGCGGGTGGGCCCTGAGGGACAGGGAGAAGAAAGCCGCGGCACAGCCCGAGGCCCTGCTGGAGTGGGGTGCCTGCAGCTGCCTTGGGGCTCCGGTGGGCCCGCCTGCCTGTGGAGGAGCACGGGAGGAATTGTTCGCAGGTCAGCGGGGCCTCCTCTGAGGAGCCCAAGCGTTTCCCTGCTCTCGGCCACATTCATCCTTGGAATGGCTTCGTGAGGTCAGGACGCAGCGGGGTGGCTGTGGGGAGGTCTCACGTGGCGGGGAGGAGTCGCCCGTCCACCTGGCTAGG